CTGCACGGCCCCGCTTTTTTTTAGAACACACTCGGGACCGAGGGGCAGCAAAAAAAAATTTGCCCCCCCGCCCACCGCGTTCACTTAGGGTGTGGATGTCCCCCCCCCCCCCCATTGTATGAAGGTATGGACAAGTGTTCCTAGGGTATAGGGATAGGGCTACTGCAGTAAAATATAGAAGAGCTTTTTTAGCTTTCTCCACAAAAATTGACCTTGATTGGCTAGTACAACTGCTATGTATAAAATAAACGAAATTGGTATATACAGGTACACGTAAACATATTTTACGTTATTTCATTGGATTAATAATTCAAAAGTATTTCTTTACCTAACATTGTAACTTAATTGTCATAGGCTTTTTTTCTTGCAATTTCCAGAGCTCCAGTGATCCCCGCTGAATTACCAAATACACTTTCACAGATGTAGCTTTTCAGCCCCTGTTCAGTTTTGAATTTCTCAATATTGAGATATCCTTTGTTTAGCTCCCTGAACCATCTGCGCGCTTTACTGTAGAGAATTTTGCGTTTCATCACGCCACCTCCCAGGACAATCACATGAGGGGATATCAGATAGGTGATGTTGAGGCACAGGACACCCAAGTAGTAACCAACTTTCTCCCAGACATCATGATCATCAGAAAGTGTGTGCAACTCGGTTTTTCCGACCCCTGCTCGCTCTGCGATTGCTTTAGAATGCACCATTCCCTCCACGCAGTAACCGTGATTAAACGCGCATCCCCCTGTGTAGGTATCGCCGGACATGGGAGGTATCATCATATGGCCCCCCTCGGGATGAAGTAGCCCATGGATGGGTGCACCGTCGACCACAGCCCCCACCCCGACTCCGGTTCCCACAGTGATGTAAGCTAGCGATGAAGGCCCGGGTGGATGAGCGCACTGCCGTTGGGCCATCTCCGCCATGGCTGGAGCATTGACATCCGTTTCGAAAGCAATGGCTGTGGAGTCGCCAAATTCACGTTTAAAAAAGCCAAGGACTTCAGCATTTCTCCAAGCTTCTTTGGGTGTCGAGGTTATGTATCCATAGGTTTCAGAATCCTCGTGAAGGTCAACTGGTCCAAACGACGCGATTCCGATCGCACAGAAAGACGCAATGTTCAAACTCGCAAGCTTTGCTTTGAGAAATTTAACTAACTGCGGCAGTGTTTCTTGAGGAAATGTCGTTTTTGCCTCAAAAGATTCAACTATGGTCGTGGGTTGGCTTAACTCGGCAATCGCCGCAAGACAAGTCGTCCCTCCAAGTTCTACGCCAGCGATGTAGCTCGACTCCATTATTCTTCACACTAAAATTATACTTATTCCAAAAGTGCGTTTTTATACGGTCAGTAGGTAGGTAGGAAGTAACTGTGATTGCGTGAACGTCACATGCACAAGAGTGTCAAGTCACGTCTAAGACTAACGAAAGTACAGGATTGCGTGAAGATTTCCGTGTTTCACCCCAGAACCTTGTACGCGCCGACAGGCAGTCTGAGACCTCGAGACAAAAAGAAATTTGCATACGTAAAAGTACAGCTTCTTTTGTCTTCATAAACATGGCGCCAACTCCAGCAACCTACGGATCTTGGAAAAGCCCAATAACGGTCGATGTAGTGGTGAATCAATCGATTTCATTTAAGGAAGTCAGAGTAGATCCTTTTCAGGAAGGTAGGGGTTTGCGAAACCTTTTTAAACAATAAGCTCGTTCATGTTTTTTTCATGCTCAGCACATGCGGCATGAGGTAGGCGCAAATGCATGTGGAGTTCAGGGTTCGTTGTACTCGGGAAATTGAGAGGAACAAAAGGGGGTCTGTAGCCTCTAATCTTTGCTTCTTTCTCGGAGAGCCTGTGTGCATCGACTCTGTGATTCTTTTAGTTCTTGTCTTAGCAATAGCGTTCTTCCGGAGTTTCCGCCATTGCGATTTTGAGGCGCAAGCCCGCATGCAGGATTTTATGGTTGCATCACGCGCGAAATTAAAGGTCGAAGTTGCCTGGAATATTAGAGAGCGCCATGCAGGCTAAATATCTCGCAATACTAAGCTCAATTTCAATTCTCTGGGTTTCATCTCTTAACATAGGAATACGAGAGTTAAAAGGGGACAAATCTATAAATCTATTAAAGTCCAAAAAAAAAGCTTGGACAAGAGGATCCAAGCTAAGAGCAGGCTTAGCATTGCTAGCCCGGTGCCAAAGTATTTCGATTCATGTGTGTGTCAGGTGCCAAAGTATTTTGATTCATGAAGATGGGAGGGAGAAGATTTGAGCGAAGCAAAGGGAATTAAATAACAGGACATAGTATATGCTTATGCTATCAAACCGTTGTAAATGAGGGTTTACCACAAAACAGCTCTTAACTAGCCTAATCTGTTCATTAAAATGAGCCCTTAACCCCAATCACTGAAAGTCAACCATGCATAATTCTACAAACATTCCCGCCACGAACCCTCATTTTCCCTTTGGAACTTAAGAGGAAACATGTTTCTTGTATTAATTTTTTTGTAATTTCATAAAACTTTATTTTTTTCCTATGGCTCGCTCCCATTGAATGCTGCTTGCTGGCTTGCAGGGGTTAGAGGTCGAGTGGAGGGGGCTCCTGTATTGCTTTTCTGGATTTCAAAATCCCTTGTGTTTTTTGATGCTAAAGTTCATTTTCCTGTTTCACTGTGGTCGGTTGCTAGGGCTTTTCCTCCCAATACCTCTCAAAACTGAGAGTTTTAGGCCATAGACAGAAGTAGAATGCATGGAATGTGACGAAACTTGGCAAGGAAGTAGTTTGATAAATTACCTGTTTATTGGTTTTTCTTTAATCCCATGTGACTTTTGTTATGACGTCATAAATGATGTCCAAATTTGGCATCCGAACAAAAATTCAGGAAAGAAATGGTAAAAATTTTACATTAGTTTTCTGTATAGAATTCTATGATTTCTAGTGAAAACCCCATCTCAATCGGATAAAAAGGACTAAAGTTGCAGCTAATTAAAGAAATTCAAATTTCCCCCAAATGACCATATATGGTCAAAATTAGGGGTATTTTAAACGTGAGAACATTGAATGTATTGGAACAGGAGCAAGGACAAAGTTACATAAAATCAAAATTGTAGTTTTTTCTACTTAGGGTATGTGGTGCTATGAAACGTTTTTCGTCGCGAAATACGTCATTTTGACATCACAATGACGTATTTCGTGACGCAAATGCTTCATAGCAGCGCATAAGTAAAAAAAAGTAAGTAGAAAAAACTACAATTTTGATTTTATGCAACTTTTTCCTTGCTCCTGTGACAATACATTCATTGTTCTCGCGTTTAAAATCCTCCTAATTTTGACCATATATGGTCATGTGGGGGGAAATTGGATTTCTTTTATTAGCTGTAACTTTAAGCCATTTTATCTGATTGAGATGGGGTTTTCATTATACATATTCTTTTTGTGTAGTAAAAATGTCTGTAATGTTTTGAACACTGCTTTGCAAGTTTTTGATGTTGTTACTAAAAATAGGCGTCACTTAAGACGTCATACTTTCAAGAAACGTCAAAAATACCTTTACAATGGTAAAAATTTAAAGAAAATTTTTCTCTAATTAAGATGTTTTAATGTCTTGCTTCATTTGGAATATAAAATACTGCTCTGTGAGCCAAAAATTGAATTTACGAAGTTGCGGGAGGAAAAGCCCTAGCAACTGACCATCGTGTTTAGAAATAAATGGCCTCACAGCACAGGGTGTTAACATGTTAACCACTGCAGCAGATGTAGCAGGTTCAATACCCAGCATTGCCCATATCTTTTTCAACAAATATAATTAATAGATTTTTTTCCCTTTTTTTGGGACAACAGAACTAACTTGATAACAAAGTACAGATTATTCATTGCCAGTAATAAGCATACATGTATATCCGTTTCTGTGGGGCTAAACTCTGGAATGCTATTAAAGAAGAGCTAAAATCAGCGATTCGTTTTCGCTTTAAAAAGCTTATTACAAGAATCTGTCATCTCCAAATATTGACTGGTGTACTTTATATGCAGCTAATTGTGTGCACAGCCCTTGTTTTGTCTTGCTTCTTTGTTTATTTGTTTGTGTATTTGTCATTTATTACATCTTAAAAAGTTTTTCTTTGTGAGTTTTTGTGTCAGTTTGTGTGTGCATTTGTTTATATATTAGAACTTTGATATCTAGTCACTTTTCTGCATGGCCCAGCTGCTCAGCGCAATTAGCTTTTTCTATTTCTGAGTGGCTGTGCTCTCTTTCTTTCACAATTATTTCCTTTTAACGACTCTACACTTTTGTATCAAGAGCACAATAAAGATTGTTGTTGTTGTCCTCTCAGGGGGGACTGTCTAAATAAAATGTCTCTTGCTGCATTTTTTATGTGCTGTCGTTTTTTTGCGTAAGCCTGCCATGCAGCCATTCTTCACCTCACAAACCTTTGCTGAATTGAAATAGCTAGATGGCATAATAATTTAATAAAGAAATGCTTTTCCCAGTCAAAATAATTCTCTGGATCTGGTCACACCCCAGACTGATTGCTATCATCCCCGACAGTGAAGTTTTAATCTTGATAAGTCAACAACTGTTGTCGATCATTACAAATGCCTGGGTTGCTTTCTGAAGAGTAAAGAAATGCTTGTGACTTCCATAACCATAACCATGCACAACTGAAAATAAAATAGGAGCTGTCTTTGATTTCATGTTTTCCTCAGCTGGAACATGGGATGGCCCCAATCACGTGGTATTTTCTTGAATTGTGCTAACTTGGCTTAATGCTCCTTAACCTGCGCCAAAGAAGTAACTACAAAAAAAAAACAGTGCTGAAATCCTTGTTTCAGGGCCCACCTTAGTACAGGATTTGATTGGACTGTGAAATAAGCCATTGTCAATTTACCAGTCAGGTTGAAGGGAAATTTGAAAGGCACTTCTGTTAATTTGTTAATATTGTGGGGCAGGCCCGTAACCAGGATTTTATGTGGGGGGGTGCTAACAAGGCCAAAGTGGACCAAACTGCCGAAATGTATTTTTTATTGTCTGATCCGTTTATTTAGGAAAGTAGCAATACATGAGAAATTGTAACGGCAAAGTACACGGTAGGAACTGAATATTACATTTGTCAAATACAACTGTTTGAATTAAGTTATAAAAGTTATAACTTATCAGAGAATTTAATCTCTGAAAGGTGTTTTTCTATAATTCTAGCTGGGTAATCTCTATTCTGCAGGCGTGTTTTAAAATTAATCATGTTTTCCTCAAAAGTAAATTGAGAGGAATTTGTTCTCAGAAGCCTTAACGCTTCTCCTTTTATAAAGCCTTTGGTGACGCTTGGTGGGTGACACGAATAGAAATTCGTGTATTGAAAGGTTTCTGTAGCTTTGAAATACGTTCGCACGTCAAGAATAGATTCCTTATTGAATCTGTCACCTTTGTACACTTTCGTGTCTAAGAATGTGGTTTCTATCTCTTAGATTTCAGCCGTGAATTTGATCGTTGGGTGAAAACTGTTTGCCTTTACAAGGAAATCCTCTATTTTGTCTCTGCTTGTGTTCCATATAGATATGACGTCATCTATGAATCTTTTCCAAAAATTGGTTTTGTGGTGCTTTTTATGAGTATTTCTTTTTCTATTTTGGCCATAAATATGTTAGCAAAAGCTACGGCTATTTTCGTCCCCATGGCTGTTCCCTGAGTTTGGAGGTAATCTTTTCCATTGAATCTTGTAGAATCAGACTTGGCATGTCTCTTAAATACCTGGTAGGAATGGGAGGGTTTTCCTCATAAAATTCTTCGTATGCTTCGTATACAGTTGCGATACCCTCCTCCTGGGGTATGTTCGTGTAGAGGCTGGTGACGTCCATTGAGGCAAATTGAATTTCCATTAATTAACTTGAATTCAATTTCCATTGAGTTATAACTTCATTTTATAATTTAACCGACTGCACTCCTTAACTTGGATATTGAGTATCAAAATGCGGACCTTTGGGGCCTGTGGGGGGGGGGGGGGGGGGGGACNTTCACCGACACTGCTAACCAGGGTTGGGTTATGTCTGTGAGAGAGGCCAAAGGCTCCTGTGACACCTCAGTTTATTAAGAAGCTTTTTATGACATTTTTTTTCACCTTTTTCCTATTCAGACAAAGTGTTCTGGTCTGAGATGTCACCTGATAAAGGTGGACGATATATCATTCATTCTTGGACTGAAGGAGAAGATGTCCAGGAATTAACTCCTGAGAACTACAGTGCCCGAACAACTGTGCATGAATATGGAGGAGGTGCCTTCTTTGTACACAAGCGTCGTATTTACTTCTCCAACTTTGAAGATCAACGGCTTTATTGTCAAAAGTTAAAGAAAGGGGTTCAAGAACCAATTCCTCTTACACCTAAAGGAAAAGATTGGAGGTACGCTGATGGTACCATGTACAAGAAGCATATTGTAGTTTGTGTACGTGAAGATCATGAAGTGATTGGTGGAGATGTAAAGGAGGCTGAAAACACACTGGTATCTATCAATCGCAAGACCAAGGAACAGTCTGTTTTGGTAAGTTATTTGGAATGATTGAAAGTTCTTACGAATAAAAATTAGCAAACAGAAAAATTAGTTTAATTTGATTCATAGATTGAGATCTTAGATTCATTTCTTTGGCTCCTGGGCAACCAAAAAATCTTAGCTTTTTTCATAGAAATCATATGCTGGGCCCAGTTCCTCAAAAGATGGTTAAATTTGTCCCAGGATTGAGCCATATTTTGAGCAAGGTTTTCTTGGATCATGGATTAGCACTAATTGATTTTTCAGGAACTGGTCCCTGGGTACCCTAGATTTCACAAGTTCAGAACACTTGGTTCCCTTCAATTTTTCTTAGAGCACATCCTTGATCTGATTTCTGTAATTGGCAGGTATCAGGAGCAAACTTTTATTCCACTCCAAGGATTTCAAAGCATGGCACCTTGGCTTGGATTGAGTGGGACCATCCTAACATGGTAAGCATGCGTTATAAATTTCTTTATTCTCCGGTTATGATCCCCACTTGCTGAGGTCTTTCATGAGAGAAAGAGGAGATAGACTTCTGCTGGTCCCTGATGCATTGTTAAAGCCGACCAGATCTGTGGTCAAAACTGACTGGTTTTCAAAACCTGAGTTTTAATTATGTGGAATGCATGTGCCCTGTTGAGTCTGAGGGCCAGAAATTTTTTTCTCAATAAGACAAACTAACTCATATTTTTTGCGCTGAATAAGACAATTTAAGACGGAATCCACCAGGAAACTGGGTAATTTTAATTCTCAGCGGACAAAAACCTTGTACCAGAATAATTTAAATAATATTGCATTCTTTTTTACATTTTTCAAGGGCTAAAGATATACTTAGTCATCTATAGTAACACCAAAGAAAATCTCCAATGGAAGTCAGAGAAAATGAATGTCAAATTACACAAGAATTGTCAAAACACAGCTAGGTAAAATTCTGAAAATTTCATGTGTCAGATTTAATTTTGTGAAATTTGACATTCATTTTCTTCGACTCCCACAAGAGATTTTCTTTGGTGTTATTGCAGATGACTAATAACATCTTTAGCCCTTGAAAAATGTAAGCATGAATGCAACATACTTTAAATTATTTTGGTACAAGGTTTTTGTCCACTGAGAATTAAAATTACTCAATTTCCTGGTGGATTCTGTCTTAATTCATAATATTTTGACAGTTCTAGATTGGTTACTTGAGAGCACTTAAACCTATAAATATTGGCTTGTTGTACTTGTTTTGATCTTTGCTTTTTATTTGTGAATTCTTTCCTCAGCCATGGGATAGCACTAAACTCTGGATAGGAGAATTGTCACATGATGGAAATTCCCTCAAAGATGGAACCAAACGAAAGGTAATACTGTAGAATTATGTGTGCGTGGAGATTTAAATAGATGTGCAGTGGTCATCTTTCTGGGGGAGAAAGAGAGTGAGGAAACTAGCATTTATAAGACCAAAATTAAAGTCAGGCACAATGCAATACAAGGTCAATTTGAACATGTTATAAGAAATCTGTAATATAAAGAACCTGTGAGAATTGTCAAAGGTTGTGAAGATAATTTGAAAGCTGAGCTTCAGTGCCTTAGAATATAGGTGAATATTGGTCAAAGGTATGAGTCATACTGCATTAATAGTGAGTATGAATACATAAAATTGTGTCACAGTTTATAATTAGATGGCTTTTACTTTAGCTTGCACTCATCTGCATATTGAGAAGCTGAAAAATCAGGGAATGACCAATTATTAACAGGAAAAATATTGAATATTGACCCCAATATTGACCCCAATATTGACCCCAATAATAAGAACCCAGCTTACTATAACACAGCTAACTTGCACTATTTTCGCTTCCCCTCAGGCAGGGTTCTATCTAGGATTTATCGTTTGGGGAGAAGTTCCGAGTGGCTGAAGGGAACAATCTTCCTAGGAGGGTCCGCCGGAAATTTTTAGAAATGAATATACCCTGAGATGCAATGTGGTGCCTTTTGAGACACAATTTTGAGAAATGTTACAGTTTGTGCAAGGACCTTGTTGCGTCTGGATGATTTTTCCAATGTATACTGTAATGATAATATTTTTTTGGGGGGGAAGCTGGGCATTTTGGGGGGAAAGCTTCTACCCCTCAAATACCCTAGATAGAACCCTGTCAGGGTTCCATACCCCACTTTACGGATACCTTATTATTACAGCCAGTTTGCTTTCTCCCTGGGGAAACAAAGCCCTTACCTTTTCTGTAAATTCAACCTGCTAAATTCGGACACTTTCTATAGCCCCCCTCAGTGTCCCTGTTAACAGGGTTTGGGTGAATTTATAAAGCTCAGAATCAGTAATTGATAAATAAAGGGTAACAAATTTATTAATGGTTGTAAAACTTAACATGTGTTGGCCACAGTTATATGACATCAAGTAGTTTGTCAAAATGTCTCTTTAGTTTTTTGTCAGTTATATACTTTAGTTATCTCTCAGGTTCTCACGAAGAATATCAGGGGTTGAGACTAATAGTGGTTGGGGACCTGTTTAATTTTTTGCCCCCTCTTCTCCTGGAAGAGGGGGCTGGGATAAACGGAAGGGAACTGCTGGCTTCTTCTTCCAATCTACCTATGACATGAATCACAGGGAGATTTATCATTAAAACAGGAGCCATTTAGGGCCTTACTTAATGCATCATTTCAAATTGTTTGTTTAAAATACATTATTATTACTATTTTTTGGTACTGCAGATCGCAGGTGGTGAGGGCATCAGTGTCATGCTTCCAAAGTGGTCACCAGATGATCAACTGCTGTATATTCACGACACAACAAACTGGTGGAACCTTTACAAACTAGATGATGAAGACAATGAGATCAGTGTTTATCCCAAGGATGAAGAGATTGGTGGACCTGCCTGGGAATTTGGAGGCAGTCCCTATTCATGCAATCCTGATGGCAATGGAGAAATGTTGCTTAATTATGGCTCGGTATGGTTTGTCCTGTCAGAAATAATTATGATCAATTCTCTATTAAACACTCCCTGTTATTATTATTATTATTATTATTATTATTATTATTATTATTATTATTATTATTATTATTATTGTTATTATAAATTTACAAAATGATAGTCCTATTGGCATTCATTGCATTGAACAGGAATCAAACCCTGACCTTCAGCCTTCAGCGTGATGACCGGACACAACACTCTGTCCATTTAGCAAATCAAGCTAACTGGAGAGCAGGTCATTGTGTTTTGTATATTTTTCCAAAATATGATCAGTTGAATGCACTGTAAATGACACTTCTGTTAAAACATGCAACTATGAATGCATCTTTTGCAAGCAAGTCAGTCAGTGAAATTCAAGCTCAGTTATCTAGTGGCCTAGCTAATGTCCTAAGGTGGCTTCACGCTTATTTTCTAGTACTTAATCCTGAAAAAACAAAGATTATTCTTGTTGGTACAGTGTACCCATCAGAGGACCGCAGAGGCTGACGATCCAGTTGTAGAATTAATCAGTAACACGCATTTAGAAAGAGTTAACAAGTTTAAATATCGTGGGGTCCTCCTAGACAACACCCTATCTTGGAAGAACCACATAGAATATATCGGTAATAAGATCTTGTCTAGATTAGGTATTCTGCGTCGAGGGTGTAAGGTTCTTCCCAAGCCAACTTGTCAAATGCTCTATAATACTGTTGTAAACGGGAGATGATTTCGTAGCTGATGGATAAGCGTCGACTGCTTGAGTATCTCTAGACCTGGCTGGTCTCAGGCTATCAGTACTCTAAGAGGTCACACTCATCGTTTATTGCTAAATCAAGGTACTTTTGTACATATTGGTAAGTAAATCATATTTGGGAAAATATGGAAGGGAATGCATGTGGTTTCCTTTCTAGTAAACACCCTAATTCGATTGAAAGCTTAAAGCACTATTATGCCTACATTACTGACTAAAATCCTGAGTGGCTATGTTTGAATAATCATCCCATCCTACACAAAAGTCCTACCAGTTAAAAGGGTGTAGCTTTTATGCTATTCCGATTTTTCTGCATTTTTTACTCAAATTCCATATTGAAAACTGTCCAAATTAAATCCCAAATTGGACAGTTCTGAGAAATTAAAGGATAATAGCCGTGCTGACAATACTGGATTAACTGACTGCTATATAATTATTATTATTATTATTATTATTATTATTATTATTATTGTTATTATAAATTTACAAAATGATAGTCCTACTGGCATTCGTTGCATTGAACAGGAATCGAACCCTGACCTTCAGCGTGATGACCGGACACAACACTCTGTCCATTTAGCAAATCAAGCTAACTGGAGAGCAGGTCATTGTGTTTTGTGTATTTTTCCAGAATATGATCAGTTGAATGCACTGTAAATGACACTTCCGTTAAAACATGCAACTATGAATGCATCTTTTGCAAGCAAGTCAGTCGGTGAAATGCAAGCTCAGTTAACTAGTGGCCTAGCTAATGTCCTAAGTTGGCTTCATGCTAATTTTCTAATACTTAATCCTGAAAAAACAAAGATTATTCTTGTTGGTACAGTGTACCCATCAGAGGACCGCAGAGGCTGACGATCCAGTTATAGAATTAATCAGTAACACGCGTTTAGAAAGAGTTAACAAGTTTAAATATCTTGGGATCCTCCTAGACAACACCCTATCTTGGAAGAACCACATAGAATATATCGGTAATAAGATCTTGTCTAGATTAGGTATTCTGCGTCGAGCTTGTAAGGTTCTTCCCAAGCCAACTTGTCAAATGCTCTAATTTAATACTGTTGTAAACGGGAGATGATTTCATAGCTAATGAATAAGCGTTGACTGCTTGAGTATCTCTAGACCTGGCTAGTCTCAGGCTATCAGTACTCTAAGAGATCACACTCATTGTTTATTGCTAAATCAAGGTACTTTTGTACATATTGGTAGGTAAATCATATTTGGGAAAATATGGAAGGGAATGCATGTGGTTTCCTTTCTAGTAAACACCCTAATTCGATTGAAGCTTAAAGCACTATTATGCCTACATTACTGACTAAAATCCTGAGTGGCTATGTTTGAATAATCATCCCATCCTACACAAAAGTCCTACCAGTTAAAAGGGTGTAGCTTTTATGCTATTCCGATTGGAAAACACATCTAACTATTTGCTTTACGTCATGCACATTTTTGCACACCTTTGTAACTTAATTAATTTTCTAGTTTTAATGTTTTAATGTCTTTGTTTCTGTGTTGTGTCAGGGCCCCATTAATAATTATTTTAAACTAGCTCTGCTAAATTGGATGCCCCTGGATAAATATTAATTTAAAAAAATCTTACTTTGCTGCTCATCTACTTCCTTCCATGTCATTAAATCAACAATAATAATTAGATCGATATAATAATATTAATTTTTTCATATTTCTTTTGTTCAGACCATCACATGTCTTAAACATTCTGGTGAACATCAAGATATTAAGCTGGAGAAAGATTACAAGTCTTTCACCTTTCTGCATTATGATCCAAATGGAAAACATGCCTACATGGTAGCTGGAGGCCCCAGTCTCTTTACAGTGCTTATTAAACTAAATGTCAAGACTGGTAAAACAACAGTAGTAAGAACTTCGCATCCATCAACAGATGATATTGATCCAGGATACTTAAGTGCTGATCCTAAGAAGGTGTCATGGGATACCACCCTTGGTGCTAAAGCTCATGGTTATTATTATCCACCTCAGGTTGGTTGATCTATTTTTTCTCCACTTATTTCTGTTAACAGATCTCGTATGATAAAATACCGTAATAGCACGATTTTATAACAACAAGCAAAAGTCCAAACTCAAATTCTTCTTCAAAGTAATTTGATATTGGAATCATTGCGCAGAGCTTCTAAAACTCATTTGTTTTATTATTTATTTTTGTCAGCTCTATTGGTCAATGATATAAACGAAAAAGGAAAAAGAAAAAAATGTTTCTATTTTTGATTCTAAGGTATAGTATGTATGCTATGCCTATAAAATCTACTGAAGAGAAATCACATGATGATTTTGCCAATAACAGTCCTTTCTTTGTTTATTTATAACCTGGAAATTTGACGTCTTTTTTAATACTGTATTGAGTCTATCAGAGGGCATCTACTGCCTTCATCATCAGTGGTTGTGAGACAACTGATAATGAGTGACGTCTTAAAAGTCCTCAGTCGTTGTGCGTGGTCATGAGGTGGTAAATAATGTCAATAATTGATTATGAGTCGTCATCGTTGGTTGTGTGGTGATGAAAGGCAATGATTGAAAACTAAATAGTCATTGACAGTCATTGACTGACAATGTGAAGAAGAATTCTAAGCACCAAAAAAGTCCTTTTAATGAGATAGCCTGAGCTGTACCACAGACAAACTAAGCCTTTGGTTAAGCCCATCTCTGAACCAGCACCTAAATGCTAATTCTTGACCCCCATATATTTGATTGGCTAATCAGTTAAAGGGAAATTTGAGGTGCACCTCCAGTAATGAGGTGACTCTCAGGGTTGTCGCTAAGATTTCAAGTTGCCGGGTAAATACAACAAGTAGGTGGGGAATCAAACAGCTAGGAACTTCTTTTGGTTCTATTTTTCTTTTATTTTCCTTTGAAAGTAGCCGGGGAAGACGTTCATAGTAGCCGGGGGAAATCCCCAGCCCCCGCCTCTTAATGACGGCCCTGTGACTCTGTAAGTGGTCCAGAACAAAGTTCTTGGTGTTGCTTCACAGTGGTTACAACTAAGGCTAGTAATTAATATGACATTTTATTATATATGAACATTATTTTTCTTGTCACTCAGAACAAAGACTTCGAAGGTCCTGAGGGTGAATGTCCCCCGCTTTTGATGAAGGTTCATGGAGGTCCCACTTCAGCCTGTTCACCATGTCTGGACCTCAAAAAACAGTTCTTCACCTCCAGGGGATTTGCACTTCTTGATGTTGATTACCGTGGCAGCACTGGTTATGGGACAGAGTACAGGAATGCTCTGAAAACAAAGTGAGTAAACTTTGTGATTTTCATTTATTTTTTTTAGTGGCAGGTCCATGTTCAACTCTTCATTAACCCTTCCTTTTACAACCTGGCTTACACAGCGAAAAAGGAGTGCAGAAATTAAATACACTCATATTTTCAAACTAGTGGTACAGGAAACCACAGATTAGAGAGCTGCATCTGACTCCAGGTCTAGTAACAAGTACCAGCAAGGAACAAAGTAACAGTTTCCAGGCTGAAACATGCCCTTGAAAATTATGACCAATTGACAAATTATGGCCACAATGAATTCCTGTTTTTATGCCCCATTCACACCAAAGCTTAAACATATATGAAACCTACTTAGCTAAAGACAGTTTAAAATTGTTTCCTTCATTAAAGTCGCTTTATACTGACATTTATTTTGTCTATTGCAATTTATGTGTCAATTACAGACAATGTTGAAGTTTATTTCAGCTCTGGGTAAATGTCTGTGTTCCAGTTTTTCATTTTTTGAAACCTGGTTTAAATAAACATCAGTGATTTTGTTACAAATAGTTATGGTGAGACCTGGGACTCATCTTGTGAAAAATCTTGAGTCCCAGTCCAGAACCAGTGAGTACCAGTTCAAAAAACTACCAGTCCTAAATTGAAAATGCTTGGTCCTTTATGTAACTAGGTAGTTAATCTGAAGACTGACTCAAAACCTCAATGGTTGTCTTTACACTAGGCTGTTAAGTAAGACTTAAGAGCTGCTAAGTTTTAGTTACCCAAAAATGGTGTGTGAAGGCATAAGTAAAATCTCAAGCAACTTTACTTTGCATCTCATTAAAGTCGGAAAGTTGAAACGATTCAAGAAAGTTTCAAGTCACTTGAAAACCATCCTTAAAACCGACTTAGCGCACTTGCGGTTTCTAAGCTTTGATAAGGGCGAAACATGTCAATCAATCTTAATTATGTTGTGTGGGAAAATAGGCTTAAGTAAACCTGAAGTAAAAAAGATAGGTTGTGTGAAGCCTTTTTTTACTTGAAGAATTTAAAATTTACTTGTCTTGAAATATTTCTTAGCATATTTAGGCTCTCGTGTAAAGACTACCAATATTTCAGTTTACTGGAATTAAAATATAGTCCTTCTGTTAAAGCACGAACAAGACTAAAATAAGTGTGCATCATTAAACAACAGCCGCACAAGAACAGCCACAGAAATCACATGAACAGGATATTCTACAAAAACATCTTCAGATCATAGGATGCATGCCACAAATTTTTTAGTGTCTTTGTGGATTTTTATGCATCAGGGACATAGGACACAGAGGTAACAAAATCACTGAAGCATGTTTAGTTGGTGTGAATTAATGGGGCTTTAGATATTTTCTCCTTTGCCAACTAAAACTAAGTTTTAACAGTATATTTAAAACTGAGTCAACAACAATACCAGCAATGAACATTTGCCTTATCACCTAGTGTTGGTCATAGACATGGGACACAAGTATGCTGACTGAAAGAAAGCAGGGACCAATTTGAGGTTTCCATTTCAGGGAAGCATCCATCTTTTAGTGGTGTTAGTTAAGAGAGCCAAAGTTTACTGTACTCACGCTTGCATTGTACAATGATACTACATTCTTTCTTGCTGCTTAAAGTTTTTGCCCTGCTGCGTTCCACCATTTCTACCATTACAGTATTTAAACTGTTGTAGAGTTTAACATAATGTCTTGGTAGATTGATACACTGTGGGTTATTGATAGCCATTTAAGAAGAGACTAAAAGTAAGGTGGTCCTTAATGAACCTGGCAGTGTTTTGTCCGTTAAAGCCAAAACCCATTCTAACACTTAACATACTTCTTATAAACAGCTGGGGTCTTCTAGACATTGACGACTGTTACAAAGGGGCAGAGTCTCTGGCAGATCAAGGCAAAGCTGATCGTGGTAAACTGTTCATTGATGGAGGTTCTGCCGGTGGCTTTGCTGCTCTAGCTTCCATTACCTTCCATGGAGATGTGTTCAGTGCTGGAACAAGCTTTTATGGAGTATGCGACCTCACAGCTCTTGCAGCAAGTACCCATAAGTTTGAAAGTCGCTATACTGATACCCTTATTGGCCCTCTTCCTGGGGCACAGGAAATTTATGATGAAAGATCACCAATCAAGCATGTTGACAAACTTGACTGTGCAGTGTGCATATTTCAAGGATTAGAAGATAAGGTAAGAGCTTTGGGTCAGAGAAAAAGAGGGGGGTTAAATTTAATAAGCGCACTGTTGGGCTCATGTTTGTCGGTCTTATGTGTATTGTTACCAGTTACGTATGTAAAATAAGAGCCTGTGCCCTTTTTACCTTTATTTTCCAGCAATAGTCTGAATTGGTAATAAGTATAATAAACTTTAGATAGAATATATTCTTTATATCATACTTATTTGGCCAAGTTTCATATTGAGGTTTGTAATCCACAATTTCTTTCTGTTACTTTTTACCAAGTTCATCTCTTTACGTTGCTCTGTGTGTGTGTGTGTGTGTGTGGGGGGGGGGGGGGGGGGGGGGGGTAACATTGGGGGGGGGGGGGGGGGAAGTCACAAAAAAAAAAAAAGGCGGGGGGGGGGGTTTTTTCTAATTTTTAATGGAAATTTTTGGGGAATTTTCATTTTTTTTTGGTTTTTTCCCCACATACTACAAAAAATGTATTATGTATGACAAAAAGGGAAGAAAAAACAGTGGTTTTTTTTTTTTTTTTTTTTTTTTGTGTGCTTTTTGTGTGGTTTGGTGTGGTGGGGGGGGGGGGTGGGGGGGGGGGGGGGGGGGGGGGGGGGGGGAGAGGGGGTTACATCTGTGGGGAAGGGTGAGGATAGTCACAAAAAAACTAACAGCTGTAGGATGGCGTCTTTCTCAATCTTAATGGTAATTGTTGCTGACATTTCAATTTTTTTCAGGTCGTTCCACCAGATCAGTCAAAAATGATGTATGATGCAGCTAAAGCGAAAGGAAATCCGGTGGCTTATAAAACATTTGAAGGTGACATAAAAAATGATTTAATTTGGTGAAGAAATTTTTTTATTGTGCAATTACATGGCAGGCTTTCCTTTGCAAAAGATTACATGCCGGATCTTTTAACTTCTCAGTGCAAATCAGACATTTGCATGGATGTGTCTAGGGAAGGGGATTCCCTGGGTGCTGAAATCCTTTTCTTAGCCAAGTAGCTCATTTTCATCATCAATTGATTTAAAGGCTTGCATTATGAATTTTTGTTTTGGTAAAATCCAACTAGTGGTCTATTTTCAATGCTGCGCTCTGATTGGTTGAGCTACTACAAGGCTAAATGTTATAGCCCACTAGTAGCAAAAAGCGCCAGCCAAAACCAAAACAATGGCGTCTGAATCGTGTTTTGCTAGATAAAGTTGTTTTGTCTTGATATTTTTGACCAACAAGTTGGATTTTACTAAAACAATCATTCCTCCAGCCCAAATGGCCTCTGAGTCAATAGCCCGTTCGGCCTCCGGCCTCATGGGCTATTGACTCAGAGGTCATTCAGGCTCAAGGAATAATAATTATTCCTCGAGCCCGAAAAATAACCAGTGGGTGGTTTAATTTTTTTTTTAACTTGGAGCTCATTTAGATTTCTGAAAAATTATTGGGAAACCGGGTACTTGTTAAATTTCCTGTAGAAGTGAGCTACTGATTCTCCATGACCTATGGACCTTTATTGTACAGTGATCTACACTGTCTAATGAAGGTGTGCCTGAAATAATGCCCCAAGAGACTTCTAATAGGATGCTGGTTGGGTATTAGTATGTGTAATCAAAATGGTGAAGAGTGAAAAAAGGGAATGATTTCATGTGTGTTTTGTCTAAATTCTAGTTATTTCCAGAGCCTCTAGGTGAGGGAAATAATTAGAATTTGGACAAAATGCAAGCAAAATTATTCCCAATTTTCACAAGTGTACCATTTGATTACTTAGTAATATCATAGGGGACAAATAATATTCCACTCACAATTACACTGAAAAGGCTAGTCCTTAACTTTTGGCTTTAAGTTCACTATCATTTCCTAAATTTTTCCACAAAATACATTCTTGATGTGCTCTTTTGAGTGTTCAGGTTTTTTAAAGCATCTTACCATGACATCTTCATTCATAAAAATTTTAAAACCTTGACACTTTTGTGGCACTGAGACATACAGAATTTCACACGTTAAATTGTTTATTGCCCCTGAAATTTGTGCCAAAATCATGGAGCAATTTTTCCCCCATGATATTCAAGGGAGAATTTCACCTCACATCAGGAGTTACAAAACTCCCTCTTTTGACCATAAATAGGAAGGTTTAGTTAGGTTTCTAGGGAAAGTCAACCCTGTTCCAGAGACCCCACCTACTCCCTAGATGAACCCTTGTATTCTAACAAAACAGAGCTGTTTGAGTCCTAAAATACTCCAAAACATGAAGCTTAACGGGAGTAGGAACAGATCTACTGGAAAGGTTATCAAGCTCTCTTTTTACAGTTTGTTTTGAATCAAGTCTAAAACCACTCAGCTATGCAGGGAGGGGAGGGTACTCTATAATGGCCTATAAAGGAAGGCTCCTTCCAAAATGGATAACTTTTTCAGATTACAAGTGTGGTCAGTATCTCTTCCGGCAATGCCTGATTCTCCCTAAATATCATTTGTTAACTCCATTCCAGTAGTTAAAAAATGGGATGCAGAGCCTAGGGGATGTTAAAGGGGTGCCATATTTCTTTGCAGAAGGCATATGGAAGAGGTACCTTTCCAGAGGAAAATTGTAGGGATCCTTACCGTATGAAACATTGTTAACTACCCCCTTCCCACCCCCTGAGCAGCTATGCCTTGTGTATTGAACTTTGATTAAAAAAAAAAACCTTCTATTTAAAACAATTCGACAAAGGCCTTTTATTTGAACAAATGTCTTTTATTTTAATTTATTTAAGGTGAACAACACGGGTTCCGGCAGGCAAAGAACATTAAGTTCTCATTGGAGGGAGAGTTGTATTTCTATTCAAAAGTGTTTAAATTTGATGCTCCAGGGATTAGTGCAGAAGTAATTGAAAATGTAAGTTATGTGAGAAACTGTCATTGTGTAGAGAAAAAGCACTTTATTTTTCATTTGTTGTCAATGTCAAAACTCAAGTAATGAAAGCATTGGAAAAGAATATTATCTTCAATGAATGCATTTTATAAGACTGCTATTGTTAACTTTGCGTGATGATATTGTATTATTGATCCAATCAAATTATCCTCAGTAATTCCTTGTAAAACTTACGTAACAACTTTCTCTTTTCTTGTTAGAACAACAAGAAACTGAAACCTAAACCTAAAGAATGCAAAGGATATTAATTTTGTTGATGAGGCCATTGTTTATTTTCTTGAAACGTTTACATCTTTTTCTTTTTTCATCTTATAGCTGAAAATTGAGAACCTGCCAGAGGACTGAACAGATGTGATTGTCATCAATAACTGCCTGTTGCACTCAGCAGAATAGGAGAGGTTTTTTCCCTAAACAGACTTGGTAGTGGTTTTGTGAGTAGGTTAAAATGAAGTATTTTGATTAAGTTAGCCTTATTTGTGTTCTTGTGAAAGAGTCTATGCCTATTAAAGTTGTAGGTTACTGTGATCAGAATTAAAATAAGTAGATTGAAATGAACTATGTGCATTTCAAAAATGTTTTTGTAACAAAACACTGTTAATAAGTGTTTATCCATTGAACTTCAATAAAACTGATGAAAATATTACACAATGCTGAATATGCACTAAGTATCCTTAATGTTGTAGATTTTCCTTCCGAAAAACTTGTTTTGAAGCTATTTGAACCGTTTTCTGACCACTTTCTGGCTATAAAGAGCCAAAACGCCACTACGTAGATTTTTGCATTTTTCTTTGGGCTCCTTTAGTGAATCGTTCTCCTTCTGGCATTGCTTTGAAAGATCCCTTTTTTCCCTTGCACAAGACTGATGAAAAAGGTGTCTTTGACATTTAAATTAGTGACTTGTTTGAGGGACATAGATCTGCATGGGCAGTTAAGGGGCAAATGGGTTAAGGCTTAAAAACTGCATAAAATATCCTCTTTGCAAAGGGTATCAGATAGAAAGGTTGCTTTTACTTTATATACCTTTCCCTTGTTAGGCCAACCTTATGTCAATGGGGACAAGTTTATTTTGCTTTAAATATAGAGCATAGTTCTTTTGAAAGAAGGCTTAGATACTCATCAAAGGCCTTAATATTTAATGTGCAAAATATTGCAAAGACTCTTGCTAGCATCTCTGATTACCTTAGATGTGCTTCATTGTCTGTTGGAGTCCAACTTTGTCACATCATTGACCCAGATCAAATGTCTGATCAAAGGTAACTTTTCATTACCCTCAAAAAACAGAATGGCATTCCACAACACCACCACTGGTTTCCCTACAAAGTGATATCTGAGGAACTGTTGAATAAATTCCATACTGCTGACATGTCACTACCCAGAACTGAGTAGTGCTTCTGATTGTTCATGCGACAAGGGAAATTTGCTTCTCTCAATCAGAAGCAATATCCAGATCAGGGAAGTGACATGTCATCATGCCTCATTGTGCAGAGAAACCAGTGGTAGGGTTGCAAAATGTTGGGTGTTTTCTCAGGCTTCTTTTCATCAAATGGAAGTTACAGGAGCACAGGCTGCAATACACAAACTATTTAACAATAATACTTTTCAATGGGAGTTGAAATCGTATAAATTTTCATAAAGGTGTTCTTGTGGCCTTTCCTGTACATAAACATCTTCACCAGAAAGTTCTTCAGGATACACATAATCTCCCTTTACTTCATTATCTTACATTATTATATGTCTAAAAAATTTGTATATCTCTGAATAATCTCAACCTCAAAAATAAGTTACTTCTAAAATCAGTCCTGGTGTTTGGTACACTTTGCTATGGACACTTGCATTTAAAGTAATAGAGAGCAAATTTTGTTATAGAAAATTTCAAGAGGCAACGTCATGTTTAAAGTAAGTCAAAATACTTCTTCCTGGTTTGGGAACCTCTGCCACCTAAGATAAAAATAATGATAAATGAAAAAATCAGTCAGAGTAAAGGGGTTTAGCACCATAGAAAATAATTTCAATGAGGTCTTTCCCTGTCTGATACAAGGAGACTGGGGCTCATTAACACTTCAAGCCCCAATATCCACAGACAAATTCTCCAGAGTTGCCTCCATATACTTCCTTAAAGAGTAAGTTTAGAGAATTTAAATAAAAGATCATAGCATGTTCCCAGAGGTAATCATTTTAATTCCCACAACTTTTTTACTTGATAATTATGTATTGATATTGTTGGGAAAAATAATTTATTGACGTTGGACACTGTTGGGACTTAAAGGGCTAAAATAGTTGTGGAGAGGTGGATATTTCTGAAAAGTTAACAGTTTGATCCCACAAAATATTTCACCCCTATACCAAGCTTAAATTGGGATGGTGTTAGTGGGAGGGAGTACAAGTTTTGAGTATCATGCCTTCTTTAGTTGCAATTGACCCTTCTTTGATCTGAAAATGCTGTAGCTTATGGGCAAAAAGAGGGTGTAACATTGCTCACCTGTGCAGTTGTAGCCTGTAAATTGTCTCTTTTTTCTTCATTTGCTAAATTGATAGTCTCACTGCTGTCTTTACTCTCACCTCCCTGGACAGAAAGCTCAATGGCTTTGCCTCTATTCTTTGCTCTGCAGTGGTCACTCCACTCTGTGAGCCAGTTTTTCTGTCTCTCACCCACAGAAACCTGATTTTTAACTTTCACAGTAACAGGTTTGTTACAATTTTTCCCTAAAGGAACACTACTTTCCTCTTGTTTTGAACTCTCCCTGGAGCCTTGATCAACAACATGGTTCTCTTTTCCTGGACTTGAATTTGGTTTGACCTTAATTTCTCGACTGTTGTGTGTTGTAGAATTTAAAGGGTCACTAGAGCACCGTCTTTTCCTCAAAGGAGATGTTGCCAGGCATTTTTGTCCACTGATGTTATTTTCATTGTTTCCATGTTCTTGCAGTAGATTATGAGAAACAAATGTTTTTTCCTTGTCTCCCAAATTTTCTTTTATCTTGTCAGACAAAGTTACTTCAGACTTAACACTGTTATTTGTGTCATCTGTTGTATCGACACTGTCACTATGTCTCCTCTTCCTGGAATTTGTTCTTAACCAGGATGCCAGCAACTGTTTGGGACTTTGATACTTTATTACAGCTGGTGACTTTGGTGAAGATACTTGACTTGAAATACACTCAGGGGGGGAGGGTTGGGACAGTGATGAACTAACAAATGAGGTGCTAGTGGTTATTTTGGCATCATGCATTGCATGAGCTGTTAAACCTGTGGAAAAATAATAATTTTATTATTCAACAAAATGGGATTCTGCAGATCAAAAACAACATCTTTACCATGAATCTTGTTGAAACAACTTATCAGGATTATCCATTTTTTTGTTTGCTGTCCTTTTACTTTAGAGAGAAATGTTTAAACAACAAAATTTGAGCACAACCCTTAGAACTTCCACCTTTTCTGTTGTAGTCAAATCTGTATAATCACGGCTTTGGTCCCCAGCTAAAAATGCATCAGCCTGTGGCTGACAGTGATGAATCCCACCTCTGGTTTACAGGGTATAGAACTTCAAGCTAGAAAAGTGAATAAATGGCTCTCCTGTTAAGTGAGATGGTTTTGTTGTTTTCATCTCATCCTTGTCAGCCAGACTTAGATCTACATGTATGTGATATTAATAATTAAGTAATTATTATTTAAATATTGGTACCTGTTTTCAAGTTTGGTGGACTCATGGTGGCCTTTGGAGCCTGGCTGAGAAGGTTTTGTTTTTGAGGTGGTGTTTTGTTAGTGGGGCTGTTGAGTCTGGTTGCCATGCCAACAGGACTGGAAATCTGGTTTAATCGTGGATTGGTAATAAGTTTAGATGGTGGAGTCCACAAAAGAGCAAAACGTAGTCCCGAACAACTCCCCCTTCTTGAACCCCAAGACAGAACTTTAGAACTACGTGAATAAAATAGATGTGTTTTTATATCTATAATCAAATCGGACATGAAAATACTGTAGAATGGGAGAATAGTTAGTTGGAAAGTTTTGTTTTGCCTATATTTAAAGTGGAAATAGTGTACTTTTATTAAGCATGGGATTTGGCCTTAAATTTTCTTATCTAACAAAATCTTGATTTTTTTGTTTCATGTGTGTGAAAATTGCATCCAAAGCCAGCAGCATCTATCTCCACAAATATACCTCTAGTTTATTTAAAACTTAAAAGCTGAATAATTCAGCTTTTAAGTTGAAATTATTTCAACTCACCATTTACAGGGGAGACAGATGTTTGCAATGCTAATTTGCAGCTTTCACCAATCAGGTTTAGTCTGTCGTTCTTGCGTGCTTGGTGGTTAATTCTCCTTTGAAAAATAAAGGTACAATAGTACAAAGTCAAAATGTTTCACTCTGTAAATTGCCCCTGAACTAGTCACTGAGCTCAAGGCACAGCATGGCTGGAACTTTGCATTGGGCTAAAATGCTGCTAGAGTAGTAAAAACACCCACTGAAAGGCCAAATTAAATGTTGCATTGATACTTTGTATGACAAGACCCAGCGAAAGAAAGTAGCTAAGAATGAGAGTTAAAAAAAAAAAGTAGAAAAGAGATTGCTTAAAAGTGGCTTTGCATGCATTAATGAAACCAAAAAGGTGTACCAGCAAGGAAAGTTAATTTGCTTACTTATATTTTGAATGATGGCCAGAGAAGAGCGGGACTGCCTGAGAATAATTATGAATCAGGCCATCAGGGGTTAATGGATCAAGCATGATGGGATGATTTTTTTTAACTGCTTACCATATGCGGAAACTGTTATCATCAGAACAAGTCACCACCTAAAACAACAGATAGAGAAGTGTAAAAATGTAACGGTTTTTATGTATGTAAACTTGAACCTTGTGTCCACTATTTTAGTGTTGCCCCTTAAAGCCTCCCTTTTTCCACTGATTAACTGATAAGTAGCAAATTTAGTTTTATCTCCCTCCACTTCTTGCAAGTCCTTAAATTGTGACCCTTGTGCAAGGCTGTGCTCCAAGAAATACTGACGGGAGCCAGGTGCTGTCAACATGTGTAATCCAGGGTTCCCAGTATGGTATTTCTATGAAAAAGCTAAGATTTCCTAGTCATTCAAGAGCAAAATTAAGGCACCAGGGCACGGCTGTCATTAAGAGGCATGGGCTGGGGATTTACCCTGGCTACTAAGAATGTGGCCCCCAGCTACTTTCATAGCAAAGTAGAAGAAAAATAGAACTAAAAGAAATCCCTGGCTGTTTGATTCCCCGGCTACTTGATGCATTTACCTGGCAACTTGAAATCTTAGTGACAGCCCTGACCAGGGGCCACAGGGCAGACAGCTCTGCTTGTGGGAATCAGACATACCTTTCCCTGATCAGAGGGACACCAGGCAACACTTGTGACTTCACCAAGGTGTCCCTTGAGAACAATGGGTGGGGCTGTAGGGTCGGACACCTTCCAGATATAGGCATTATTATCACTGGATCCACTAAGAAGGTACATGTCATTGGGGCTAAGAGCTGATTTTACATAGAACGTGGAGTTCAGGTGACCAGAGAAGGTGCCAAGTGGTTCCTGCCCCAGTGAAGTACAACTGTACATGTAGATTTGGTCATTAGTGCATCCAGCAAACAAACGTGAGTGGGTGGAGTCCAGAACAAGGGATGAAAAACCTGCAATGGAGAGCAATGATCAGCTGGCCAGAAAACTAAGGACATTGTTATCAACTGTTCCATTCTACAGTGATTTGAAAGTGAAAGTCACAGATAAAATTGGAAAACAGACAAAGTCATGTCCACTTTACAAAACATTGACAAAAAAGGCACCTCTGTGTGCCTCTTGTTTAGTTGCATTCTTTACAGTACCACATGTAAAATAATCTATGTGACTGACTATGCAACTGATTATCAGTTGTGAAAAAGAGCAGTAGCCTTGCAGCCCTTCAGAACCTCTAACTTAATTGGACATCTTTGGGTTGTAGCTCTTTTGTTTTCGGGCTATGATCCATTGTCAACTTTGTTTGTTCACTGTTTTCCCAACCGGTTGCAAACCAATCTTGTGAGATCTTCCAATAGCTGCAAGATCCCCCCAAAAAGGCTTGACTATTTGAGCCAAAGTTTAAGGAGTTTACCTCTCATTTCAGTCAAAATATTATTACCTACCATGTTTTCTTACTCCTTGCCCTGGGTATGGAAAGATGTGGAAAGGCACGGGGTCATTTTTAAGGTTTGTATAGGTTTTGCGCAAGTCCCAGATTTTAATTTTACCATCCACTGCTCCAGCTGATATCAGCTTCTCGCCTCCTTGAAATAACACTGCTGTGACACTTTGTTGGCTAGAGTTCTGCAAGCAATGAAAGTGCAAGTTGACACTGCAATTTAAGTATGGTACCTTACCAAAATGCAGTTTTCCATGCAACTGTTATTTTTATGTTACTGATTAGTACCATTATTCTCCTGCCTTTAGGAGGCTATTATTTTTTAGAAATTAGAAAACTCCAAGTGCCTCTTTATCTTGTCGCCCAACCCCTACCCCCTCCTTTTATTGCATATTACATGACCTAATTCTACTCATTTGGATAGTCTTTCACATAGGTTGGCAAAGTCAACCTAACTAAAATCATGCAGAAATTACCATATTTCTTGTTCATGCACCCTTTGAGAACATCTCTAACGAGTAGTGTGACTCAACTTAAGACAAGACTCGGATCATGAGGCATGACTAAAATTAGTAAGGATACATAAAATTATTTATTTACAAACCATGACAGGTCTTGAAGTAGATCTCCTAGGTTTCTTTTTTGACATCTGACGGGTACCAGGTAGTCTTTCTAAATGTGCATTAGATATAACATTGATGGGTTGGTAAAAATGACCAGAGCGACGATTACATCTCATGTCCCATACCATCACATTCCCATCTCTTGCACCAGTAGCAAAGACAACTGACAAGAAAAGCAAAAGCAAGCAAGAAGATTAATAAGAATATTGCTGTCCAGCTATCCGATGAACATGCAGGTATTTCCGTGGAGAATAAGAACAAGATTTCCAAATCCCAGGCTGGGGGGTACTCTGGATTTTCAGTGACCAGAATAAATAAGAAGGATTTGGGGGGTTTGAAATTTTCCATTCTAGGAGTGTTATAGGTAGGAAAATTTGGCTAGTACCTTTGTGTGCATGTGTGCGTGGCTTGATTTAAGTAGGAATTTTGAGGTATTCAAAACAATCTGAAGATTGACATAGTGCCGCATATCATGGCTGTGTAGTTGTGCTAATAACAAAAGCACATGTATATTCAAAGTTCTTAAAAATATTAATGCTATGATTTTAATAATTATCCAACTTATTCCAGTTATCCAATAGTGTGAAAATTGCCCTTTTGTACAACCAGCAGTATGTCAGTGGCACCATTACCCAGGGTGGAGAGAAATAGCTTTGAGCAAATTTTTCCCAGCTAAGTAATCAGTGCAATGGCAATTAACTAGAAGGCAGCGTGGCTGTTGCTCTGCCCCACTAGCATAAGTGCTATAAATACTGCTGAGAGTAAATAAAGAAATAATAATTATTATTAATTAAAAATCTCTTGAAAAAGCTCCTGAATAAAAATCTTTTTGAATAATGAATTTGTTAACCACCAACATAAAAAAACACTGACATCAATCCATGGTACTCACATATTTCATCTTCTCTGAAGTCCACAGATTTCACACTGCAGCTATGGCCTTTGAACACAGCCAAGCATTGATCACGATTAACATCCCACATTCTAATAGTCTGGTCCCCAGATGCTGTCACCTAAAGAACAGATAATACATTAGTGTAATTTTAAGGAATCACCCTTAACTGTTATCGCAGCGGCTGCAACCCAGGCACATTTGCTGGTGGGATATCACATCCTGCTGGGATGTCAGGAACACTGCAGCTCTAGTAGCCTCGGAAAACAGCCAAAATTTGGCAATGTTACCACTGGCTCCCCATAAAATGATGTCTGAGGAACAAGTGCAGAAATTCCTTACTGATGACATGTCACTACCCACATCTGGGTAGTGCTTCTGGTTGGTTGAAGCAAATTTACCTCTCAGAACATTTGCATCAATGGCTAGCAAGCTCACTACATACAGATAACCAATAAAAATTAAAATACTAAAATCAATGACTGGTATGTAAACACATTGGAGTTAAGGACTTGGATGTAGAAATGTCCCATTAAAAGGGCCACACTATTTTGGTGATAGTCTGTTTTTATATATCTTACCAACATTTGTTCTCCCTCCATCCATGCAATATCAAACACTGCATTCTCATGGGCATTCCACTCTATGCAGAAACATGAAAAAATAAACAAATAAATAAAACATCCATTACTACCATGTTTGCAACTGAAATTACAAGTTAAGGCATGAACAAATCCTGGATAAGATGGGATCAGATCAACCCCTTAACTTACTGAATAACAAAAGGTTTGGCATAGGATTAAAGGGATTGATTGGATCGTGTCTGATTATTTTATGGCAGTGGCCCACAATTAGTTGAAATGGCAGATACACGACTGACACGTATCTTTAGTAAAATCCAACTAGTGGTCTATTATCAATGCTGCATTCTGATTGGTTGAGCTACTACTAGGCTATATGTTATAGCCCACTAGTAGCGAAAAGCACAGGATTTTTGGCGGCAAAAAAAGGATTAAAGTCTTGCTTTCAGTTGTTTTGTCTTGATATTTTTGACCAACTAGTTGGATTTTACTAAACAATTATTCCTCTCACCATCATGGCCTCTGAGTCAATAGCCCATTCAGCCTACAGCCTTATGGGCTATTGACTCAGAGCCCATTCCGGCTTGAGGAATAATCGTTAAATAGCCTGTGCCACAGAGGGAACTAAACCTCTCGTTAAGTCCATCGGCAAAATAGTACCAAAATCCTTGTTCTGGGCCCACACATGTGTACCAGGATTTGAGTATGTGGCTCAAACTGTCAACACTGTACATGTACACAAGAGGAAACGCGGGCTAATAGTTTTTANATGTAGAAATGTCCCATTAAAAGGGCCACACTATTTTGGTGATAGTCTGTTTTTATATATCTTACCAACATTTGTTCTCCCTCCATCCATGCAATATCAAACACTGCATTCTCATGGGCATTCCACTCTATGCAGAAACATGAAAAAATAAACAAATAAATAAAACATCCATTACTACCATGTTTGCAACTGAAATTACAAGTTAAGGCATGAACAAATCCTGGATAAGATGGGATCAGATCAACCCCTTAACTTACTGAATAACAAAAGGTTTGGCATAGGATTAAAGGGATTGATTGGATCGTGTCTGATTATTTTATGGCAGTGGCCCACAATTAGTTGAAATGGCAGATACACGACTGACACGTATCTTTAGTAAAATCCAACTAGTGGTCTATTATCAATGCTGCATTCTGATTGGTTGAGCTACTACTAGGCTATATGTTATAGCCCACTAGTAGCGAAAAGCACAGGATTTTTGGCGGCAAAAAAAGGATTAAAGTCTTGCTTTCAGTTGTTTTGTCTTGATATTTTTGACCAACTAGTTGGATTTTACTAAACAATTATTCCTCTCACCATCATGGCCTCTGAGTCAATAGCCCATTCAGCCTACAGCCTTATGGGCTATTGACTCAGAGCCCATTCCGGCTTGAGGAATAATCGTTAAATAGCCTGTGCCACAGAGGGAACTAAACCTCTCGTTAAGTCCATCGGCAAAATAGTACCAAAATCCTTGTTCTGGGCCCACACATGTGTACCAGGATTTGAGTATGTGGCTCAAACTGTCAACACTGTACATGTACACAAGAGGAAACGCGGGCTAATAGTTTTTATAAGAAACATGGTATGGCCCGCCCTGCCAAAAAAATATTGGAACAAAAGCAACCCACTTGTGCAGCCATACCCTCTCTATTGGTCAAAAACTATCTAGATAGTCTAGATAGTTTCATCAGTCCTATTCTAGCAATGGTCAATTCCTTTCTTTAGACTGGTCGATTTCCTGGCCCATGACTTCAAAAAAAACAATTTTTAAAAAATAATTTCTAAACTACACCAATATACACCTATATTTGTGGACCTGTTCATACGTCTGAAAGGAGATTGTTTAATAAACCCAAAGGAGCTTTCATCGCAGGAAGTATTATAGGGTATGTTTGATGAAATCTCAAGGCGGATAGTAGTAATGAGTTACAGAAATCGAGAAGAACCCAGGGTGTGAGGGTTGAAATTCAAAAAGTTTAGAAAAAGTCTGTTTGGAATTTAACAAAGCACATAAGAGCAAACCTGTATTTTAGCGTCTCTTACCCTTAATAATCGATCTTTTTCCTGTTTTCCGGGAATCCAGTATTTGAACCCAGCCGTCTTCGTCTGCTATGGCTAACATATGACCACCTAGAGCGGCTTGAATTTATAATAATTATTAAACAAATGAACTAAGCATTTTTATAGTCTACAGAAACAGAGCAAAGTAAGGGCAAGTTCTCGGAAAATAATGATGACTTACTCTTGTTGAAGCGACAAGCAAACGGTGGAACATCGATCTGAAAGAGAGATGGGTGTCCGCTAAGTACAAGTATAAGCTTTCAAGCTTACATCTGTAGCTCACATGCCAGCAGTGAGCTATATTATTGCTGTATTTTGAGGGACTTCTCGAACGCCACGTAGATTTGTGTGAGCTTACCTCTCTTCTTTCGACGAGATGTTCATCATCTTTAATACAAGCGAAAGCCTCCAATGCAAAATCGACGGGCAAAGCTGAAAGAAGTCGTGAAAGAAATATAAAAGTTTACAAATCCGCGACGTTGCGGACGAGTCAAGCTTGTGTATAAAGCTACACATAGGATTAAAATGTGTTTGTTTACTCTACATTTCAGCACTCACCTCTACGTACAGGACTAGGAACAAGCTGACGCTGTAATATTGAGGTAAGAAGAGTCATTTTTGTCTCATCTCATGAAAATCGGAGTAAATTATAGAGCAACGCCAAGGCCGTAAGATCGAAATCTTCACTTGAACTCCCGGGAAATAATTCAAAATGCGCGGGAAACATCAGATAGCCCGCCGAGCATGCTGGTGTTGAATTGTGGGATATGTGATTCAATATGGCGGCCACGATGAGTTTTAGTGGTTTGATGAACTTTGGCGAGAAATCTTCGAGTAATTCAGCTGACAACTGGCAAGATGCAAACACTGCTTTAGCTGAACTTGATAAAGGTACGTTAACATGTAGAGGTACTTATTTTATCAGTGTTTTTGTACCTGCAATCGTTACTGTCGAGAAATCTTCGAGTAATTCAGCTGACAACTGGCAAGATGCAAACACTGCTTTAGCTGAACTTGATAAAGGTACGTTAACATGTAGAGGTACTTATTTTATCAGTGTTTTTGTACCTGCAATCGTTACTGTTTTCAATGCGCTTATTTACTCTTTCTGATCATTTGCTAGGCCTAGAGGTTGAACATAAAATTTGAACAGAATAATCATATCATTTAACAAGGACTCTTTTTTTGACTTCAGGACTGCGATCAAGTAAGACAGGAGAACAGTGTGAGGCAATTGTCCGGTTTCCAAGCTTGTTTGAGAAATATCCGTTTCCTATTTTGATCAACACTGCTCTATTGAAGCTTGCTGATGTCTTTCGAGTTGGGTAAGCTTTACTATAAAAGCTGTGGTCACTGTGGTCTTTCCTCTTTAGCTTTAGAGGTGTACCCTGTTGTGTTTTAAGGTTTTTTACTGTCCCCAATGTAGGTTGCCTGGAACCCAACTTCACTTAACATTGTTAGCATGAACTGTGATCAACATATAAATTCTCCTTATGTCACTTTTTAATCAGTGAGGTAGGATACCGGGGGATCCTGGGAGGGTAGGTGGGAGGGGTACAGGAGGTAAAAAAAGAAAGAGTGGGAGTTCTAAAAATGCAACAAGCAGTACAAATGGACGAAATTACACAGCAATCCAAAATATTTGCAATCAAATTGAAGGGTTGAAGGGAGGAAGGCAAGAGAAAGGTTTGGGAGCCTGGAATGCAAGGTATGGGAGGTCGGAAGTTTGGATTTAATCCTCTCTCCCCCTCCCTCGCTTGTTTTTGAAGCTGCTGCCCCAAATTTTCTGTAAAATACTCCTGTAGTCAATATTTTTTAGCTGGGATCATTTCTTGATCGTCAAAATAGGCAGAACAAACCAAGGGACCTTGATGTCACATATAGATAATGTCATTGCAACTACCAACCCAATTTATACATATAAAGCCAACTGGTGTTTCTGTCTCACTTTGCAATCCACACATGTTCACACGTTCAAAAGGCGATGCAAATTTTGACAAAATTATAAACTCGCTTCACAAGGAATAATATGTTCTGACACAGACTTAATAGTTATCTATATCTTTAGTCAAAGCTCTACACAGAATCACTCAGCTGCAAGCAACATAGTGAAACCGCTTCTTGAATTTTCCCTTGTCTCCACTTTTATTTCCCTTCTTTGTTTTATTAATTATCAGATTTTAAAAGAAAAAAACCAGGAAAACAAAATAAACACCGAGCTACAGGAGTCTTGATTGATTATTCAATGATGAATCAGAAATTTCAAGAATGGCTATCAAAAGTTATTAATTTTTGTTTTTTTCATTTTTTAGGAGTAACTTTCTCCGACTATGCATTTTGAAGGTCACTCAACAAAGTGAGAAACACTTGGACAAGATTTTGAATGTTGATGAATTCTTGAAACGCATTTACTCTGTTATTTACTCAAATGACCCAGTTGCAAGAGCAATCACTGTCAGGTATTGTAAATAATTGATAATCTTATTTATAACAATAATATTTTATTATTTATTTATTTATTTATTTATTATGTAAAACACAATTTGTAAAGTGGTACATGTATGGATCTATTGAAACGTGTTGTTTTATGTAATTTAGAGTTTTTTTCAAGTGTTTTATTTGACAACTTCAGAAGACTGTAGGAAAAAATGTTTAATACAACAAATATTTGTATTCTAAAAAACCTTCTTCACTGTTTGTGAAATCTCAGCAAGTATGATTTTGGTTGTTATGTAGAAGACAAAATTAATTTCTCCAAGTGCTGTTAATGGGCATGTTTCATAAATTGATAACTATCTACAGTGTTTCCTTTAATTTTTGTTAATTTTTCTATGTCCTTTATTTTTTATTTTTGTGGTTTTACTACAGCATATACTGATAGTACCTTTTGTGTTGTTGATTAATAATAAATAAAATATTTACATTCTTTAAATTTTTTTCTTACTTTCAGAGTTCTTGGTAGCATTGCCTGCATTGTGTCAGAGAGAAAAAATGTCCACCATAGGTTGTTAATTTTTTGCAGTCAGTAGCCATTCTCTTTTTTATAGAGTTATTGATTGACTGATTGATTGATTAATTTTGCATAACAGTCATTGTGTCTGGATTTCATTGCAGAGATATCTTTAAAAGATTAAAACAATTCTTCAAGAGCAAAGATGTCTAAAAATTTGACCCCACTTTTGGCATTAAAATATTATTATGTTGTTGAACAGTTATGCATCTAAATTGTCATATGGTTAGTGTGGTTGTGGTCAACAAAACGTCTGGTACCATGTGAACTTAGCATTGATTTCCTTTGTCTCGTAGGGCAAGAGTTCAAGGAAATTGAGAATCAACCTAGGTTAAATCAAAATTAACCTGAAAATCAAATTTGACCTGCAACATATTCAATTCATACATCTTTTTTCTTTGACAAAATTTCTTAAGTCAATTTAAGTGATAGTGTCTCATTTTGAAATGCAAATTTCAGTACTTTTTGTCAGCTACAAAATTACTTGTCCTTAATTTAGTTATATTTATATTTCTATAACAGCATCAGAAGCAGTTTGGACTCTCATGATGAAGTGGAATTAGAGGCAGCTATTTTTGCCACTGACAGATTTTGTTCTCATTCAAGGTATACTCTTTGATAAATCTTCAGAACCCATGAAATTAACTTCTGCCTGCTTCATCTTTAGTACTTGTCAATCAAGCTCTAAAACCCTGAATTCTGAAAACTTATTTAGGTGGGTCTAACAAAGTATTGAATTGCATTGTAAATTATAAATGTACAGTGTATCTGAAAGCCACATTAAATACACACTTTGAAATTTTCTTGACCCACTTTTGTGCAGCATATTTTCTTGGATTTGTTCTTTGGTTGCAGTGTTCTTACCAGACCTAGGCATTGCGGCATTGTCGCACTTTTTCGGGAAATGCCGCACTATAATTAGCCCAAAGAGTCCCAAGGTTGCAAAGAAGGAAAAAACATATTACAAAACTTATGCAAGCATATGACACATAGATACATTTCCTTATAGAGCGGTTTTCACTTGACTGTCGAAAGGGATTGGTTTTGGTTTTGGTTTTGGTCTTACTACGCCCTTTGGTTGGCTAGTGTATTTACTTTGGTTTTGGTTTTACGACAGTCAAGTGAAAACCGCTCTAATGCAAGCCCAAATTTAATTCAATTGGTTATGGCATCTTTAGAAAACACGCATCATTATCTAAGACTCAGAATGTGAAAATGTTGAGTTGACTGTATCTGTATCTTCAGAGATTCCAACCCCATGTGATGGAAAAAAGGGAGTAATTATTAGCGCCGAAGGCGCAAGCTTCTAGGGGGGTCTGGGGGCATGCCCCCCCCGGGAAATTTTGCAAATTTAGGTTCTCTCAAGTGCAATTTCCTGAATTTTGACATCATTCCGGCCTGAGTTATAACATACCATAATGCTCTTCGCGAAGAAAGTAAGTATAATATGAGTGTTTCACAGTGACAGATCACCAAAAATTCTAAAGATTAGCAATTTTTCCCTAGTTTTCAGAATTTTATAATAAATCGGGAGAATTTGGTAAAAATCAGGAGAGCGGGAGGCAAGACATCAAATCGGGAGACTCCCGATCAAATCGGGAGGGTTGGAATCTCTGGTATCTCCCTCGTGATGCCCCTTTTAGCTTCTCTATGGGTCCTGTGGACCCCAGTGTATGAAAACCTGCTAAGAACACTGTTGATTGCTGATGGAATAATACTATATTGTAAGAAGTTTTTGTGTTAATTAATTTTTTTTTATCCACAGGGAATTTGCCTCTGGCCTTTATAATAAAATAGCACAACTAATTGAAGGTAACATTAACACTGAAGCTTCCTGCCGAGTTTTTGTGTCTTTTTTGTGTTATTATTTTTTTGTTTACAGGGTAAGATGTGAGTAACAGAATGAATTTATGAGTTTTGTTACAACCTGTAGCCTGATAGGTCAATTTACTGGCCTCAAAATATCACAGTTTTTAGTATTTTTAGTTTTACCTTATCGGCATTAGTTTGTGTTTGTTATTCAAATGTGCCAACAGCTGAAACACAAGAACTCCACGTTGCCAATGTCATTAAGCAACTGTTTGGTATATTTTTTGGCAAAAGGTGACACAATGTACGATGTGAACTAGTGCTCTCACAGTAATGACTGCTTGGTTGCAAGCAGCAGGAGACAATACTTCCTTGATGAGACATTTTTTCTTATCTCAAATAAGGAAGAAGCACCACTATAATACGTGTGTGTCAAGTTAAAATGTTCTTTTTTCTCTCAGGCTTGAGCACGCCAGTGGAGATGAAGCTCAAACTTATCCCAATTTTCCGCCACATGCACTTTGACTTACAGTTGACAGCAAAGGTTAGCAGAAAATAATCAATATTTTGCTCTTCGGTGCTCATTGAGTAAATACGTATACAAAACTGTGCTCTAAGAAAAATTTACAAGAGCCAAGAACTCTGAACCTACCCACAGGTGATCTTGAAATACAAAACTAATGTAACATGTCTTTGTAAAATTATTAATGACCTTTGAATGATCCAGGGTTAAGCATAACTCTTTTTCTAAACACCTTGCAATAAATTGGAAGCAGCTGGCCTCAACGAAAAGTTCTATTTGGCTTCTATTAAACCGCTGCCTGGTTAGCTCAGTTGGGAGAGCACCGGTCTGCTGAATGGGGGGTCGTGGGTTCAAACACCAGCGGGACCAACACTCAGGGTCTTTAAGTAACTGAGAAGAAAGTGCTGCCTTTGTAATGACATCTGCAAATGGTTAGACTTTCTAGTCTTCTCAGATAAGGACAAAAAACTGTAGGTTCCATGTCACAGCACTTTCACTGATCTGTTCTTGTGGGATGTAAAAGCACCCATACCACTGTTCAAAAAGTTTAAGGGACATAGAACCCAGTGGTGTGGCCGACCATTATGGGTTGTGGGATTGAGTAGGAATGGCACCTTGCATGGGACCTGAGTCCCGTTTGTGCCCATTCCCGCTGGGCAGGCCTGTGTCCAGAAGAGCTGGGTTTTTTTATTAATAAAAATTAAAAAATAGAAAAATATTAAACTGTCAGGCTCTCTAACTGCAAATTACTTTATTGTTGCGTAAACAAAAACAGAATTTGCATCACGTTAAAAGTCACCCAGGACTTTTTTTGTGCACCCCTTAATGGAACTGCCTCACCTCATACTATAGCTATAAGTTTTGCCTTGAACCCTAGGTCAGCACTTATCAGCCTTCAAACAACTGGGCCCAGAACTGGAACTAACAGGTAATAAGCTTGTCCATTTAATTATTATGTTTCCTTTTCTCTTCACAGGTCCATGAGCTGTGTTCTTCACTTCTCATCTCTCATCCAGCCTGCAGATTTGTAGTAGTCACTCTTCATACTTTGTCTTGCCTGGCAGTATCTTCCATCATTGACATTCCAAAACAGGTATTAAAAAAAAACAGCTTTAAAGATTCTAATTTATGGGTAAAGATATGTTTTTGTAAGCATGTCTTTAGCTAGCGTTTCTAGTGTATTGTAGCACCTGTAGCATTCCTGGGATGGTAAGGCATGTGACTGTGGTGTATGACTTCCTTGTGCTCAAATTTCTGTTGTGCAATAGCATGGCATTCTTTCTCTTGGCCCCAGGGGCTTGTGGTTGGGTTGTGGTTGGAACGTTCAAGGGCCTTTGGGTGTGATTGTGCTTTCAGCCCCCAGACCCCCTTGGTGTTATATGATTTCCATGATATTCATTTTATGATTGGTTACTTTTTAACACTTTCTTATTATTGTTGTAATATTTTAGTTGGAGTTATTACTGAAATACTTAGCCCAGGATCCAAGGAAAGTGGTCAAGAATCATGCTCTTGGTGACTTAAAAATGCTTGCCAAAGGTGCTCCACACATGTGGAAAGCTTCACACACAGAGGTACTTATTTGGTTTCAGTCCTCTAAAAATTAAATCATAAAGTTCATTGGAACTTGATGCCTTATCTACTTCCAATAATATAGAGTGTCTCCTACATGTATGCAGGCTTTTGTTCCTAGATTTGTTCTGGTGTGTCCTTGATTGTATAGAACACAATAGTATCATCCTGGAATAACTAGCAAATGTTTTTTTTAGTTTTTCTTGAAAGTCTGTTGAGAGGCTAAAGAGAGTATATATAAAGTTTTACAACTCAACTGTAAAACGCAGTTAATGGAGCGTGACGCCCTCAATCAACAAGATGTAATGCAGTGTTATCCTATAGCCCTTATCAAATCTCGTAGAAGTTTACTCGTGGTGGGTAAAACTACTGGGTAGTACGTAAAATCACGGCTATAGCTGGGAAACTACTGATACAATAGCAATCCTTGTTTTTTGTTGCGGTTGAGGCTAGTTTCTGATGTATCGCTCGTTTTGTATGGCTAGTAAAAATAATTTTCCTCATGCATATCTCGTGGAGCACTTTAGGTGCACGTTCTGTTCGGTAGTACAGTATTTTTCATTGGCTTACCTTGTGATAGCACTCGGACTATAAAAGGCCTAGTAAAAGTCCTGTGCCTCATTCCGAGCTGTATTGCGAAGTTGGTTACTTCAACCGTCCTAAAGTTTTGTAATTCCCACCCTTCCCTCCCTTTGGAGGCTTTGTTGCTGTTCCTAATAAACACGGGCTCACCGCTTTCTTTCGCTTTCGGTTTAAGTCTCACGGCGACTTCCCCAAGCTTTGATTTTAACGCAAACTTTTATATTTGATTGTATTCCAGCACGTGCCGGCGGAGTCGGCTCGTAGTGCTGATAAGATAAAGTTCCTAGAACAAAATATTTGCCTACACCGTTCCATTAAGTTGCACGATGCTGGCCGGAGGTTTCAGCTCGTAGTGCCGTGGAGTGTTAGGCCGTATTAAGTTTGTTTCTTTCAGACCTACCTGAACTTGTCCGATCCGGCGCGTGTAAATTAGCGCCAGGGAGATAAGTAAGGCTTTATGGTCACGCTATGGAAGTCGTCCACCACGCCGATCGCGGAGCGGTGTTCCCCCCATTACGCCATCTGTTTGTTGTCTCATTTTATTACACTTATTGTAAAGTCTAGCGAAAGGAACTACGACATTAATAGGAAAAGATAAATTACTGCACTTCAGACTGCTAACTTCTTTCTTGACAGTAACAATTTTGTAGTTTATCTGACTTTGTTCAAAATACCAGATATTTCCAGTTGACCCAAATGTCTCCTTGTTGTTTTTAGGCTCTTTGTGATTTCATCCTAAGCAGCTGTTATGATAATTTGACATTTGCTGCCCTAAGAATCTTGAGAACTTTATCAAGATCTGAAGCTGTCACTGGCCTGCTTAATAACGACAAAGGTATATCAGTTTAGTTTCTTTTAAGACTAGTCTTTTTTGTCAAACTCCAATAAACAGTGAAGATCTGAAATATTTCAGAGTTCTTGATTGTGTAGTGAACAATAACAATAAGTAAGACGCAGACTAACCACAAAACCAAATACTTGTAACAGTAATATCTCAATGATTGCGTTTTTCTTTTTAACACTAAAATTGTTCCCAGATTAGTTATAGTGCTCATGGTTTTGCGAGTTTCAATGTAAGAAAAAATAGTAAAAATCATGAGAACTTGGTATTTTGTGTGTTAAAATAACTAATAATTTAAATTTCACTTTTTAACAACAGAGTGTGCTTGTTGTCTCTTAACCCTTTACACCCTAAGATCAAAATTTGATTCTCAAGCAAATTCATCTTGTGTGATCATGTCTGTAATTCTCATGACCACTCTGTTTTACAAAGCATTGATATTACAAGGAGAAATTTGATGCTGATCACTCTTAGGGCTTAAAGGGTTAATTATTATTTTCATCCTCGTGTCTAAATGTGTACAAAAGAAATAATGCTGGGAGGGAGGCTTTTGCACATAATTATATCCTTCTTCACACACAAGGTACATGACCATCCGACATCTGACAGCCTTAGGGATATTGAAAATGACACAGTTTGATGATGTATTTTTCTTGCAAGTAGCCTAATGAGAAAGTGAATGACATTATCTAATTTTCAACTTACCTTAACCCATGTCTTTAAATATGATTTTATTGCATTATTCCTATTACTGATTCCTCTTTGTTTTCAATAGTATTTGAAATCTGTCAGAAAGAAAGCAACTCCTGCAATTTAGCTGTAGCAGCATTAACTTCAGAACTTCTCGTCAACATTGCAGTTTCTGCTGTAAAGAATGGTATGTAAAGTTATGGGTGAATCTCCACAGAGGAATGTTACCTTGAACCAGTCAAATTGTAGGAGGCATCTTCACATTTTTATCAACTTATTTTATATGAATACTATTTTGAAAAATTAATTACGACAGCATCTTCAGAACCCCAACTTAAGACCTCCCTGCTATTGCAACCATGCATATTCTTTTGACCCTAACATAAATATCACTGAGTCATGTATTATTTTTGAAGACCCCGTTAATGCGACCAGCTTGTTATGATAACCAGGATGTTATGACCTTAGGGTAGTCGCATTAGGGGGGTTCCACTTTATTTTTTTTTTGCTGTAGATAACAAAAATGATGATCTTTGTGAACAAGCAGCTATGGCACTGGAGACTTCCACTGTTGTTTGTTGTGTTAGTGGACAACTTGAACCATTGAAGGTTAAGCATGTAATTATTAATAGCTCTAAGTAGTATATAGATGAATTTTTACTAAGAACTCTTTGTGGAAAAGTGCTGTTTTAGAAAAACTTGTACATGTTGTAGGTTAAAATCATTGTTATGTGAAAATGATTTCAAGTGAGACTTTTTTTGTAGCATATCTGTGAGGAGAACTATTTTGAAATAATAAATCAATGCTTTCTGTGCAAGCCCAAACCCGGAAAGCTGTATTCTTATACTGGGAAAAGAGCATGTATTGATGCATGTAAGAAACCTTAAATGGAGCTTTGTGAAAAAATTTAGAGACTAAGTGAAAATTTCCACAAAGGCATGGTATCTTAACAAGAAATGTTTCAGGTGAGGTTTTCTCGACTGAATGTTATATAAAATTATTTTTTTCTGTTCTTGGTTAGGTATGCTTGTTGTCAATGAATAATTTGGTGGATAGCTATCCTCAAGCAGGCTCATCTCTGATGGAAAGTTTAGCCAGTCTCTTGCCATCATCATCGGGTAAACAGAAAAAATATATACTACCAAGGTCATAAAATAATCCTTTAGGAAATTCAAAGAAAAATCTCATATGAACGAAGTTAAGGCAATGTTAACGAAACCATGTCAGCCAATTGCTTTCTTAGAAAAGTGTCAAAAAGGCAGATAGCTCCTGATGGAAAAACGTTTACTAGCTTTAAATGACCCAGTTAGAGACAAATCTTGAGGTGCACAGATTTTCTGCAGTAAGTCAGACATTACTAAAGAAAAGTACACCCTTAGTGTCTGAGAAGTTCAATTATTCAGTTTAATAAAGTGCATTTGATCATGTGCCATGGAAAATTGCACTATATACGTTTTGTTAATTATTTATTATTATTAATTGTAATTGCAGAGGCTCTATTTCATCATTATTGCTGGCATCAAAAACTTTATGGCTATAGTAGCTGTTTTTTCTCTTAGGTGCAGTAGCCCTTGCACTTTGCCGTACAATGGTCATTATGGCAACACAGATGCCATATGTTGTGGCTCCTTTAAGAAATGAAATTGTTTCTCATTTTGCCAAAGTTGTGGTTGGTGCTGATGACAACAGCCAGGAATCAAAAGATTTAGTGGTATGTATGTATGTACTTGGCTCTGTTCCTTCGGTGTCTGTACTATGGAGTTTTCACTGTAAACGGACCCTAAACTATAATCTTTTTTTATTTTAACTGTATATTTAACAATTATTTTTATTATTATCCCATGAGTGCACATTGGATATGAGTTGGCTATAAACATCTCATATCCAACAAGCGCTAGTAGAATTGTTTTATTAAAAACTCCCACAAAATATCAAGAATTCTTCCCGACTTTATTTGTAAAAACAACCGATTTTCAGTTTGTCTTTAATTTTGAGCAGACATGTACAGTTATCGTATTTGGAAAGCAAGCCAATCAGAGCTCTAGAATTGCATTATCCAATGATTCAGTTATTAATAATTCTTGCTATTTTAGGTTGGCATGGCAACTTTGATTTTCCAGTCATATCAAGGTGTGTCACAGGATGAAGAAGGAAAATTAAAATTAGACCATATGATACTAGAGCAGCTGGAGAGATTAGCAACATCCTCAAGATACTGGACCATATTTAGAGTTGGAAAGCAAGCCACAAGACAGGTTTTTAAGTCTTTATTATATGGATGGAGCGTTAAAAATAGTTTCAGCGATTCCAGTTATTGTCCAAAAATTTTGAAATGAATCCTGTTTGCTTGGTTTATGTCTAGTGAACACTTTTTAGAGGGAAATAAACTTAGGGCAATGTAACCATGTGTGGCGAACATTTAATGCTTTCAACACTGTTCACTAGGAACAAATGTAAATCACTTTGCTAGCTTTATTTGTCAGAGAAACAAAAGAGGGCATCAGGAAAGGATTGCAAGAAAAAATAACAACTTGGAAACGCAAATCTTTTTGCGACGTTTGCTGCAAAAACTACAGTAAAAATACATGTACATGGAATGTTTGTCCGTTGTATTCAATGATCACTAAATAACTTTAATAAAAACATCCTCGTGAGGTTTTTCAGGAACTATTTACAAACTATTTCCAATTTATAAAGCAAAAATGACAATAAAAACTCGAAATCACAATTTATGATGGTATTCTACTAAAATCTAAAGCTTATGAAGGAAATGTCTGCCTCAATAGTGTGTCTTTCAGGGCGCGCTTGAAAGATGCCGATGAGGCACTTTGCCTAAGTTCATTATGCAAGTTATTCCATATGTAGGCCCCTCTGTAGGAAAATGTGCGCTGGCCTATAGCCGTTCTGTATAGCGGAATCTGCAAAGAGTTCCGTGTACGAGTGTTACGAGTATGTATATTTGAGCGCTTGGTAAACTTGCTCGTTAAGTATTGAGGCGCAAGATCGTTCTGACATTTAAAGGTCAAAACGGAGTCTCTATAGAATAATTGTTCTTTAACAGGAAGCCAGTTTAGCTCTCGAAGCAAAGGTGTTACGTGGTCAAACTTCCTAGAGTTTGTTACGATCTTGCTGGCAAAATTCTGAATAGATTGTAATCTGTTTATATTCTGGAGTGTAGTATTAGACCATACAGATGAGCAGTAAAGCATCTTGCTAAAGACTAATGATGTTATTAACAACTCTAGTGTTTCCTTGTCGAAGCTCCTTTTGACTCTATTTATTTGGCAAAGCTTTGCGAAACAAGATGACACTACACATGAAATATGGTGATCGTAGGTCAGATGGGGGTCAAGAAAGACTCCCAAGTCCTTGGCAGAGTCTGTTGGCTTCAGTGTTTTACCTAAGAATACCACTCTAGGGTCTTCTGGTAACCTGCTTAACATCTGTCTGGTACCGAAAAAAAACCGAAAAGGAGTTTAGTTTTATCGGGATTGATAAGTAGATGGTTCTCACAGCACCATTGAGCTACACTGTGAAGGTCTTGTTCGAGCTTTTCAATGGCAGCATCAAGCTCAACGAGAGGAAATGACATGAATAGCTTTGAGTCATCCACATACCATTCTAGTTTGCAAAACGTCGGTGACGTGGGTAAATCGTTGAGATAAATGCAGAACAACAATGGTGATAGGATTGCGCCTTGAGGAACTCCGTGAGTTATAGGTAGAGTGTCAGAGTAGGTGGAGCCAATTCTCACGTATCGCCTGCGACCAGTTAAATAGCTCTTGAACCATTTGACAGTAGAGGGTGAGGCTCCTAAGATGGAGAGTTTGTGGAGCAACCTTGCATGGTCTATACTGTCGAAGGCTTTGGATAGATCTAATAGTACTAGTGCTGTTATCTGTTTTTTATCCATTGCTTCGAGTATCTTATCCGTGAGCAGGATGTTTAAGGTCTCTGTAGAATGAGCTTTTTTATTGCCGCTTTGGTGTGAGGTAAGGCGGTTGTTTTTCGTGAGATAGGCGCTGAACTGATTCAAAACAATCCTTTCGAGGACCTTTGAAGCTACGGCTAGCAGAGATAACGGTCTGTTGTTGGCAGCTTTTTCATGGTCACCATCTTTAAGAATCGGAATCACCTCAGCAACTATGAACACCTCAGACACTTTTAAGTGAATGAAATTGTCCCAAAGCCCTACTTAAGAATTTTCTACCACTGACTGCACTCTTCAATGATATTATTGCTGTATGAGAAAGGGTTAGCCTTTTTACTTAGAACTGAGGGTGCTAGTGTCTACTTGACTTTGTCATATTTTGGTTGTCATTGACAACCGTTATTTGTCTTTCTTTTCAGGGATTTCATAGCCTCGCAGCAAAAATTTTTGAAACCCTTTCCTCTAAGGTATGTTTAGTGTTTATGAAAGCCTGCGAGAGGGCGGCGGCTGTAAAAAAACAAACAAGAGAAGCGACGTCCGGAAATGTGTCTGTGTCCTCAGGCTAGTGCACCCTCAGAAAAGCTTAATTTCTGTGTCGGTCGAGGTTTCTATTGATCGCTTATTTGATAACCTTGAGGCTAGAAAAGGAAATTATTGTTTTGGAAAAATGTCTCAAAAAGGTCCCGAATTTTGTATGTCAAAAATTATATTCGAAACCTGACATATGAAGCAGAGGTTGCGATTTTTAAGAGAAAGAAACCGACTGTTTTTCAGTCTATCGTAAATAAGATAGCTCTCTTGGGTTTGCGGTCGTCTCGCCACCAAGAAGTCTACTCGCCACTACATAACTCCGCAATAATTGACACTGTTTACTTACCTGGGATTAGTACTTCTTCCTCAAGCCCAAATATAAGTTTATCGATTTTAATTGACACCTTGTGTCGAACTTCTCATCTTTAGTTTTAATTTTTGTGAATAATTGCCACTTTTTAATACCTTAATACGGCTTATTTGCATCGCTCGAAAAGTGCGATTTGTTTAAAATCCAACAGCCTTTCTTATGAAGGTTGGTTAATATTGTCAATTGAACATCACCTCCTTAAATTCCTTTATAAATTTAAAGTGAAAGAATTCTTTTGAGAGATTTGTCCTTTCGACAAGTATAAAGATATATCAGATTTCTTGGTGGCGAGGTGACCGGATACCCTCCCTAGGGTTTGTATACTTCGTAGGGGAAATGTAGCGGTTTGACAAACGAGATTAAAATATTTTATTTGATCTACAGGTTGCTTCTGAACATTTTTACTTTTGGCTTAATGCTTTGAAGTTCTTCTGTGAAGCAGAGCGTTTGTTGAAAGATGAATGTGATTCTCAGCTAGCGCTGTCCAAGCAAATATCTGATGCTGGCGCTAAATACCAGAAAGGGATTACAACACTCAAGGTCTGTACTATTACATCATCCTCAAAAATTGAAAATAGAATGTAAAGGGCTTAGTTTACAAAGAAACTCTGGTCCTGCGTTGTTGGTGGTGGTGACCAAAAAAAGATTGAAAAGCTTACGCTTCGAGTGCTTTTAAAGGGGCACCTTCAACCAGTGTGCATTGCGGTTGTGCACTTCACCAAAGTCATTTGCTGTAATAAGGAAATTACGAACGTTCTGGTTGTGTTTGAAAATCGGATTGTACCTTCATAACCTAAGGCAATAGCAGGCTGTGATACCCTTCTTAAAATAATAACGATTATAAATAATAACGATTTAAAGGTAGCATATCTACGTAGAGGTTCTTCGTTTACCATTCCTGGTCGAATTGGAAAGTGTTGGTTTTTGAGGAGACGGGAAAACGCGGAGTACACTGAAAAAGGCTTCGCAGAGCAAGGTAGCGAACCAACAATAAACTCAAGCCACAATTGACAAAAGGCGTTGTCGCCGGGATTTGAACCCAGGCCACATTGGTGGGAGACGTGTGCTCTCACCACTACGCCATCCCTTGCTCCTGGTTTGCTAAGAGAGAAATATACTTTGCCGTGCGTCTATTTCTTGTTGGACCACAAAGTGGTAGAAAACTCAAGCAGGAAAGTGGAAGAATCGTGAAAGGAGGTACCCTGCGAGCAGCGGCCTCTTCGATCTTCCTAGATAAGATCGAAGGGCCTCTGCTCGCAGGGTAGAAAGGAGGAAACGGTAACCTTGGCGCCTAATTCGATTCTCCCCTTGTTTACTTGTCGTTCTCTGAGTCTACAAAAGGGAATACACTGTACATATGGAATCCAAGCTGAACTAAAACAACTTCTATGATAAGTTTCTTCGCCGTGTTGTAGATTGTAGTATGAGATTCAGAATTTGATACTAGAGCCTGAATGCAGCAATAGCGAATCGTGATGTGTAGGAGGAGATCTCCGCGAATGTACCGTTAACTCCCGGTGGTCGAAGGATGATGTTGTTGTCGGGTGAATCGACTCCAGTTCCCAGTCAGACATCAGAAACAGCTTGGATGCTGGGACCCGTTTCTCGAATGTCCCAGTAACTTTTCGGACTCGAAATCAAATTTTCAAATTGAAATATAAAGAATAAGAGCGCGGGTCCTGGCTAGCAAACTACTCCATTTTTGTTTCATTAACTGATAGTTTTATCATGTTAGATGCAAAACTATTGAAACCTCTATCTTGCATGCAAATTAAAACAGCTTTACGGGCCCGTTAATTATCGGGACTTTCGAGAAACGAGCCCCTGGTCTGTCTTAGAGAATGAATAGTTGAGTAATACTGTGCATTATTTGCCCGTCACATTTTAGGCATCTGTGCAGTCGTCAAACCATCAGCTGTCTTTCCAGTGTACGTATGCAAGTCTGAGAGCTGAGATGTTCCAAGCACATAGTCGGCTTCTTGCATCTTGTGCAACCGTGAAATCCTGTCCTCCGCCTGCTATTGCTACTGCTGTTGCCATGGCAACTGGTCAAGACGTTCAACGGTTGAGCCATTTTGCCGCTCAAGTAAGTCTAATTGAAGAGTTACATGTAGTTGAAAGAGCGTTGAGTTTAGCTGAGGCGCGTGTAGTGTACACTCTAAATCAGAAAGATCTGTTTTAGCCCTAAAAATAGGGCCGCTTCGGTGAGTAAAATACAGTCCTATTTTTGAGTCTAATTTGGCTCCCTTTAATCAGGGCCAATACAGTCCAATTAGCTAGGGCTAATTTGGTCCCAGGGCTGAAATGGGCCCTACCGTGGGCTGGAATAGCCTTTTGATTGAGCTTTTTTGGCCTAAATTGTGCTCAAATGAATCCAGGAAGGGCTGAATCAGACTTTGGCCAGCAGGGCTGAATTGACACTTTGGGGCTGAAACAGATCTTTTTAATTTTCAGTGTAATGCATGTCTAGTTCAGTCAAGCATTCATAGGCGGTAAGGTTACCTGGGTGTGAACAAAATCTTTCTTTCGACACGGGCCAGTTGCTATCGAAATATCACATCCTTTGCCGTCGCGTTGTCATTGGTAAATCTGCCTTATGGATGGAAGGAAGAAGAAATTCGTTGATAACTCCCTTAGCATTGCTCTCAGGCTCATTACAATATCATCCCCGCAGTCTGTGCTAAACAAAACATTATGGTTAGTGTCATTGCTGTTCACTTATGTGACAGGACACATCAAGAACTAAGTTTCAAGACCAAACCGCTCATAACAAATAAAGCCGGGGACGTGATCCTGTGACTTTATGCCCACCTCGTATATGTCAGAATAACTTTACTGATATTGCTTTTTAAGATGACCGAATGCAGCAAACTGTTCCGCTGTTTGGGGGGAAAATATGGACAGTTGTACCGCTCCTCATTTAATGCGGACCCGGTCAGTCTGCAGAATATCGAAACGTATCCTTTTATTCAGCTTTTGTTCGAAATGCTGTGATTCTTGTTCCAAGTTTGATTCCAAGCACTAAATCTGAGTAAAATGAAGTCCTTGATATAAGGAACCATATTCTTCGCCCCAGAAAGAGTTTCAATATAACAAAACCTCTTTATAAACGAACATATTTTGCCAGTTCCTTGGGCCTTAGCTCGCAAGCACGCAAAAAATCGTAAATTTTACAGCTGCTTGCAAACCCAAGCATAAGTGGGAAGCAGCGTGGCGGAGTGGTCAGTGCGCTGAACACCTGTTATGGCTACCTCTTTATCAGGGTACGGGTAGAATGTCTGTGATTTTCTGTTTTTGTACTCTGCATTTTTTTCCTGAAAAAGGTTAACTTAAAGATGATCGATTAAAATTCCTTGACGAGTTTCTCAGTCTTCAACAGAGCTGTTTAATGATATCACACAGTATTGATGTTTTAATGAAAACTTCTCAGCCAAGGTAAAACAAGTTAATTTAGTCATTTGATGCGTGATGTTCACAAGAGTGTAATGTACTTTTCTCAGTGTGGCCCTGGACAACGTATATGTAGCCAGGCTGTTTTGAAGGTGATAAGTCGTCCGGTGCTCTTCGTTACGTTACGTTTCGTGATGTTGAGTAATTTTACTTAAAGTTGCGTTGGGTTTCTCTAAGTTGCGTTACGTTATGTCACCGAGGCTTAACACGCATGTTAGACCTCGGAAAGATTTGTCTGCATCTACTGAGGAGCCCATTAACGGACTTCCATGACAATATTTCTCGAGCTTAACCCTTTAAGCCCCAATAGTGACCCACATACAATTTCTCCCAACAATAACACTGCCTGTTTAAACAGACAGGTCATGAGAATGAATGAAATGATCACCAAAGATGAAATGTTGTGATGTTAGAACAAATTCTCTCCAGCAGTACCATAAGGAATGTGTGAAGAACAGTGTGGAGAAGATGCATATTGATGCTGGGGCTTAAAGGGTTAAATTCAATATATGTGCGACTTTTAACACGCTCATCTGTAAACCTCTGAGCTTATATTTGGATTTGTTTGTAGCTCGTCTTTAGGTGAGCAAGGAAGCAGTGTCAACAAGTCTTCCACGTTTAGACGTAGTCCACTTTCCCTGGCGTGCACAGAAATTCTACAAACAGTAGAGGTTTGTCATTGACTTCAAATGTTAATGGACTATGACTAACAAATATACCGACGTCTCTTTTACTGGCGTATATATTCCATTGTAGTCTGAAATGTCATACGTCTCCACCCCCTAACCCGTGGGGATCTCTCTCTCCCCACCCCCCACGGGTAAGCTGGTGGAGACGAATGACATTTCAGACTACTTCCACTGCAGCTTAAGGGGAAGTGGGGAAATTAAGCCAAGGCACACGAGAAGCGAGTTCGTGAAGGTTTCCTTCTCTGCTTCCTCGCGCGTTCCCTTTCCGTTCCACCAGTCCCACAGGTTGCGTATCATTAAATAAACTGCTCACGATAGCTTCTTCAGTTCTGGTCTCCCTTTTGGGACGTTAAAGGGCCCATACTACTGTTCAAAAAAAAGTAGGGGACGTAGTCCCGGGTGGTGTGGCCAACCTTTCCTGGGTTGGGTGGGTTATCTCTAGGGAGACATCTTAATATAGGGATAACCTGATGATCTTCCTCCAGGTGTCGTAATGGCAACCTGTAAACTGTGTATTTTATTGTATCATATTAGTCCACCTCACCAACGATACTCAGCTATTAAAAAAGTGTTTATTTCAACGAAAGAAGCTCCGGAATATCTTTAAATGAAAACTAGCTCCTTCATCTTTAAAACATGTATTACTCGCCTTATGAAGAGGCTCCTGGCCAGGTATCCTCATGTTTTTTTTTTTTTTTCAACAAGCTAACTACAGTCACTAAACGTTAAATTTTTTATTTGACTTTTTACTGTATAATTTTTCTTATCTCTTTAGGAGCTAGCAATTCAGCTGGAGGCTCTTCCTGTTTGCCACTTGGTAAAATGATGAATCATTTAATGATATCCATGTAATTTATTGAACACTGAGCAGACGCAGTAAATTAATAAAGTTTTTTAACTTTTGTACACTGGTTTCACTTGCTAATGAAGTAATTTTATCAGTTAAGGAATCAAAATTAATGTGCGAAGGTGTGAAAACTTTCTTAAGTTAATTTTTTTCTGGATAGATGAATAACTGACTTGGATACTAACAGCCACCTACTTTTCAAACACCGAAAAGAAAGTTCGAAATAAATAATGCGGCAGAGTTCTTTTAGTCTAGTTAATTTGGGAAATGTCAGTGTCATGATATTGATTTATGGTTATACATTTTATCGTTTTTCAGCAAACTGAATGTCTTATTCGGGCTTCCATGACTCTCCTGAAGGTGCCGTTTATTTTCCCGAAACACTTCTTCTCCAGTCAACAAGCCACGTTTATCAAGGTTTGTACTCAAGAATTTTCTATGTATCTATTTTGGTGACTCCTAGATTGCCTGTGCAGTAGAAGCTCTCGTTAGCGGACACCCTCGTGACGCGAAAAAGGTGCCCGTACCTGGAGCTGGTCGCTTACGGAAATGTAAAAATACAGAGTTTGTATGAGAGTTGAGAAAAACGGGGTTTTGTGAAGGTGGCCTTGACTAGAGCTGTCCTCTTACGAGGGTGTCTGTTAGGAGAGCCTCCTCTGTATACAGTCTTGATTTTGTTAGCTTTATAAAAGTCGTGGAATTTTGTTTTCTAGTTGCCGTGTTAATAACCGTTATATCGCTCGCTACGCGCTTCATTTAACTTTTCTGAACCAACCTTGCATTATTTGATGTCGTCGTCTTTGGTTCACGACATAATTTATAAACAGTTCAGAAAAGACATTATCTTCGCAAGATACTACTAGAAAACCGGAAGGTACTGGTGGGTACTGGTGGGAATTTTTCTGTTGCACTCGCAACCTCGTTCCCAGGGTTCTCTCCTTCGTTCCGTAGGGCGGGTAGGAGAGAACCCTGGGAACGAGGTTGTTGCACTCGCACATTACCAGTCAAAATGGCGGGAGTGGGGTACAGGTAACCCATGGAAAACGCGCGAAAATCTAGTGGGAATGGCGCGGGAATGGAAAAGATGCTAGTTTTGTCTCGCGGTCCGTATAAAAGAATCTTTTTTGAAATTAGTTATAATCAGTAAGAGACAGGACGCAACATGTTTGAAATGAATGAACATTAGGTAGAAATTCCTTTCTTGTGACAAAACTTGAATCTGTTTACTTTATGTAACACTTATTTGCCAGTCATCCTCACGTTTTGAACAACAATTACTTTTGCTAATCTTGGTCTCTCCTGTCATGCAGCTGGCGTTGTCACCTTCGCCTCGGTCGCCTTCAGAACCAATTTCGGTCACACTGGATACACAATTTGTTCTTAAGGTGGAAGGAGTCATAGAGCGCAGTCAAAAGCTAGGTCAGAGTCTTGTTAGAGGTGTAAACTTATACTTTTACTACAGTATTGTAGTATGACCCGATGTAATGTTAGTAACTTAATTTTCCCCAAATGGTTTTACATTTGGTTTCAACTTGGAAAACAACTACGATGCCACGAACTATTTTTTTTACGAATGTTTTTCTCATATGAAATCTGTAGTAGACATTCCACTTCATAGTTGCACGTTTGTCCTGAACTGGCTAACGACGTATTGTGCAAAATCATCCGCCTTGATCAGGTCTCAGGCTGTAAGTCTTAGCTCAAAGCCATAACCAATCCCTTGTTTACATTACATGGGCTCAAAGTTGGATTATGGAGTTACCTTCACCATTCAATTTTAGTTTGTGTTGTTTTTCTTGTTTATAGGACTTTACCGCGATGTGCAGTCTGTTTGCTTGTCAGTAACATGGCGCGCTGAGGACAGAAAGCCACATCCCGTAGATGAAAAGGTTTGTATTTGTTTCTAGACTCACAGTAGTTTTGGGCCCTTCAGACTCATTGAGCGTAGACTGCAAGACAGTTCGTATTTTTGCGTATTCAAGTACCTACGCGCGAGCAGTCAAACAAAAGGTCTGGAACGAGGCTAAAAACAGAGAGCGAGACTGGGGAGAGACCGTACGGGCGAGTGAGACTCGTGCGCTTTGCGCGCGTAAGACTGTTACGCCACGCTTTACCGATTTCTGTACTGATTTTCTCTGGTACTTGCAACACAAGCAGTGTAAAAGATTTCTGAAATTTCGGTGTATTTTCTTTATTTCAGACTTCCCGAGATCACGTGACCAGCTTAGAACAAACAGTAGTTCCCCACCATGATTACTTTAGTGCCCAGTTCCTTCTCCAGTTTAGTACACAGTCTATTTATCACGTGACTGTGTCTTCTAGTGTGATTGACAGTTCCGGGATACTGTGGAATACAGGGCCCCAGAATACCCTGCAGGTTAAGACCACGGATTCTGCCAGTAGAAAGCAGAGAACGTCTAGATCATAGCCAAAGACTGGTGAAAGACACACTGTATTTGATTTCAAAAGGCAGTGAACGCAAGAATGACAACCACAATATGATGGAGTATCGAGATGTGGCCCACTCTCCCCCCCCCCCTCCTCCCCAGAAGTGACTTAATTTTCTTACTCTTGGTCCAGTATCACTCAAATTCATGAAATCTTATTGTATTTAATGTAACATTCATCAGCATACTATTCGTTGAATATGTACAGCTACATTTTTTAAAGTAAACTTAATAAAAGTCTCCTGTCTAATTTACAGCAATTTAAAGTATGCAAACCTTTTTTCAAAGACATGCCAGCACTAAATGAAAGATTAGTGTTGAGGTTCAATTTTATTCTTGGTTTAAATTTTATTATCCTTTGTTTTAAACTCATTATCATACATCACCATACCAAGAAACAAAGGGAAATATAATTTAAGCCGAGGATAAAATTGAATCAGAACATAAACACTTAAATTCTTCTGTACTAAAACACCACATCGCAAAACTGAAACTGTACAAAATTAGCCGGGTTCCTGATTTCCTATCAGCAATGTTCGCAATCGGCAATTATCAGAAAGTAAAATAATTACTCTTCCCAGCTGATTCTTCCTATTATTGCACTGGTCTACTTCTGTCTCGCTGTTTTAAAGTCAGGAAATTCAGTAAAGCTGTTTGAATGCGAGCTTTTTGCTCTCTACAAACACAACTCTGTTCACTCCCCCCCCCCCTCCAATTTAGTTTCATAGTCAAAGGGGCCTTAACACGTAGCGCCCGAGCTTCAACCATACAAGATGTCCCTTCATCGCTTACATGGAGGTTACCAAAGAGGTACAAGTTGTTTTAGTTTGCAATTACTGTCCTTCAAAGTCTTAACCAAATACCCTGCTCTTTCATCGGTTAATTTGTCAGGGGCACCCAACGGCAATTTTCGGGAAAATATCTGTTCGGAAGACGATTTGAGACCTAGAATTTTCGGAGCATTTGTTGTAAAATTTCTTGCTTGCCTGCCTCTCCTAGGATTTTCGAACATCTACAAAATGGTATAATTACCCATTTTTAACCAATTTTGACCCTAAAAAAGGCCACCTAGAATTTTCGAGAGCCTTTTCCTGGCAAAAATTTTCGAGAAGGTATGTTTTTATCCCTATAATTTTCGGATCACTAGACTTTCAGCTAGGAAATCCGAACAGATGAAAAGATTTTAGGGGATAAAAATATGCCTATATTTACCGTTTGAATACTAAAATACGTTCAACAGTGCTATGTTAAGTGGTTTTGAACTATATCCTCGTTGGGTGCCCCTGATTTGTAAAAGGCTAGGTTTTTATTTTGCATTTACTGTCCTTCAAAGCTTCAGCCAAATACTTTACTCCTTCATTGGTTAAATTGTTTCCGGCGAGGTTTAAGCTGTTTAGTTTACAATTACTATCCTTCAAAGCTTCAGCCAAATACTTTACTCCTTCATTGGTTAAATAGTTTCCGGCGAGGTTTAAGCTGTTTAGTTTACAATAGGCCACTTGCACTAAGAGGTCACGTGACCAATGCTTCCTTTAAACAATGAGTTGGAATCTTGCTGATGCCAAAAATTGTTAGAGCACACAAAAATTATCTTACACCCGAAATTTGAGAGGAAACGCATTTAAGGGAGATATTTTGTGGCACTTTGATTTTTCAGCAAAGTAGTATGATTTGTATTGGCCGCCATGTTGGAGGGCATGCTCTTGCCCTCCAACATGGCGGCCAAAACTACTTCTTGCTTATATCTTGTTCAACGTTTCATAGTTACGCTCAAATGTGCTGTAAACGTTATCACATCATCTTTTCAACATTCTCCTTGACGTTTAAGTGCAAAATTTGTGTTCAGAGAGAGGTAATTCATAATTTTAAAAATCACATTTTGGTCACGTGACCATTTACGAACTTATTCATTTTAAGAAAATGGTGCGGGTTTGAAAAACCAAATCACCATTATTTTGTTTAAGATATGATCCACTAATCGTTTTTCGAAGGCAAAATCATATTTAACTTTCATTTTCATAAAAACGGTGTCACATGCCTCTTAGTGCAAATGGCCTATTACTATCCTTCAAAGCTTCAGCCAAATACTTTACTCCTTCATTGGTTAAATAGTTTCCGGTCAGGTTTAAGTTGTTTAGTTTGCAATTACTGTCCTTCAAAGCTTCAGCCAAATACTTTACTCCTTTACTGGTTAAATTGTTTCCGGTGAGGTTTAAGCTGTTTAGTTTGCAATTACTGTCCTTCAAAGCTTCAGCCAAATACTTTACTCCTTCATCGGTAATTGGGTTAAAGCTAAGGTTTAAACTGTTTTATGTGCAATTACTGTCCTTCAAAGCTTCAGTCAAATACTTTACTCCTTTAATGGTTAAATTGTTTCCGATGAGGTCTAAGCTATTTAATTTGCAATTACTGTGCTTTAACGCTTCAGCCAAGTACTCTACTCCCTCATCGGTTACTCTGTTACCACCGAGCCTTAAGCTGCTAAGTTTGCAGTTACTATCACTGTAAACCTTGCATATTTCTTTACATCCCAGGCAGTCAATCTCGTTATTTCTCAAGTTAATCATTAAAATGTCGTTCTTCTTTTTAAGAAAATTGGCTATTGCTGTACATTCAACAGGTCCTAGTTGACGGCATTCAAACACTACAGCATTAAAACCAATCTCTTTTACTTTGTTTTGCACGGCTGAATCATCTGCGTCAATCTCATATAAACAGTAACATAACGTTAACGCTAAATTTGCATCAACCTCACTTGGCCAACAGGTTACTATGCCTGGCTCCAGTTCCTCTTGCTTTTCCTTATATGTCGACACTGGCAGAAGGTTCGTGAAAATGTTAGTCATTCGTTTATCTCGGTCACTGAGAAGTCCAGCCACAAACTGCAACACCACTTGCCATGCACCGTCCGTGATGTGACTTTTAACAAATTGTCGTAATTCGGCTTCTTCCATGTTGTCTGTCACGTGCTTTGCTGCGAAAAACTCTTGGATTGTCAGATGCTGGAAACAGTATTGAGCTTTTGGTTTTTCGAGGGATCGCTTCGCCTCTGGTTTTAAATCAGGCAAGCGATGAAGTAGGCCACAATCCTCTAGGTTCGTAACTTCGTCAGATTCAAACGTTAATCTTCCTTCTTTAATTCCTTTAAAAGCAATTGTTCCCAGTTTCTTAAAATCCCCTTTCACGTCTTCAGCCAGCTCATCGAATTTTTTGAAAATTTCGTCCTGAACATCAGTTTTATTGCGGTATCTGTCACTGTGCCTGAAGAACATAAGCTTTACGGCGAAGCTGAATATATCGGTTAGCTTAGTTGGCAGGCTAGTTAAACCATGAATGGAATTGGAACTAAAGTTCTGCAGCATGTATAGCAAGCAGGAACAAATGATGAAACAGTTTACAGGTATATAGCACAGCGAAAAGAGGTTAGGGTTGTTGCTGATATGTTGCCATATCTTTTCTCCTGCACCTTTGTCATCCCCTGCGAACTTCTCCACATAGTTTTTGACTTTCCCAGATGAAAATCCAAGAATTTCAACTACTCTGCTGAATTCAAGATCTCTTACACACGATACAGCAGTAGGTCTTGTAGTCGTTAAAACAGTGGCTCCATTAAGAAGTTTTCCCGACGCAATTTTCGTGTACAAAGCATATAAAGGCATTTTAGCTTCCACAGTGTTTTCATAAATAGAGTCATCTTCTTGTATGTTTTTCCTTGCAGAGAATTCGTCAATTCCATCGAAAATAAAAAGCACTTTGCTTGGGTTTTCACGAATGTAGTTCCATACCACATCATTCATATGTGTTGAAAATTCTGATTTATTCAAAAGTTCTCGAAGGTTAAGCTCTGCAGCAGAGTTCAGTCTCCTAAATTTAACAAGGAAAGCAACGTCAAATCGTAATTCTGAATTTTTTGCTTCATCGAATAAGCGGTCGCTTGCCCAATCGCGCATAAACTTTGTGCAAAACAACGTTTTGCCAATTCCAGGGCGACCAACGATAAGAATATTCTTGTGCTGATCATCAACAATGTCTCCGGGTCCTTTTGGTGGTAAATGTTTCTCTGGTTTGGGGTACACTTTTAGCTGTTGTCGCCTGTTTTCAGGAAAGTGATAATAGGCTCTTCCACACTGTAATTTTCAGGGAGTTATAATAACTCCTCTAGTGGGGCTAATTTAACTCCTTACAGTGGAGTTATTTTTCGTGGAGTTACTTTAACTCCAAAAAGGAGTTTAAAGAACTCTTTTTCAGGAGTAAAAGTGACCCCAGATATTGAGGAGTTAAAATAACCCCAAAAACGGAGTTATCCTGTACCTAAAATTTTTACTCCACTTTCAGAGTTAAATTAACTCCAAAAAGAGTAAAAACAACCCATGTAAGGAGTACAAATAACCCCATTTCGGAGTAATTTTAACTCCAGAGTGGGAGTAAAAATAACTCTTTTTCAGGAGTAAAAATGACCCCAAATTCGGAGTTAAATTAGGAGTTAAAATAACCCCAAAAAAGGGGTTATCCTGTACCTAAAATTTTTACTCCATTTTTGGAGTTATAATAACTCCCTAAAAATTACGGTGCAGGATGAATAATTAACTTAGTATAAATTTGGTCGAGTTTAAGATCTTTAGGTTGATCGCCTTCACCCGGGTTCGGTTTGAAGGGTGAAGAGAGATCTGTAAGTAGATCGGTGTTCTTTAAGACACTTTCCTTCATGCGCTTTAAACAATTTTGTAACTGAGGTAAATGTTCTGTTTCCAATGTTTCGTGATTTTCTTCCTCCTGTGAAACTTGCAATTCTGGTTGTGATATAACCCTCAGAGTTATTTCTTGTCGTGAATTTTGTTTACCAGAAGGCTCTTCCTGGGGATCATAATTCGATTTAAGATGATCGGTATAAAACTGTTGGTCATTCATGAATTTTTTTCCTTTTCTTACACGCGACAAAATGATAAAAATCTCAATTAAAAGAATAAATGCAAAAAATCCATCAACCCCGCATAAGGCATACATATACGAGGTCTTCTTATGTGCTCGCTTAGTGCTGCATTCATATGTTTGAGTTTGTGCTTTCCCAGTTGCATTCGCTTTTTGATTAACTGCTCCTCTCGTGACATTACACTTGAAGTCTGAAGGAAATTTACGAGGATAAAATAGTTCAGTTTGCAGAAAGACGATAAACACAATCCCGAGACAGAGCCTGGTGATAAGTTGAAAAAAGTATGCTGTGAAGAGTTTTCTTTGACGACTTGAGTTCACCGTTTCATCCTGTCCTCTTTCGACGTCCGCTCTGTTTACAAGAGAACTCACTTTTGTCACTCTTGGCTTAGCCAATGCTGCGTATATCGCACAAACAATAAGAGGAAGAGAGAAGTTCCCAAAGACGAAAAGGTAAGGAGGAACAGAGAGTTTGTTGTACAACCCTTCGTATTTCACGAAACAATTTCCTTCTATGGAGTCATCGGTATCAGCACTGTTCAAAGCACAACTCCAGTCAAACCTCGGTTCATTGATTTCCATGTCCGAAAATATTGCAAGAAACACTATTGCGATTATAATCCCAAGAACATTTGCCACAAAACTGAACCTGTTAAAGGTTTTAGGAGTCAATAAGTCCTTAAACCACGAACAAGCTTCCATTTTACAGATGGTTTGAACTAGTGAGGGTGCGGCGGCGGGGTTTGACTGGCGTTGATGCGTATCACGTGACAGGTTATTACGTTCAGCTACTAACCTGTACTAGTACAGTAGTAAGTAACTTCGTTCCCAAGTCGAGGTCGGAAAACTGTATTTTCCCGTTTCGTTCAAACCACGGGTCAGAAAAGGTTTGATACCGAATTTGGTAGAACAAGACTCCCTGATTAATGCCGGCATGTTTTTCTTACGCTCCCTACAGTCCAGTATGAAAACGAGGCTGATGGCTGAATTACCATTTACTTCGTAAATCTTTGTTAACAATCGTCAAATATGGTAACTGATCAGACCCACTGTTCAATATAAAAAAGGAGTTTATTAGGAGTATATTAGGTCGAGAACAGACGCGGACACGCATGGTTGATTGATTTAACTGTACAAAATATTTCCATGTCAAAAACACCGAAAGCAAGTCGACTATAAAATAAAGAGCAAACAAACTAATGGATTGCCCCAGGGTTCAAACTTCGGAATGGATAAGATCAATAAGTTTGGAATTTGAGAAAACATTTGTTGGATTTTCAGCCAATCCCTGAACAGAGAGCTCAGTGGCTCAAATCTTGTTAATAACTGATTTTTTGGGTGTGCAATACATGCTCGAAACATGATGAACATTTTCAGGGTTTTTCAGATGACAACTTTTTGACAATGGCCATGATTCATTTATATTTGTATTGATTAGACATACGGTGTTATTTATAATTCAAATTAATTATTCAACTTAATAACCTCTTTATTTAACTAATAAACCACGCACTTATGCCCATAGCCATGCACCAATTTTGACCCGTCCAGTTTAACAAACTGATTCAAATCCACTCGAAACGGACTCGAATTTTTATTAATTTATCCAATTTTAATTTTTGGCAAAAGAAAAGAGAAAAAAGGGAAGGAAATATAAAATAACTAGAAAAAGAATAAAGTGGCAATATCACATAAAATTAAAGGAAACTATAGAAACCTTATGAGATATTAAGCCTCTTCGAACTATGGATTGTAGTTACATCAATTCAAGCAAAAGACGGTGAAGTGTTTGAGTCTAGGGGTGGAAAAGATTTAAGATCATTATTCATAACTAATTTTTCAGTAATTCAATTGATTCAAGTAGTTATTATTTATATTTCAAATAGGGGTTTTTGATGTAAATTAATGACCTTTAACTTTCTAATTTTCGCTTAAGTTTAGCTAAGTTTCATAGCTTTGCTCTTTTTGCTTTAGCAATAACATGTTTATGAGACATTTTACTGCGTTTACAATTAGCAGCATTCAGCCGTGGCAGCTCGTGCTGTTTTTGAGATGCTTTGTTTTATGCTTTTGGTGCTTTTTTTAATAATCCTGCAAAAGCCAACAAAGGCCTATTCATCGTACAAGGGTCTACAAGCACAACCAACTTAACAGGTGTCCGTTTCGTTCAGAAAACTACTTAACTGTATAAGTTCGACTTCAGAAATGATTTCTAAAAATATTGGTTTTCTAAATAGTAGTTGCTCTACTTTAATTTATTTTCTTAAAAAATTAGCTTGTACGATAAATTGATAAATAACGATTTAAAGGTAGCATTTCCACGTAGATGTTCTTCGTTTACCATTCCTGGTGGAATTGGAAAGTGTTGGTTTTTGAGGAGACGGGAAAACGCGGAGTACTGGGAAAAAGGCTTCGCAGAGCAAGGTAGCGAACCAGCAAAAAACTCAAGCCACAATTGACAAAAGGCGTCCTCGCTGGGATTTGAACCCGGGCCACACTGGTGGGAGGCGTGTGCTCTTACCAATGCGCCACCCTTGCTCTTACTCCTGGCTTGCTAAGAGAGAATTACACTTTGCCGTGCGTCTATTTCTTGTTGGACCACAAAGTGGGGGAAAACTCGATTAGGAAAGTGGAAGAATCGTGAAAGGAGTTACCCTGCGAGTAGAGGCCCCTTCGATCTTCCTAGATAAGATCGAAGGGCCTCTGCTCGCAGGGTAGAAAGGAGGAAACGGTAACCTGGGCACCTAATTCGATTTTCCCCTTGTTTACTTGTCGTTCTCTGAGTCTACAAAAGGGAATACACTGCACATATGGAATCCAAGCTGAACTAAAACAACTTCTATGATAAGTATCTTCACCGCGTTGTAGATTGATACTAGAGACCTGAATGCAGCGATAGCGAATCGTGATGTATAGGAGGAAATCTCCGCGAATGTACCGTCCACTCCCGGTGGACGAAGGATAATGTTGTCGTCGGGCGAATCGAATCGCTTCTGTTCCTAGTCAGACATCAGAAACAGCTTGGGTGCTGATCAGTCTTAGAGAATGAATAGTTGAGTAATACTGTGCATTATTTGCCGGTCACATTTTAGGCATCTGTGCAGTCGTCAAACCATCAGCTGTCTTTCCAGTGTACGTATGCAAGTCTGAGAGCTGAGATGTTCCAAGCTCATAGTCGGCTTCTTGCATCTTGTGCAACCGTGAAATCCTGTCCTCCGCATGCTATTGCTACTTCTGTTGCCATGGCAACTGGTCAAGACGTTCAACGGTTGAGCCATTTTGCCGCTCAAGTAAGTCTAATTGAAGAGTTACATGTAGTTGAAAGAGCGTTGAATTTTAGTTGAGGCGCGTGTAGTGTAATGCATGTCTAGCCCAGTGAAGCATTCATAGGCGGTAACTACCTGGGTGTGAGCAAAATCTTTCTTATGACACGGGCCAGTTGCTATCGAAATATCATATCATTTGCCGTCGCGTTGTCATTTGTAAATCTGCCTTATGGGTGGAAGGAACCAGAAATTCGTTAATAACTCCCTTAGCATTGCTCGCAGGCTCATTATAATATCATCCTCGCAGTCTGTTCTAAACAGAACATTATGGTTAGTGTCATTGCTGTTCACTTATGTGACAGGACACATCAAGAACTAAGTTTCAAGACCAAACGGCTCATAACAAATAACGCCGCGGACGTGATCATGTGACTTTATGCCCACCTCGAATATGTCAGAATAACTTTGTCGATGTTGGTTTTCAGATGACCGAATGCAGCAAACTTTTCCGCTGTCTGGGGGGAAAATATGGACAATTGTACCGCTCCTCATTCAATGCGGACCCGGTCAGTCTGCAGAATATCGAAACGTATCCTTTTATTCAGCTTTTGTTCGAAATGCTGTGATTCTTGTTCCATGTTTGATTCCAAGCACTAAATCTGAGTACAACGAAGTCCTTGATGTAAGGAACCATATTCTTCGCCCCAGAAAGAGTTTCAATATAACGAAACCCCTTTATAAACGAACACTTTTGCCAGTTCCGACCAGTTCCTTGGGCCTTAGCTCGCAAGCTCGCGAAAAATCGTAAATTTTACAGCTGCTTGCAAACCCGAGCATAAGTGGGAGGCAGCGTGGCGGAGTGGTCAGTGCGCTGAACACCTGTTATGGCTCCCTCTTTATCAGGGTACGGGTAGAATGTCTGTGATTTTCTGTTTTTATACTCTGCATTTTTTTCCTGAAAAAGGTTAACTTAAAGATGATCAATTAAAATTCCTTGACAAGTTTCTCAGTCTTCAACAGAGCTGTTTAATGATTTCACACAGTATTGATGTCTTAATGAAAACTTCTCAGCCAAGGTAATACAAGTTAATTTAGTCATTTAATGCGTGATGTTCACAAGAGTGTAATGTACTTTTCTCAGTTTGGTCCTGGACAACGTATATGTAGCTAAGCTGTTTTGAAGGTGATAAGTCGTCCGGTGCTCTTCGTTACGTTACGTTTCGTGATGTTGAGTAATTTTACTTAAAGTTCCGTTGGGTTTCTCTACGTTGCGTTACGTTATGTCACCGAGGCTTTACACGCATGTTAGACCTCGGGAAGATTTGTCTGTATCTTCTGAGGGGCCCATTAACGGGCATCCATAACAATATTTCTCGAGCTTAAATTCAATATATGTGCGATTTTTAACATGCTCATCTGTAAACCTCTGAAGTTATATTTGGATTTGTTTGTAGCTCGTCTTTAGGTGAGCAAGGAAGCAGTGTCAACAAGTCCTCCACGTTTAGACGTAGTCCACTTTCCCTGGCGTGCGCAGAAATTCTACAAATAGTAGAGGTTTGTCATTGACTTCAAATGTTAATGGACTATGACCAACAAATATACCCCCTTTTTTTATTGGCGTTGTCATACGTCTCTACCCCCTAACCCGTGGGGATCTCTCTTCCCCCAACTCCCGCCGGGTAAGCGGGTGGTGACGTATGACATTTCAGACTAATTCCATTGGCGCTTTATAAAGGGGAAAAGGGGAAATTAAGCCAAGGCACGCGAGAAGCGAGTACGTGAAGGTTTCCTTCCCTGCTTCCTCGCGCGTTCCTTTTCCGTCCCGCCAGTCCCGCAGGTTGCGTATCATTAGGTAAACTGCTCACGATAGCTTTTTCAGTTCTTGTCTCCTTTGTGGGACGTAAAAGAACCCCCACTACTGTTCAAAAACAGTAGGGGACGTAGACCCGGGTGGTGTGGCCAACCTTTCCTGGGGTGGGTGGGTTATCTGTAAGGAGAGATCTTAGTATAGGGATAACCTCATGATCCTCCTTCAGAAGTCGTAATGGCTACCTGTAAACTGTGTATTATATTGTATTATATTAGTACACCTCACCAACGATACTCAGCTATAAAAAGGTGTTTATTTCCACGAAAGTAGCTCCAGAATTTCTTTGAATGAAAACTAGCTCCTTCATCTTTAAAACATGTATCACTCGCCTTACGAAGAGGCTCCTCGCCAGATATCCCCCAGTTTTTTGTTGTTTGTTTCTACAAGCTAACTACAGTCACCAAACGTTTATTTTTTTATTTGACTTTTACTGTATAATTTTTCTTATCTCTTCAGGAGCTAGCAATTCAGCTGGAAGCTCTTCCTGTTTGCCACTTGGTAAAGTGATGAATCATTTAATAATATCTATGTAATCATATAAATGTACTGAACACTGACTAGACACGGTAAATTAATGAAGTTTTTTATACTTCAGTACACTGGTTTCGCTTTCTAATGAAGTAATTTATCAGTAAAGGAATCAAAATTAATGTACCAAGGTGTGAAAACTTCCTTAAGTTAATTTTTTCTGGATCGATGACATAACTGACTTGGATACTAACAGCCGGCTCACTTTTCAAACACCAAGTAGACTTTCGAAAATGAATAGCGCGGCAGAGTATTTTTTTGACCAGTTAACTTGGGAAATGTCATGATATTGATTTATGGTTATATTTATCGTTTTCCAGCAAACTGAATGTCTCATTCGGGCTTCCATGACTCTCCTGAAGGTGCCGTTTATTTTCCCTAAATACTTTTTTTCTAGTCAGCAAGCCACGTTTACGAAGGTTTGTAGTCAATAATTTTCCATGGATCTATTACGTTGAGTCCTAGATTGCTTGTACAGCAGAAGCTCTTGTGAGCGGAAACTCTCGGGACGCGAAAAAGGTGCCCGTACCTGGAGCTGGCCGCTTACGGGAATGTAAAAATACAGAAATTTTTTGTAGGAGAGTGGAGAAAAACGGAGTTTTTTTAATGCGGCCGTGAGAAAAGCTGTCCTGTTATGAGGGTGTCTGGTAGGAGAGCCTCCTCTGTATACAGTCTTGATGTTGTTGGCTTTATAAAAGTCGTGGAATTTTGTTTCCCAGTTTCCGTTTTTATAACCGTTATATCGCTCGCTACGCGCTTCATTTGGCTTGTCTGAACCAACCTTGCATTATTTGATATCGTTGTCTTTGGTTCACGACATAACTTTTACACAGTTCAGAAAAGACATTCTCTTCGCCTGATACTAAAAGACCCAAAGAAAACCGCAAGGTACTAGTGGGAGTTTTTCTGTTGCACTTGCACAGAACCAGTAATAATGGGTGAAGTAGGGTGTTTTCTTTCATGGAAAATGCTGAAAATTGCACTGAACCTACTGTAGTAAAAAAGGGCAGGCATAGAAAAGATGCTAATTTTGTCTCGCGGTCCGTATAAAAGAATCTTTTTTAAATTAGTTACAATCATTAAAGAGACAGGAGGCAACATGTTTGAAATGAACATTAGGTAGAAATTCCTTTCTTGTGACAACAAAACTGAATCTGTTTAATTTCTGTAACTCTTATTTCCCAATCATCCTCACGTTTTTAACAACAATCACTTTTGCTAATATTGGTCTCTCTTTGTATCATGCAGCTGGCGTTGTCACCTTCACCTCGGTCGCCTTCAGAACCAATTTCGGTCACACTGGATACACAATTTGTTCTTAAGGTGGAAGGAGTCATAGAGCGCAGTCAAGAGCTAGGTCAGAGTATTGTTAGAAGTGTAAACACAATCTTTTACTGACGACAATATTGTAGTATGACCCGATCGTTTTACATTTGGTTTGAAATTGGAAACCAGCTACGATGTCACGAGCTATTTTTTTACGAACCGGTTTTGCTCATATCAACCTTTCTGCAGTAGACATTCTACATCATAGTTGCACCTTTGTCCTGAACTGGCTGACTGAGACTGTAAGTCTTAGCTCAACGCCATAACCAATCCCTTGTTCACAATACAAGGACTCAAAGTTGGATTATGGAGTTATCTTCACTATTCAATTTTAGTTTGTGTTGTTTTTCTTGTTTTTAGGACTTTACCGCGATGTGCAGTCTGTTTGCTTGTCAGTAACATGGCGCACTGAGGACAGAAAGCAACAACCTGTAGATGGAAAGGTTTGTATTTGTTTCTAGACTCACACTAGCTTTTGGCTTTTCAGACTCAGTGAGCATAGACTGCAAAACAGTCCGTATTTTTGCGTATTCAAGTACCTACGCGCCGGCAATCGAACAAAAGGTCTGGAACGAGGCTAAAAACAGAGAGCAAGACTGGGGAAAGAACCTACGGGCGTGTGAGGATCGTGCGCTTTGCGCGCGTAAGACTCTTTCGCCACGCTTTACCGATTTCTGTACTGCTTTTCTCTGGTGCTTGCAACACAAGCAGTCTAAAAGATTTCTGAAATTTCGGTGTATTTTCTTTATTTCAGACTTCCCGAGATCACGTGACCAGCTTAGAACAAACAGTGGTTCCCTACCATGATTACTTTAGTGCCCAGTTCCTTCTCCAGTTTAGTACAGAGTCCATTTATCACGTGACTGTGTCTTCTAGTGTGATTGACAGTTCCGGGATATTGTGGAACACAGGACCCCAGAATACCCTGCAGGTTAAGACCACGGATTCTGCCAGTAGAAAGCAGAGAACGTCTAGATCATAGCCAAAGACTGGTGAAAGACACACTGTATTTGATTTCAAAAGGCAATGAACACAAGAATGACAACCACAAAATGAGGGAGTATTGAGATGTGGCCAACTCTTACCTCCCACCTCCTTCCCAGAAGTGACTTAATTTTCTCACTTTTGTTCCAGTATCACTCAAATTCATCAAATCTAATTGTATATAACCTAATGCAGTGAAACCTGTATTAAGCGGACACCCTCGGGGAATGCTGTAGTGTCCGCTTAATACAGGTTTCGATATGAACAGTGGAAGCGTTTAGAATATTCCCAGAGACAGTGACGACAGACAGTTGCATTAATTTCTTTATTAAAGTGAACCAGTTGATCATAGTAGCATAAAACATGGATTGCAACTCAAATTTGAAGAAATCAGATGAGTGAAACAAGCTCTATACAAACAAAACAAAATAGAAAACAATACTGTACTGTGAAACTAATCAAATAAGTTCGTCAAGTCACGTTTTATAATGTAAAAATCGAAAAATTTGTGGGTGGCAATCCGCGTCTGCTTAATAGAGGTGTCCGCTTAATAAAGGTTTCATTTAAAGTAAATAAGGGAGATAAATTTGGGGACTTCGGCTACTGTCCGCTTGATACAGGTTTCACTGTATTCATACTATTCGTTCAATATATACAGCTACATTTTAAAGTAAACTTAATGAAAGTCTCCTGTCTAATTTACAGCAATTAATATGCAAACCTTTTTTCAAATACATGCCAGAAGTAAGTGAAAGATTATCTCACATTACCATGCCCAAAAACAAAGCAAAGTAAAATTTAAGCCGAGGATAAAATTGAACCGCATCATAAACACTTAAATTCTTCTATACTATTAAAAACTCCACATTGCAAAACTGAAACGGTACAAAATTAGTTCCTGATTAAGAATATCAGTAGTGTTCTCAATCAGCAATAATCAGAAAGTAAAAAAAAAAACGTTACTACAGTTACTCTTCACGGTTTATTCTCCTAATCAACTTCTGTCTAACTGTTTTAAAGTAAAACTCTGTACAAGCTGTTTGAATGCGAGCTTTTTGCTCTTTGCGAACACAACTCTGTTCACTAATCAAGTTTCAAAGTCAAAGAGGCCTTAAGGTCTCGGTAAATGAAAATTTTAGTACATTGCTCGATTTTGTTTTTTTTGGATTTTTGGCATGAGTGGGTCCTAAATTTTATTTTGGCAGAAAAAGAAAATCAGAAAGTGCTTTTTAACCCTTCTAAAATGAGCCTTTTCTGAGCTAACCAGCCAAGCGTGGACTTCGCGCTAAATCTTTAGAGCTGATTTTCTCTCAATCTATTTTAGACGCAAAAATCAAAATTCTCCGACCTCCAGTCGGGACGGGTTTTAAGTAATCGCTTTGAAACTTTCAGATATGATGGATAATGATATAGACTCAAAAAGGGTGTGAGGAATTTTCCGATTTCCCTTTGTAACTCATTTTATGTCAGTTTCTTTGCGTAAATCGCACTCGAGATTCGACTTTTTAGTTTGAAATGCAATAATTCCGCTAATACGAGACGATACGTTTAAAGGAGTGTGGGAAAAAATCCAGAAAATAGACAGTTAGTCTACGTTATTTTTCCTTCACTTATAAATTGTTGCGCTTTCCCGACCTCGAAGTCGTCATTTGAGCTATGGAGACTCAAGCTCTACAAAAAACTTAAGCTCCTTTTCAAATTCGATGAAATAAAATCTTTTAAAAGGTAATTTAGTCTTTTAGCTTTAATTTGATATATAACTTGCCTTTGTAGCGAAAATACTCGCGCGACTAGAATTTTTTTCTGTGGGCACCTCACCTTGACCGAGACCTTAAAACTAAGAATTGGTTGCCCTCATATACCTCGTCACCGTCACAGGACCATTTCACTTTTATAAACGTAGCGCCAGAACTTCATCATGTACACAATTTCCCTTGAGGTTACCAAACAGGGACAAGTTGTTTAGTTTGTAGACTGTTCACAGTCCACTATTTTTCCGTAAGATCACCGAGATCGAGCGCTTTGCGTTACGGGCTGCCATCTTCCATGAGTGTCAAAACTACTTAGGGTGCAGCGGGCGGTTTGGGAGGAAGCGAGAAAAATAGAGGGACTGTAATAACATCACTGCAGCTCGCGTTCAGGAGGCGTGACAGGAATTTCACGCCTTTTAAGAAATTAAGAAACTCCGTTAGTGATGAAAAACATGCCAGACACATTTAGTATCGATTACGCGTATTTACAAATATCTCCTTTCGAAACAGTGATTTTATAATGATTCTGGGCCATTTTTCGAAATAAAATCGGCTGCAGTGATGTTATTACAGTCCCTCTATTTTTCTCGCCCTCCCCCCTCCCCGCCTAGAGCTATAATCCCCGACGTCCACCCCCTCGGTACATTTGAAAATCAAGAAGACGCCGTATATCTAAACGATCTTACGAAAAAATAGGGAACTGTGAACAATCTATTTAGTTTGTAGGTACCGTCCTTCAAAGCTTCAACCAAACACTTTGCTCCTTCATCGGTTAATTTGTAACGGTAGGCGAGGTTTGATTTTAACTTTGCAATTACTGTGCTCTAACGCTTCAGCCAAATACTCTTCTCCTTTATCGGTTATATCGTTTCCACAGAGATCTAAGCTATTTAGTGTGCAATTACTATCCTTCAAAGCTTCAGCCAAATACTTTACTCCTTTATCGGTAATTTTGTTATCGGCGAGGTTTAAGCTTTTTAGTTTGCAATTACTGTCCTTTAAAGCTTCAGCCAAAAACTTTACTCCTTCATCGGTTAATTTCTTATTGGTGAGGTTTAACCTGTTTAGTTTGCAATTACTATCCTTTAAAGCTTCAGCCAAATACTTAACTCCTTCATCGGTAATTTCGTTACTGTCGAGCTTTAAGCTGTTTAGTTTGCAATTATTATCCTTCAAAGCTTCAGCCAAATAATTTACTCCTTTATCGGTAAATTTGTTACTGTAGAGGTTTAAGCTGTTTAGATTGCAATTACTATCCTTCAAACCTTCAGCCAAATTCTCTACTCCTTCATCGGTAATTTCCCTACCGTCGAGCTTTAAGCTGTTTAGTTTGCAATTACTATTTTTCAAAGCTTCAGACAAATACTTTACTCCTTCATCGGCAAATTTATTACTGTAGAGGTTTAAGCGGTTTAGTTTGCAATCATCATTATCACTATCCTTCAAAGCTTCAGCCAAATACTTTACTCCTTTATCGGTAATTTCGTTACCGGCGAGGTTTAAGCTGTTTAGTTTCCAATTACTGTCCTTTAAAGCAAGTCGGTTTATGAGACGAGGAAATAGCCAATATAACAAAGGGGTCTCCAGATTCGAAAAATCACACGTTAATGATAGGAAGTTTCGAAATCGGTTTACGAAATGTGGAAGTACGGTAAATTTGTTATCGCTGAGGTTTAACCTCTTTAGTTTGCAATTACTGTGCTTCCATTCCTCACCCACTAAAAACTCGCTTAATACTTTACAACCAGGGCTGCTAATCTCGTTACCACCCAAGTTAATCATGAAAATTTCGTTATGCATTTTAAGAAAATTGACTATTGCAGTACAATCAACAGGTCCTAGCTGACACTTCAAAAAAACTACAGCGTTAAAATCAATCTCTCTTACTTTGTTTTGCACGGCTGAATCATCTGCATCGATCTCATATAAACAGTAACATAACTGAATCGCTAACTGTTTGTCTTCCTTAGTTGGCCAACAGGTTACTTTGCCTGGCTCCAGTTCCGGGTCTTTTATCTCATATGTCCTCACTGGGAGAAGGTTAGTAAAAATATCGGTCAGTGGTTCTTCTCGGTCACTGAGAAGCCCAGCCACAAACTGCAACACTACTTGCCATGCATCTTCGTTGATGTGACTTGAAACAAATTCTCGCAAGTCGGCTTCTTTCATGTTGTCTGTCATATGCTTTGCTGCAAAAAACTCTTGGATGGTCAGATGTTGGAAACAGTATTGAGCTTTGGGTTTTTCGAATGGTCGCTTCGCCTCTGGTTTTAAATCAGGCAATCGATGAAGTAGGCCACAATCCTCTAGGTTCGTAACTTCGTCAGATTCAAAGGTTAATCTTCTTTCTTTAATTCCTTTAAAAGCAACTGTTCCCAGTTTCTTAAAATCCCTTTTCACGTCTTCAGCCAGCTCATCGAATTTTTTGAAAATTTCGTCCTCACCATCAGTTTCATTGCGGTATTTGTTACTGTGCTTGAAGAATACAAGCTTTACGGCGAAGCTGTATATGTCGGTTAGTTTAGTTGGTAGGCTAGCCAAACCATGAATGGAATTGGAACGAAACTTCTGAAGCATGTATAGCAGGCACGAACAAATGATGAAACAGTTAACAGGTATATAGCATAACGAAAGGAGGTTAAGGTTGTTGCTGATATGTTGCCATATCGTTTTTCCTGCATCTTTGTCATCGCCTGTGGAGTTTTCCACATACTTTTCCACTTGCTCTGATGAAAATCCAATAATTTCAAATACTCTGGTGAATTCACAACTTCTTGTGAATGATGTAGCAGTAGGTCTTGTAGTCGTTAAAACAGTGGCTCCATTAAGAAGTTTTCCCAACACAATTTTCTTGTACAAAGCATGTAAGGGCATTCTTTCGTCCACAGTGTCGTCATAAATAATTAAGTCATCACCTTGTAACTTTTTCCTTGCAGAGAATTCGTCAATTCCATCAAAAATAATAAGCACTTTGCTTGGGTTTTCACGAATGTAGTTCCATACCACATCATTCATATGTGTTGAAAATTCTGATTTTTTCAAAAGCTCTCGAAGGTTAAGCTTTGCAGTAGAGTTCAGTCTTCTAAATTTAACGAGGAAAGCAACGTCAAATCGTAATTCTGAATTTTGCGCTTCATCGAATAAGCGGTCACTTGCCCAATCGCGCATAAACTTCGTGCAAAACAGCGTTTTGCCAATTCCAGGGCGGCCAACGATAAGAATATTCTTGTGCTGATCATCAACAATGTCTCTGGGTGCTTTTGGTGGTAAATTTGCCTCTGGTTTGGGGTACACCTTTAGCTGTTCTCGCCTGCTTTTAGGAAAGTGATAATAGGCTCTTCCAGGATGAATAATCAATTTAGTGTAAATTTGGTCGAGTTTAAGATCTTCAGGTTGATCGCCTTCGCCCGGGTTCGGTTTGAAGGGTGACGAAAGGTCTCTGAGTCGCTCGGTGTTCTTTAAGACACTTTCCCTCATACACTTAAAACAAGTTTGCAACTGAGTTAAATGTTCCCGTTGTAATTGTTCCAATGTTTCGTGATTTCCTTCCCCCTGTGTATCTTGCAATTCTTGTTGTGGTATAGTCAACACAGGTATTTCTTGATGTGAATCTTGGGGATCATAATTCGATTTAAGATGATCAGCATAAAACTGTGAGTTATTCATGAACTGTTTCCCCCTTTTTCTTGCACGCGAAAAAATAATGAAAAACTCAATCAAAAGAAAAGCTGCAAGAATTCCATTCGCCCCACTTACGGCATACATCCAGGAGGTTTTCTTATGAGCTCGCTGGTTAATGCATTCATAAGATGGAGTTATTGAGTTCCCAGTTGCATTTGCTGCGGTTTGATTGACTTCTCTCATCAAGTTACACATAAAGTTTGACGGAAATTCACGAGGATAAAATACTTCATTTAATAAAAGGAGGATAAAAACAATCCCGAGACAAAATCTAGTGGCAAGTTGACAACAGTATTGTCTGAAGAGTTTTCTTTGAGTTGTGTTGGCTTGATGATCTTGCCCTTCAACATCTGTATTTCTGCTTTCAAGTTTCTTTACTCTTGGTTTCGCAAGTATTGAATATATCACACAAACAATAAAAGGAAGAGAGAAGTTAACAATCACAAAGCCGTAAAGAGGAACAGACAGCTTGTTGTGTAGCTTTTCGTATTCCACGAAACACTTCTGTCTAACGAAGTCCTTGTCGACTTTAGCATTCTTGTTCACGTCACAGCGGAAGTCAAACCTCGATTCGTTGATTTCCATGTCCAGAAACACTCCAAACAATACTATCCCAACTGCGATCCAAAAAACATTCACTAAGAAACTGAACTTGTTGAAGGTTTTAGGCGTCCACAATTCCTTACACCATGTAAAAGCCTCCATTTTATGATTTGGCTTGAGCTTTGCTTGGCAGTCGTCCCGGGCAGTCGTCCAGCAGAGGCGTGGTGAATGGGTTTGATTTCAACTGACGCGTATCATACACAAGAGCTCAGAGCAGGCCTCAGCTCAGAGTGAAACCTCACACCTTCGGGACCTTCCCAAGTGTCCGCTTGATAGAAGTTTCTAAACATTGCGCAAGTTTGTTAACGATTAACATCTAGGAACGAGGTTGCTGATTCAATGGTTGCTCTGTACTACTCTTACCCTGGGTGCCAGAGACTTTTCTAGCGCGGTTTCCGGTTTCGGTCAAGTCTACGGCCGAAGATGTGTCGGCCTTCGGCCAACACCGAAAATTCCCGCCGCACGCTAGAAAACCCTCTGGTACCCAGGGTATACTAGTGTGATAAACTTGTGAAGCTGTGCTGTACTTTTTGTCGTTGTTTGACCGATATCCGGCCGTATGATTGTCATCCGCGATCAAAGTTCACCTAAAAGTCTTGCACAAAGACAATCATACGGCCGAATATCGGTCAAACAACTACAACTAAATGTTTTGATTTACTACTGTCGCTATATTTAGCCAAGTACAATTTTTTTTATTAGTGTCCACGTCCCGGCTTAGTGTCCGCTTAATTGGGGGTCCGCTTAACAGAGTTTTCACTGTATTTTGGATGTTTGAATATGTTTCAAAGTTGATTGATTTATCTTTGCCAAATTTTTCATCAATAACATGGAATGCGACAAACGCAGACTGCAGACTGGCAGGTCACAACGAAGTAAACCTATCCCTAACCTAGACTTTTAAATGACTTAAACCTTAGAGATAGGGACTCTTAAAACATTCCACGAGAAGGTATTCCTCGTTTAGGGACCGCTCATTTATTAGAGGAGGGGGCTTGTGCCAGGGGGAGGGGGGGTGGGCTGGTGCAAATGGGGTGGGGGTAATACCTTTTTGTGCACCTGAAAATGGGGGACTGCATAAAATTGTGCAACCATTGTCGTGAATGCCGAAGGGCCGTTCTTCACGATATCACAGTTTTAAAGCAAACAGGGTTTATTTCACAGCTTCGATCCTCACAGTACAACGGCTCGCTCACACTTATCGTGACTTTCTTGAATCTATAAGCTTTTGATTTTAATGCGATCTGTCATCAAGTTCTCTGTCGCTCTGACAGACGAGTGAAACTATTAATAACAAAATCAAAGGAATAAAATCACGCCATCTCACAATCACGCTACACTCTTGCTTCATCACACTCATTTCTGAGGGGCCATGTATTTTTGTGCATTCCAATTTCCGTTCCACGAAAAAGAAACAATACTGAAGGAATCAACAGCAAGTCAAATATTATTTATTATCAAAATGATGGCATAACAAACCAACATAACATGGTGTATAGCCGTCCTTTCACATTGGAAAAATAGACTTCATGTATTACTCAGTATTACTCAAGACAACTTAAAGTGCTATACAACTGCAGCATCAAATTGTCAGTTCTTTTTCAACAAATCGTATGCTTATGAAGTATGCAAATGCTGCAAAACATTCTGTTCCTGGATACCACTACTTTAAGAAGATATATTCATTTATGGATAGCCACTGCATCATTGGAGAGATGTTCCTTGAATATTTAAAAGGAGCTTGTAAAGAAAATGGTGAACTGAGTGGTACGGCACTCGGCGACTTCTGCAGCAGCACAAGAGAACAATGCTGTGAGGAGATTGAACAAGTTGCGAGGCCATTTCCTGACAACGAAAGTGATGGGCATCATTACCTTCCTTTGTCTAAAAACCCAGCAAACAACAGGCTTGTCGATGATTACATGCCAAGGGTACAGCTGAAAGCAGAATACGCATCAGGGCAGTGCTCCTTGGATAATCCCACCAGTATCTCGAAATTCTCAAGAGAATTTGTTGCGGCTGAGGGATGCGTGAAAGACTATCTGGAGCATTTGACATTACTCGATCTTAAGAAAGACAAAAGAAAGAAGCTGAGGTAAGCAAGACATACCAAGAGTATGATTGGAATGCAACGTTTAAAGATGGCTCCCTTAGTAAGCAGACAATAGCCGTTATCGATAAATACTTGAAGCATCACGGTCTTCGCACTGCATCAAACAAGCATGCAAAGCTATTGGAGGTGCAAAGGCACATTATTCAACAATAGATACAGGGTTTTACACAAAAAGAGGGAAGTCCACTCTGCAGTAGTAAAAATGAAGAGGAATACTTATCTTCTAATGATGAAAGCGTTCAAACAGACTGTGTCCTTACCGAGATTTGCACGAGTTCAGAGGATGATGATGTGGAAGGGGATGATATTCAGATCACAGTGACAACTACTAAATCTGGGAGGAGGGCTACTCGCTATTGCTTTAAATAGTTCGGTGAGTTTTATTTAAGTTGTATTAAAACTGTTTCTGTGGTTGAGGGCGGGTCATCTTATTTCATGTGCAGACTCGAAGGGGACCTACATTATGTTATGCAGTGGCAAGACAGGCCCACGGGAAATTATGTATAGGAAAATTAGTCTTCAGTTCTGACTTGGGTGGTGAGCCTGCCTCTGGCGATTTGAAGGATCATTCTTCGTAAACACTCAGGTTACAAAACATGTCCACTGCTCTGTCAGCCCCCTTGATCATTTTCCATGTTTCACGCCCCAAAAGCAAATCTAGCACAACAGTGCAACCTCTACTTTGGGACACCTCTATTTAGGGGACACAAAATTTGCTCTCGGAAAAACGTTCACATAGTCGAGGCTGAAAACAGAGAGTTTGAAAACAGACTGAGAATGAGAGCCCTAAGGGCGGGCGAGGCTCGCGAGCTTCGCGCGCGTAAGACTCTTACGCCACGCTTTACCGATTTCTTTACAGATTTTGAGAAAAAAACCGACTGTTTTGCAGTCCTAATTGGGGCAAAACTGCAATCATGGAAGGAGAACAAGAAGACACATGATTAACAGGGGCGTAGTTAACTGTACGCACGGTACGCACGTGCGTACCTGAAAAAGTCGTGAACAAAAATAAATAAAAATAATAAAAAAATAAAAAGTTAGATCTAAAAGAAAAGAAAAATATCTAAACATGAGAGCACAGTTTGCCTCAATTCATTCAACTCCGTTTGTTTCTTTGAAATATATATTTTTTCTAAAACAACGCACTTTTCCCCCTCTCCACCCAAACGTCGGTTTCCAGAGAAACGAAGTAATTCATTAATTTACCTAATCTTGAATAGCACTGACCTTGAAAACCAGCCTAACGAGACTTGCAGTCATTTGAGAGAAAAAGGCATCAAAAGGCAGGTTTCTTAAGCCCGAGAAACTCCAAAATCACAGTAACAAAGGAAAAGGAAAGGAAAAAGAGAAAGAGCGAGGAGAAGGAAAGTAGGAGAAGAGAATAAAGCAATTTTTCCACTCTTAGTTTTTATAATAGCTACTTTGTAGTTTTTGGCCGAAACAAACTGTTTGGTCTACTTGGCGATAACGTTATCAAAACTACGGTTAGATATATATCTAGTGAAAAGATGGAAGGCGTTTTTATCAAAACGTGTCCGGATTCCTAACCGTTTACGCACATCGATAAATCATGGGAGCAACGACGAAGGCAACGGTGATGGCGACGGCCATGAGAACGTCAATCGAAACGAGCCCAATAAGTAAATGAAAAACAACAAATTTTGCATGTGCAGCGCGCTTTTCTTTAAAACCTGTGCGAACACAACGTTGTTTGGAGGACGTAAACACAGGAACGAAATGAATTCAATTGCTTCTCTGAGTTCCAACTTGCATGTGGCCCCAAGACTCCGTAGGGGGAAATTCATCTATATTTGCCATTTTATGAGAGTTGAAATAAACGCCAAAAAACATAAAAACGCAATCATTTAATTTGATTTGCCAGCCGGAAAATTGAACGGGAACTGAATGTGAAAGAAGCAAAGCCACCGATCGTAAATGAACAGTGTGTAGTTTATAACTTCTAATGTGACCTGTGTGATGCAGGCTATGTAGGTTACACACGCGGACATTTACACAATCGTGTAACAGGACCTAAACAACAGTCCTCCGCCATTGCCAAACATTGCAAGAACGTGCACGGGACGATCCCTCAGGTCCTGCTGAAACGTTTCGAAGCGCTTAAGAAATGCAGGAACAAATTTGACTGTTTCGTGTACGAAATGCTTTTTATAAGAACCTTAAAGCCCAATCTCAACGTGCAATCAGACTCTATTCTTGCGAAAGTATTTTCATAATCTTCGCACCCTGTTATGTTAATTTTCGCGCCACATCGCTTTAAATGCTGTAATTTGCATGATCAAAAACATTTTCCCTTGATAATGGAGGCATGACTACTCCGAAACGTCGGATTTTATCGTTCGTTTTTACCGTTTTATGTCTTAAGAAATCTCTTTTAATAAAAATAAAAATAATTAATTATAATTACAAGAATGATTAAAAAACAATTGCAGATCCCCAAAGGGGCAAGTGCAAACGGGACCCTAGACCCATGCAAGGTACCGCCCTGTTGTTACTTACAATTACAGTCTCATTTGCAATACTGTTAAAAAGCTTATTTTACCCGTGAAAAAAAAAATTAATTGAAACCCTAGATGTACGTTAGCAAAAAAAAAAAAAAAAAAAAAAAAAAAAAAAAAAAAAAGGGGAAGGGTTATATAAAAAAAAAGTAATATAGAATAGAGAAAGAAAAAGGGAAGAATAAAAGACCAGAAGAGAGATAAAAAAAAAAATTTTATTTTTTTATCTCTTTCTTTTCCACCTCACTCTTTAGCTCTGCTGTCTCACCCTGTAAAAAAAAAAAAAAAAAAAAAAAAAAAAAAAAACAAGAAAGTGGATGTGGTATATTAAAGCACAGTCATTTCGACCTGTGACAGGAACAGGTCATCACTAATGCCCAGCTGTGGGCATCGCAGAGATAATTTGATTTTTTAAACGTTATCTAGCTGCATGAAGTAATGACTGTAGCAGATTCCGAGGTAGAATGAAAGACAAATATTTTACCCATTGCAGTCTCCATTCAGGGTCTCTTGCCTTAGCCCCCGGTTCCGAGGGTATCCCCTGAATAGATCTGACTAAAGGTTCCACTGTGCCAGTGTTTAATACAGCTTCAGGTTTGCTAATGGAGCAACAGTTGTTTAATCTGACATAATGCACCCCTAGCTTTTGAGAGTCTGGTTTTTAGGTCCGTGTCAGACCACCACCCAAGTAAATGAACTCATCTAATTCTTTAATTTCTTGTCCCTGGGGTCGGGGAGCGAGGGATGGCGCAGTGGTGAAAGCGCTCGGCTCCCACCAATGTGGCCCGGGTTCAACTCTTGGCGTCGACGCCTTATGTAGGTTGAGTTTGTTGTTGGTTCTCTCCCTTGCTCCGAGAGGTTTTTCTCCGGGTACTCCAGTTTTCCCCTCTCCTCAAAAACCAACACTTGCAAATTCCAATTCGATCTGGAACGCACGGACACGTTTAAACGAGTTCATATGAACTCCTAGGTTCGTGGGTAAACAAGCAATTTTCTTTTTTGTCCAGCTGTAGCAATCATTTCTTTCTTTCTTTTGTACAAATTCTCGTCACTTTTGGTTTTCCATGTTCATCGTCTTCATCGTGAGTGTCCGGCACTTAGTATCTGGCTTTCCCCCAAAAGGAGAGCTTACTCGCAGGCTAATTTAAAGCTGACCAGGAGTATAGCAGAGATTGTGATAACACTTACGATGTAAAGGACGGAACGCCATTATTTTCCACATAGAGGCATCGCTTAGCGTAGCCTATACACCTGAATGACTTACTAACTTACTGACTCAAAGTGAATTTTTTGCCGCTCTTGTCATTCTCCCTATATTTGTGATCAAAACTCACTATTACACTAAACCCTCATTTATCCACTAAAACGCTAGGCTCGTCACGCAACGAGCCTAAAAACGACTGCGAAGGAGATTATAAAAAACGCTAGCTGACCTATCTTCGTCTAATGCTTTCACCAATATATAAGTAGAAGGCAAATTTCGAGATTAAAAAGAGGCATTGCCCCATCGACTTTTACCTTCCTCTTTCTCTCCTTCCCTCTTCGTTTGCTTTTCATCCCCTTTTTCTTCATTTCCGGGGAAAAAGTTTCATGAAAACCCAGAGGATCGTGACCTTTTTTTGAAGGAAGGATGGGTAATGGACCCCGGAAGGGCTGTACTCCCGAGGGGGGTGCGCGTCGGAAAAAAGGGGACCACTCAGGGCGTGGTTTAGGATTCGTTTGACTCCTAAAGAAGACCAAAAATAAAAAAAACAGTGGAACCTCTATATAACGAAGTCCTCTGTATAGCGAAAGATTTTCTTTACCGCAGTAACAGTAAAATATATGGAAAAGAACCGTGAGATAACTTGGTCCTTGGCCCTTCCTTATATCAAGGTTCCACTTTAACCGGCAGAGTTTATAGTACAGAGGCAGATCAGAAGGTACGATTTACCAGGAGTCAATTGTATACAGCTATTTCTAGAAAGGTTGTCGGAAAAATGTGCAGGCGACAATCCCGAAAGATAATATGGGATACGATCAATCACTGTTCCTGACATTGCAGCTGTCGAACCTACTTTTTTTACCTTCCTTTAGCATTCGCAAACATATGTCCATGGTCTCTCGTGCCATTCTCTCAAATTTCTTTGAAGAACAGTGAACTCAAAACCGGCCAAAATTCTTTTCGGGATTGTCGCTTGCACTTTTTCCGACAACCTTTTTCGAAATATCTGTATCAGTTTTGTTGCAAACTTATGAAACTTACTCGAGCAGTGTCGCTGATCCACGACTCACAAATCATGCCTTCGTGATAGCCTAACTTCGAGTCGTTTTTACTCCCTCAGTATAAACGTCTGAAATTCAGGCTACGTTCGTGACATTTTCCCGGGGGGGGGGGGGGGGGTTCTAAACGACGCTGTCTTTGTTGGTGAGCGAACATGATGACCCTCCGCGCGGGGGGGCCGCCCCCCCCCCCGCACAACCCCCCTTGCTCGGGTATCCTATGCGGGGGTTTTCTTCTCCCCCCGGGGGTTACGTGTGGAAAGGCGCGTTGCTGCGTTTCTTCCTGGGGGGGGGGGGGGGGGGGGTTCTCCCTTATATAAGCTATATCGGTATGTGCCACCCCATCGGGTAGGGTTTTTGCTCCATTTTGGCCTGAAGACACTTTACCCATTTTGGTCTGGAATTGGGTATGGTTTTTGAGGGAACTACGGGAAAGTATGAACGTATTTATCGTTTCAATTCCGAATGAGTAAGAAAGAAAGAGAAATATGCGAAGTCGAAATGGATGAGATGAATTTTTTGCGCTCTAATCTAAGTAATGATAACAAAATTTCTGCCTAAAGGCCAGGTCTGAAAACGGGTAGGGATTTTAGAGGTCTGGTCTGAAAACGGGTGCGGAAAGGTACATTTTTTGGTCTGAAATCGGGTCAGGATTTGGAGAATCGGCAGGCACCCCCCCACCAAGAATTCCCAGGAGTACCCCCCCGGGGAATACACTCTTTTTGTTTAATATCATAAGAATGACTTATTTTGTGGCCAGTGATGAACTAACACTGGCTACTTTTATGTTTGAGCCTGAAACATTCCTACCGTTACTTGTTGTTCGTAATGCTGTCAGGAGCCCTGACGCTGTTTATATGTAAAATTTCAGCAAAGCAATATGAACTTGCACAGTACCAATGTAGATGTACGTACAATATAGGATACCTTGTGTATAAAATGCCATTGTGAACTGTACCTTAGAATATGTATCAATTTACTTTCGCATACGTGCCGCCTATATTTAAATCATGCCCTTGGCTAAGTGAACAACTGAATGATTTATTTGTTTAGTTTAGGGTTACATCAAGGAAAAAAATATTCGTGCGCAGCATCTTGACAAAAAAATATTCTTTCTAGGGAGACATTAAAGGACAAAAAATTCATGCTGCTCGAAAATCCCCCCCCCCCCCATTTTTTTTTTTTTGGTCTTTCCCTAAAGGAAAGCAACCCCCCCGGGGGGGGGTGGGCAAAAACGTTGTTACGCTACGCCCCTGAGGGGAATTCATAAAATATTTGTAAAATTAACGGAGTGCTTTCTAAGGGCGCTTTCCATTTGTCAGAACGAGAATTTCACTTGTAATCAAAACTATTCAGCCAGCTGAGTCAAATCTTAATTGTATGCACGAAGGAGATGGTTTTTTCAGGAAAAACTCTTGGAAAAAAGCCGATTTCATTTGCTAACCGACAGGTCCGGTAATGGTCCAGCCAGCCAGTTCTGACAAATGGAAAACACCCTAGAGTCATTTTTTTGTGTCGAGTCCAGTAAGAGTCTTGTTCGAGGCGGCTAGAGAGGCCTTGCAAAATGAGTTTTCAAAATGAAAGCACTGTATTTTAGTTATTGCTTTAGAAAACTAATCGAGGCTAGTATGTATTCTTTGGCTTAAAACTAGGCTTTCTAACTTTCCATCCGGCTTTCGGACTGCCCTTTCTTTAGCCTGTGTGAAAACGTGCCCTTGAATCACGTCCGCAACTCACGAAATTTTGCATTTTCGTTGTATTTTCTGCTGTGCATTGGAGGTCAAGGTCGATTCAGGGTCTTTCCCTGCAAACAAAAAAAGGAAACACTTATTTCATTGGTCAATAAGATGTCAGTCAAATGTGGCCATGGTAACAAAAACGGATAAACGTCATTACTCTGGGAGTTTCAAGGAATTTCTAGAAACAAGCGGGGAAAGGAAACGTGAATTTCTTTGCCCCGCTGTCAAATTACACCATTCTTGCTATCTGGTTCGACGTAACGTTAGTTTAAAGTGATAAAAGATTGTTTCTTAAAGGGCTTTGTTTCCTTTAAAGTGATTCATCGTAAAAACAAGTTTCGTTTTGGCACGCGATGCCCGATTGATCGCCGAAGTGAACAACATTTCTACTCGGACAGTTTGAAGCCCGGGATTTGAAGTTTAAANCCCCCCCCCCCCCATCTTTTTTCTTATGGTCTGTCCCTAAAGGAAAGCAACCCCCCCGGGGGGGGGTGGGCAAAAACGTTGTTACGCTACGCCCCTGAGGGGAATTCATAAAATATTTGTAAAATTAACGGAGTGCTTTCTAAGGGCGCTTTCCATTTGTCAGAACGAGAATTTCACTTGTAATCAAAACTATTCAGCCAGCTGAGTCAAATCTTAATTGTATGCACGAAGGAGATGGTTTTTTCAGGAAAAACTCTTGGAAAAAAGCCGATTTCATTTGCTAACCGACAGGTCCGGTAATGGTCCAGCCAGCCAGTTCTGACAAATGGAAAACACCCTAGAGTCATTTTTTTGTGTCGAGTCCAGTAAGAGTCTTGTTCGAGGCGGCTAGAGAGGCCTTGCAAAATGAGTTTTCAAAATGAAAGCACTGTATTTTAGTTATTGCTTTAGAAAACTAATCGAGGCTAGTATGTATTCTTTGGCTTAAAACTAGGCTTTCTAACTTTCCATCCGGCTTTCGGACTGCCCTTTCTTTAGCCTGTGTGAAAACGTGCCCTTGAATCACGTCCGCAACTCACGAAATTTTGCATTTTCGTTGTATTTTCTGCTGTGCATTGGAGGTCAAGGTCGATTCAGGGTCTTTCCCTGCAAACAAAAAAAGGAAACACTTATTTCATTGGTCAATAAGATGTCAGTCAAATGTGGCCATGGTAACAAAAACGGATAAACGTCATTACTCTGGGAGTTTCAAGGAATTTCTAGAAACAAGCGGGGAAAGGAAACGTGAATTTCTTTGCCCCGCTGTCAAATTACACCATTCTTGCTATCTGGTTCGACGTAACGTTAGTTTAAAGTGATAAAAGATTGTTTCTTAAAGGGCTTTGTTTCCTTTAAAGTGATTCATCGTAAAAACAAGTTTCGTTTTGGCACGCGATGCCCGATTGATCGCCGAAGTGAACAACATTTCTACTCGGACAGTTTGAAGCCCGGGATTTGAAGTTTAAATTTTACACTTGTGCGCACTGAATCTGAGAAATTGTTTACTTTTTTGCTAGAGGAGGATTCATCGTTTTTGCTTTAATCACTCTACCAGCAAAGAAAGGACTAGTGAAAAATTATTGTTGTTTTAATACGACTTCCTTTTCCTTGGTCGGTCGAGTCGCCAACAGATGTGCTTGACAGAAGAAAAGCGAGAGGAACACGAGCAGTTTGTACAGTCTGCGGTAAAAAAACAACAACGAAATAAACGCAAGCGAGAGCCGAACATGTACGTGGCTGCCGTGCTGGAATGCACAGTACGTAGAATTTGTAGCGAAGTATGTTCAAGTTATTTCTGTCTTTGTTCGCATTCAAAGAGGAGGAAACTCAGCACATTCGAAGAACCTATAATAACTGGAAAAGCCTCGGAGAAAATCGAATCTGCTAACGATAAAGAAGATGTGGTTAACAAGGTACAAGCGATTAATTTCAAGTCAAGTGGCGATGGTAATGCTTTCAGTGAAGTTCACGGAACATGTGTTATTCCGCAAACACCGCAGAGGGTACCCAGTAGTGAGACTGACGCGGAAGACTTTCTGAACAATTTATCGCTGGAATTAACCGAGTTGCCATCATTTGAGGAGGTAGATGGGCTGTTGAAAGAGATCGAGTATGGTTTAGACTTGGATGTTCTAGAAGAAGAAATCGGTGCGTTACTGAGCACGGACGATCCATTTCATCCTGGTTTACTTGAGGGACTATTTTACTTGTGAATTTTGATACGTTCTCTGGTATACCCAGTACTTAATGGTCAGTTAATTAGGAGAAGGTCCCTCTGAACAAAGATTTATAAGCAAGAAATTTATCTCCGGTTTCCTTTATACAGCTTTATATAAAAGAAAATTTCTGTCTTCTATGGGCGGTTTACCCAATTGATAAGAAATATTTATCACTTCCGGTTTGGAATATTTTAAATTGTTGTACATTTGTTTAACAGCTTTTAATATTTATTGAATTTGATTTTCTTCACTTTTTTGACATGTACTCATTTGTTGCTACAAGAGGTACATAAAGAATTAACAGATATTTTCTCTGCACTGTTTTCCATGTATGGTGTGTATGAGGAGAATTTATTTAACATTTTAAGATTTTGTTTGATGATCAAACCCTTTTCATGTTATCTCAGTTTATTATTTTATATTGTTTATCAAAAATATTAGGAAACAAAATTTAATGCTGGTCTTAATGATAGAGTATCTTTATAGAGTGATTTTACTTAACCCGTGAAATAGGCAGTAGAATACTATGCACTATTATACACTATTTGTTAGTATCTGTTTCATGGTTCAACTAAAATCACTCTGTGAAAGGTTTGAACCCAGGGGTCATTTCAAAAGTAGGTTGAGTTTGATCGTCTGGGTGAACGTAGTCCTGAATAGTGATCACGACGTAATTGACCAATCAAATCAATTACCAGAGTATAATACCATCAACTGACGTGATACAACTCACTTTGACTCTGAAGATGACTACCGCACAGGTTGTCGAAACGTCAGTCACTGTCAACAACAACAGTCCTATTCAGGACTACGTTCACCCGGACAATCAAACCCAACCTACTTTTAAAATCACTCTATAGCAAATTCTAAAACGAAAAATGATTATTCATTATTTATAGAGAGAATGCTTTTGTTTTGGAAAAAGTATAATAAAAAGAATGATATTTATCAAAGTAAGTGGATAGTTGTGTTGGTTTATAAATGAGCTGTATTGTTGGTGAAGAAAAACAAAAATATAATTTATTATAAGGAAATTCCAAGGTGGGGGTACTTGCGAGTAGTAGGCTTATAGGGATCTGCGGCTGGATCATATGGTCAATATCCCAGGCTAACAGGATTTTAAAGGCCTTGAGTGTTTGCTCCATCTCCTTCTCTACATTTTTCAGTGCACTTTGTCTTCCTTGGATGTTCTTTATTATTCTTATTTTGTTGATAGCTTTAATAGCTCTTTTAGCTCTTGATAGCGCTTATCTGAGCGATGATTTATGTTCTGTCTTTGTCAACCTACAAGGTGTTAAAGAATTTTTCAAAGCACAGATCTGCAAATAAACATATGTGTGGTGGGCACAGGTGCATTTAAAGAGTAAGAAATGCAATTGCTGGTAAATTTGCTTTTGATTGACTTTTGAACTGTATTACTTTGCCTCTCAGTTTCTCTTCATGAGCTGCCCTTTACAGCGTGTAAAATTGCTTTACGCAGGAATAGAATACCAAAGTCTGTCTGTACAAACCAATTTGCTTACGATCCCACTACATGTACAATCAAAGTTGAGGAAAATTCAAGGACTTTTTTAAAAAAAAATTGAAATCAAGGACTTTCCAAGGCTGCACAAGCCCATGAAATTCTACTGATAAAGCATAATTCACACAGTTTCCCCGTAATCGTTATAAAAACTAAAAAGGGCATTTTGTTAAGAGATTAGGACTAGGAGACACTGTTGGTGCTGTTTATTTATCTGTATAGTATGGTGACTTGTCCCCTGACCTGTAGAAAGTAACCTGTATATTAGACCCACTGCTACAAGCATGGCCATAAACTTTTACCTCCCTCTTTTGACTTTGTTCCCAAGGGGCTGTTTAGGGTGCATGTTTGGTAATAGACTTGACGGATCTGGAAACCCTAGACCTGTGACTGAATAAGGGGGTAGACTTAGCTGGAATACCACGTTGTTTAATTGGCATAATTTTTATAATGAAGCTCCAGGGAGTTTGATGCCTGCTATGCAAACTACCAAATTAACCATGGAGTTATGTGCTGCCCAGCAAGTCAAGATTTTTAGACTCGTAATTTAGAATGGGTATTACTTTTTGAAAAGGAGCTTTTTGAAGTGTCTTGAATAATGTCTATATGTCAAATATGCACAAATGCCTTAGAAAGAGGCTGAGTGTTCATGAGAATTGACTTATTCTGGAGAGGTGTATAATTTAGGCTCAATCTCCACCACTCTCAAGGGAGGAGTGTGGGCTAATTTCCTGAACAGTGGCTGGTAATTGAGCCTGTGTATAATAATATTTGAATACAAGATGTTTCTAAAACAGAGCTAAGTCAAACAATCAAACTTAACTAACAAAAGGAAGGAACATTAGTTGGAATCGTTTAAACTTGCCTTTATTGTGACAACGTGCTTGTGATATTTTCACATGATCGAATGTTCGTATAGTGTAAAATTGAACTTACAAAAAGGGTTTATATTAAACTTGATAACAAATTTATATAAATTATAAATCACTTTAAATCAAACAGATAAATACATCTAAGTTGCATTCTTAAAGTTGACAGGTTAAGACTGCAAAGGGTAATCAAGTCTAGCCATTCACATTACATTTTTAGTCAGACTGCTTTAAAATTCCCTATTTGCCGAAAGAAAAGTTTACCATACAGTAGTTTTGACAATATAAATAACAAAATTACTCAAATCAGTTGAAGTCCTATAGCCAATGGTTACTTATTACGTCTGAATACCACTGCAAATTAACGCATACAATATATGATGACCTTGTATTTAATATAGGCTGAATCTTCACTGTTTAATGGAGAATGCAAATCATGAAAATACAGTAGAACTAACTAAAAGTGCAAGACTAAAGGCCACAACTAAGTGACAACGAACTGAAACGAGAAATAATAAGAACTTGAAGAATACTACTTTAATGTTACTGGTAAGTAAGGCATGTTTAAGTTGTTGTTCAATTATATTCTTGGTTCCCTGTTTTACTTTCCTTTGTTTTTATGCATAATTTGCATTTATGTACGATAATGAGTATTCTTGTAACAAAGGGAAATAAAATTTGAACCAAGACAACATAATTCCAACCACAACAATAATGTATGTTAGTGTTTCTGTAACGAACACCACTGTATCCATGGAACCATAAATCTTTCGATCTCCAAGATTGAGCTTCATGTAAACTCTGCTGAATAGCAGTAGAAATGTACAGCAATTAAATTACTTATTGCTCAAAACTTCTACATTTCAATATAAAATAATATAAAATACATTACTCGTCTTTAATTTATATTCCACACTTTCCAATAGAACACTTTATATTTGATAGTGGGAAGGGTAAATAAATTGTACCAAAATATTACAGTCTAACTCCACGATGAGGGGTGGGTACTACTGATTTTAAAAGTAACAAGGTCTGTACAAGACAAGTTAGTGTTGGATTCTAAGTCTACCAACAAGAAATAATACAACTCTGCAAACAGTTGAACCTGAGAGAAACTTTATGACAGAACAATATATCATGAATGCACTGTTGCTGAATACAACATTGCATCTCTCTGCAAAATAATTATATAAAAACCTCTAGATTAACTCAACTCGCTGATGTCTTTGCCAGCTAGCTGACCTTACAAACACAAGAAGTACAAAAATACATGTCACATGTAGATGGATAAACTAATCCTCCTTTTGAACAAAATTTCTACCTATTAATAATTAATACATAATATTATGAACTAAAAACTAAGAATAAATATTAATCTTGCATTTCTTCTGGCATGTCGTGAGGGTTAACTATTCCAGGCACTGAGAGCTGAACCTTTCGTTTTTCTTCCTGCGCAGAAGTAAGTTGCTGTTCTCGTTCTTCCAAATACAAGTCGCTCACATCCTCTGATCTGAACTCCTGAAACAGAAAGGAAATCATTTCCCTTAGCTTACATACTAAATTGTGCAATTTTGTTTTCAAATATTAACACTACTAATTGATTAATTTTAATTATTATTTAAAATTTTAATTTGCAATCATTTCATTTTATAATTTTATATCAGTTATTTATAAAAATGCATTCCCATAAGGGTTAATAATGAACACCTGTGATGTGGTTTGGTTCTAACTTTTTGAGTCTGAAAAGAAGATCGTAAGGTGCAACAAAAAAAGCCTTTCAGATTGTAAGTGACTTTTAATAAACTTTTAAATTTTCCTTTCTGTTGCCTTGTGTTTGTTTGTGCCACAAACGGAGAATCTAAAATTGATATTACCTAGGAGCACATTCCATGGAACCTTTTTGCACTGGGGAGCTTTCAATAAAACACAGCAGTTACAGGAGCCACAACAGCTCTACTTGCTTTTATCATCAATTCAATGAAAACCTGGCAGGAGCTTATTTATAACACCTACTTCAAAAAATGTCTGAATTTTTCAAACAGAACCCTGACTTCAGAAGCTTCAATGGAAAACTATTTGTATTTTAGTATCAAAAAATGAACTCGACATTTTTCATAATTAAGTACATTTCATACATGAAGGGCTAATATACTAACCTTGATTTGTACCATGAAATCTCGTAAATGTTCTTTGAAGGCTGGGATGTCTTGGTTTAGGTCAAACAGTCCCTGAACTGTCAGTTTAATCTGTGCACTGAACATAGAATAATCACATCACAATTTCATCCAAATACAAAAAGGAAAAACAAGTGAAGTTCAACTTCTCCAAATAGAGCTCGTAATAATATTGAGAGACAATGAGGGTAACTCATCTGTTTGCCTCTGAAAAACTCTCTTAATATAAGAAGCATGTTTGGAACAGTAAAAGAGATTTTCTCCCCTGTCAACAGGCAGTATCATCCCCAACATTCCCAAAATTACTCCCGTAAAATGATTGCCTAGAACAACAGTGTCTGAGATCCTCTACAAGCTCCAAGTCCCAAAGAAGCCAAACGCTAGCTTTCGATACACCTTTTTGTTACATTAGGGCAACAACAAGAGGGTAAGAATTAACCTGACACCAAAGTATAAATTATGCAAATAAGAGGTATTCAGGACAAACAAAGCCAACTCACTCTTGCAAATGTGGAAATGCTTGCTTCAGAAGATTAGCAATGTACTCTTGGACATAAGCCTACGAGACATAACAATCCAGATAAGAAATCAAACAATTATCTTTCTTTAATCATTTAGAAAAAAATAAAAACGTAACTAGTAAGTCTATCCAATTCAAGCATTTCTGTGCGGAGAAACTTGAAGGAATCTTTTTTACTTTTAGGAATGCTGAACTTTCGTACAGTTAAATTACCTAAATTTTTTAAAACTTAACCTTTAGTTGTTATTCACACAAAGATCAGGTTTTAAGATTTGTGTTAGATAATCAGGGCCAAAAATGTAACAGTGGGCCTTGGACACAATACATTTTCATTATTTCCTTTGCTTAGCAAAAAGGTTCTGAATCAAATTATTACAGTCGGCTCTCTCTTAATGGACACCTTGGTCCCTGCCTTTCTTTACTTCCTTTATTTGACTCTCTACAAGATGAACATCTAGCTAAGATGGCTACTTAGTGCCTGTCACAACGGTGTCTGTTTTAAAGAGAGTTGACTGTATGTAAAAAAATGTGGAAAGCTTAGCTCTGTTCATTGTTACTAGATATAAGGTGGTTATTGGACAGTGAAGTATTATGATGTCAAATACCTGATTAGAGGGGTACTGCACACTTCCTGCAGGAAAAAGAGGCTCTGACACTTTGTTTGTCTCAACTAGACTGAACATGTGGGCCAAGATGGTGGCATGCATTGTTAGACCTACAGAAAGGAAAACAGAGTTGTTTTTTATTATGACTGAGGTTTGGTTAAGCAAATTCCCAAAAGAATTAAAGACTTCTTTAAAACCCTCCTACTCAACTGTAAATGCCCAGGATTTTTATAAAAGTACAATAAACAAATAAAGTTGGTTGAGTAGGGCCAGTAATTTCGGAGCCTTACTCGTATATTTGTAAGAGGAGGGCAAATTTTTATGCTCTTAGAAAGCACGTCTTTTAGTGGTCTTTTTAACTGTGAAAATTTTAGCTAAATCTGAACAAAAGTAATAAGCATCTTGCACCAAAAGGCACTTGACTATTAGCAGCAAAGGCTTCAAAGTCACTATCACATCTTTATCGTAATGCATAAGCACAAATTGGTATTTTAGTGGCCTTAAAAGCTCCCACAAGTCTCCTGTAGCTTAGTGGTAGAGCATCTGGGCTAGTAACCAGAAGGTCATAGGAGGTCATACACCTATTCAGGGTTCATACAGATTTTTAGATCCAGACTCAAGGTTATCAAAAAGGTGATCAATAGAGACCTTAAAAAAATGAAGGAACAAAAAACTTTTTCCATGATGCACACTGCAAACATACAGGCGAGATTAAATAAGATTTGGCCGGTACAAAAAAAAATTCACTTGTAAAGCACTTATTGTAACTTTCAAAAAACCTTTATCTCTATTTTCCGGAATTTTTCCAGGACTGGAAAATTGTTGGGCAATTTCAAGACTTGTACAAACCCTGCATATTTGGAGTACTCAAATTTTTTCTTCTGAGCCATCTGTGTCATTGATTATAAAAAATAATCATTTTTCTCATACTAACCAGCTGTATGTGATGTATCTGTGACTACTGACAAAACATGTTGTACAATCATCATGTAGTACGTCTGATAGAAGCTCTGTACTGCTGTTTCTTGTTCTAGACTCTTCAACAAGGAGTAAAGAATATGGAGGCCTACAAAGAGTCAACATGTTAAAAACCAATAATTTGATGATTACTTAATCTAAGAGCAATATGCATGTATGCACAACCCTCCAAGTTGTGACCATTTTGGTCGCCATGGCGCCTAAAATTTTGGAGCTGGTGACTTGATTTGTAAAAAAAGTCTCCGTAAACCAAAAGAGTTAATGGCCAAATGGCGACCAAGCAAAAACTTTAACTTGGAGGGTTGATGCATAGAACTCCTTCATACCAATATCAGCAACATTTCTCATGGTGTGCTTGAATGCCCAGACTATAGAATCCAGAACCAGCTTGAACTGCTGGGCAGGAATAGATAACAGTGCTGTGGAAATATGATAAATAAATAAACACTTTTGAGCTATGTAAACTGTAAGGGGCCAGGGTTGGAGGAGGGAAGGAATAAACAGAAAGAGAAAATTGTTTTTTTTGGTAAAGTTATAGAGAGAGTTAAAAAATGCTGTCACAGATCAGGAGCAATAACACAAGCAGTGCAAGATGCAATTGAAACCATCTTTGGTCAAATTTAGACTTTTTTGCTCAAAACGGCCTAAATATTTGCACATGGCCTTTCAAGTATATTCACAGAACATTAACCCACATTTGTTTGTTTTTCACTTCTTTTCAAGACAAAACATCAGAGAGTCAAGTCACCACCTTTTGCATCATGACAGAAACAAAATGCACCATTGAAAATTCTTTGTTTCTGTGAACAAAGGAGCGAATGCCAAATTGTAGGTTTTTTCTCACTATTGAATATCCCTCTACTGTTGCCTGCCAGAAACAACCTTTTTTTTGCAAAGTTATTCCTTCACCAAACTGGTCAGCATTTCACCGGGTCTAATCACATTTCCCAGACGAAATTGTTGACAACACAATAAGATTTTGTCTTATGCATTACAAATTTTAAAGTACTGAGCATGCGGTGCAAAAGTAGTACAGTCATATACTGTGGAATAATAATATATTATTGCATAACTTACCCTGGAAACAGTGCTGCACAACAGCTTGAAGAAGAAGGAAAAAGTTCGTTCTGTGTTCAGGAAATTCTTCAAAGTTCTAAAAAAAGAGAAACCTTGCACTGTTATATTCAAATTGAACAGAACACAATATGAATGTACCACAAGGCAGTGAAACACTCACTGTACCTGGTAGAAGTAAAGTAAATTTGCATACTGACCTTGTTGATCATTTCTAGTGTGCACTCGAACACTGCATCAAATATTTTTGGAACATGTTCTGTTACATTCCTCTGAAAATTGGAAAGAACTCTATTATAAAACATTTTCAGTATGTGTTATGGACTTGAGAAAAATACTAAAACTGTTTTATCCTAATATTTTGTCTTTTCCAAAAAAAGCCATAACCATAGACAAGGACAAGGTTAAACTGTGAATCTCAGCTTGAAAAACAAGTAGAAAAAGACAAGAACAGTTTTTGCATTGTGTTAGTTCTACATGGTCAAGGAAAAAAATGCATGCACACATCACGAATTTATGACTCTCCTTAGTGAATGGGCACAGAGTGCTAAGAACATGGAGCATTAATTTTTTAAGCTTAGTAGTGGCCCTCATGGTTCAGAGCTGCTAACATTAGAGAGCTTAAGATTTGAAGACAAGGATGGCTACGAGATTGAGATTTTCTCAACACTTGCGTGCGTGAGCCAGTGTCATTTTGGCAGGAAAACATGGTAGCTGTCATCATTCTACTACAGGATTTAGCGAGAACGTTGTAGCGGTGGAAGAAGTTGTCAAGTTTTACCTCCTTTAGTATGAATAACTGTGCTACATTTTTGGCGAAAAAAAGTAAAAAATTTACTTTTTGGGGGGTGCCTTCTTGTTGAGAACACATGCAAAAACTTTAAGTTAAATCTCGTACTAGCACTCGTCCTTAAATCTAAAGGCCTCTATTAAAATAAATTATTGTCCTTGGGGCTTCCGCAGAGGCCTCAGCAGGGAAGCTGGGGAGAAGGAATGATGAAAGCACACAAGAGATAATGGCTTTTCCCTCTTCCCATAACCCAGGGCACCAGGGTTGTCATTAAGAGCTGGGGGCCAAGGATTTCCCCTGGCTATTATGAACATGATCCCCGGCTATTTCACAAAAAAACAGAAGAAATATAGAACTAAAAGAAATCCCTAGCTGTTAAAAGTTTGATTCAAGGCCTACTTGTTGTATTTACACAGCAACTTGAAATCTTAGTGACAGCCCTTAATTATTATTTTCTGTTGGATGACAGGGGCCTGTGCAGAGGAGGTAAGAGACTGACACCAAAACTTCTCTTTAAGCCAAATGTCTGTTGAGCATTGAGCACAGCAACCCTACGCGCAGGTTAAAAAAACACAGAAAAAGGAACAGATCAATACAAACCTCAAGCTTGTTGACAAATGTTGCCATAGTGTTTAGGACTTCAGGTTCTCTGGCATTTGGCACATTTCTTTGATAATCTCCCAGCACAGCATCCAATAAAGGAGGAATGAAGTTGTCACACACAAGCTTAGCATCATTTGACTTGCTTACCCATGTGGATATGAGTCTTAATGTTTCTGTTTTTACAGTTCTCATAGCTCTGATAAGAGGCTGTTTTGTAACTATCTCACCATTCTCGGCTATCGCAACAGAAATGTTTTCACTGAGACAGCGGTATACATTGAGCATGTCCAAGTATATTCTGCCCAGCTGGGTAACAAAAGGATGACCCACAGACTTGCATCCTCTAACATTTGTTTTCAGAATGTTTCCTAACTGTTTAACAACTTCAATTTCTCTTAGGTGGTCAATATTCTGTAGAAAAAAAATAAAAGCAGAGTGACTCAATAAAACTTACTCACACACATGTTAAAGAAATGTATTTTGGAAGTGCATTTTTAAACGCACTGAATCATTTCAAAAAAGTAAGAGCTATTTGCCACTTCATAAATGAGACGGAAAATGGACCGAGCTAATTTTCTCAGACTTCTGTGGCTGTTAATGGGGACAGTGAAAAAAAATTGGACAATAACTGACCAAAGTATTCTCAGGAATGATCCCACAAGTCTTTGCAAAAGTCAACTTGCCCCAGGTTCCCTCTTTTTTTAAGTGGCAAATGGGAAGAAGCAAGTCTGGGTGAGTGTAACTTTTCACGCACAGTTTTTGGCTTTGAAAGGTTACTAGATTTTCTTAACACATTGAAAATTGCTTACCCTTGTTGCTTCTTTCACAATATTGTCCCAAGCTTGGTTTGGAAGTGACATGTACTTCTCAATCAATCTCTCCATGACAACTGAATCCTGAATTTTAAAAAATGGAAACAAATGTCATGTCCTATACTTCCTGTCAGTAAATAAATCAAAATCACAGGCTCCCAGCAACATACCCTGCGAGCAGTGGTCTCTCCAGGCCAGACACTACGCTATGTAGGGATGTACGCTTTGTAGCTTAGTGTCCGGCCTGGAAAAACCACTACTGGCAGAGTACCAGCAACATTACAATGATTGCTATACATGTAGATGAATCATGAAGAAAGAACTTACTGTTTGTGCACTGATCATGTAGCCAACAGCCTCATAAAAAGTATGGACCTAACAAATAAAAAAAAAACTGATGAGTAAAAAGATTGGTTTGTGGATAAATAGTTATTGTGCTTTGACCTTCAATCACACAGCTGCCACTGGTATAACAGTGTTTTGACTCTACCTGACGTACTAAGCCTGATGATTAGAACAGCACATGAGGGATCAAAGTTTCCATATACACAAAAGTTACAAAACAAAATTATTTGGTATGATTTTACAGTTACTATGAGCTTATTTGTGGTACTTAAGATCTTCAACGATGAATTCAGAGAAGCATATTGAAAAGGATTTAATTACTTTGCCAGCACTTGGCGAAAAAATAATGTTACCTGCTGGGGTTGAAGATCACAGATGATAGACTGTGTATTATTTAATATCTCCTCTATGAACGGCATAACTTCTCCTACTTGAACCTGGGAAATAAAATTCAACTCAGATTAACTAGTCAAATAACAATATTTTTTATTATGTATTTATTAAGTTTTATCAGAAACTCATAAGGGGTTGAATCAACCCCTTATGAGTTTCTGGTTTTATTTGGATTTGCCAATTCTTAGCAGGGTCATTGTAACATTGTGAAGCCACCAAGGTCCAGTGACAGTCCCCTCCCCTTACAAGAGACCAACAGACCACAGCAACAGAGTCTACATCCACACTCTTCGCAAACAGCAGTGTGGGTTCCAGTGGCTTGACATCAATGCCCATAGACTCAATCATCAGAACTGAGACAGATCTTATCACAGCTGGTGCCACCTTACCAGAATTTTCATGACCCCGGTTGTTTATTCAGCTGGGGTTTGAACCTGTGACCTCATGCTTGGGAGACTGATGCTCAACAACCGGGTGAGGGTTTTTACTTTTCATGACCATGCAATGTCTAGGTAGGTAGGTAGGTGATACTTTATTTAAAAATTCAAATTACAAGCCCCATTTTCCACAGGGGGCGTGTTGACACATACAAAAACCGTGTATTAAATTACTACTACTACTACTACTGGTACTGGTACTGGTACTGGTACTGGTACTGGTACTGGTACTGGTACTGGTACTGGTACTGGTACTGGTACTGGTACTGGTACTGGTACTGCTACTACTACTACTACTACTACTACTACTACTACAGTACTATTGCTGTTACAGAAATTCATATAAAAAGTTAACTAATAATTATTAAGATACACAGCTTGGCAGGACCCAGTTATTATAATCTAATAATGTTTTTAAGTTCTACTTGTTTACCTGTACAAAATGTCTTCTGCATTTCTGAGCAATTTTGATGAATGTATCACAAGCCATGTCTTGAACACCATCATGTGTTTCTAATAAAATAAAGAAAAAATTATAATACATTAACCTCACATTTTGATTTGATCTCAAAGTCAATAACTATATTCTAAGGTTGCTAACAAATAGGCCTGCTGTGTATTTAGAAAGATTTACTGAAAAGGTACATATACCGTTATATACTGAAAAGGAGATATATATTTGACAGAAAGAGATTCTCCACGGAGAACTTAATTCTTGAAGAAAAATAAAACGTTCTCCTCATCTACTTGCCACAGCATCAAGGCACAGTTTTAATTGTACAAAAGAATAAGTAAACATACCATGCATAAACTCGAACAGCTTGTTCACTACAGTCTTCAAAAACTTCCAGTGCGCCCTACAAAATTACAACCAACGTCACTAACATTTCTTCATGTACTCACTCTGAAGACTCAAACTACTTCAGACTGAAGCATAAATGGGGAGGAAGAAACATCTGATATTTTGTATCATGATTTCAAACATAAATGAAAATTGAAACATACAGTTCATTACAGCTGTTAAAATACATATCTTGTTGAAATGTAAGTATTGGTATATGGTACAAGAAATTAGTAAGTAAACCCTCATGATACAAACCAAACTACGATTTATCAGAAAAAGAGAAAAAAGAAAATGATTATTACTATTTTACCTTAAAAATCTGGGATATTGCCCCACTATATACATTATGTTTGATGCAATTATTGCTTTGTTGTCCTTGCCACGTTTAATTTCACACAGACCAAGAAGATCCTGAGGAACAGAATTAATCAATTAGTGGCTACTGAATACAAATGATAATCAGTAATAAACAAAGTGAAGAAACAAATTATGAGGCAAAAGTGCAAAGTCAAGTTTAAGATTCAGTATGTACCTTGATAACAGTCACCAGGAATCTCTTTTCATCCTCTTCGTGCATAGCTCCACTGATTGATCCAACTGCCCAGCACAACTTAAAATACAACACAATCATTCAGTTAATATTAGAAAAAAGTAAAATAAAATTAGTATATTTTCTGTCAGTAGTATTACTATCAGGGCCAAGCAAATGACTGATTAGAAATAAATATGTCTAAAAATGGAATGTCATTAATGAAAAGTATCTCAACTGCCGCAGAAGAGTTGGGTCGTGTGCCTTGGTCCCCCTTTTTTCTGTGGATTTTTGAACTATTTCTTAGAAATTTATCAGTAAAATTAATAGTATATTTATAGCTGGTAAATAGATGGCAAATGGTGCCATAATCAATGAAAAGAAGAAATCTCAAACAGCAGCAACATTTTCATCACAAACATACCGTGTTAAGATTCTTCCAGGACCATTCAGTTCCATTGACTTGATTCTGAAGCTTCTCTGTCATGATTCTCTCGGTATCCTGGTAATCCAAATGTGTCAAGTACACTACAGCAAAAGGCAAAACAAAATTATCAAGAAAAACATGCATTATGCATTCTACAAAGCCTCCAGTCAAGGAATTCTTAATGAGGTTTACAGATTTAGCCATTCCAATGATAACACTTACCCAAAGTTTCTCTCATGTTCTTGTACAAGTTGATAGCATCTGTGTCCTTCATAAACTCTCTCACAACTTCACCTTGGTCATTTTCAACCACCAACACCTACAAAGTCAAAGATGAATCAAATTCAAATCCAGTTGAACTTGGTCAGTGTGAACTATTTTGTAGGTTATGCATTAAAATGCAGGGTCTTATAGAACTTACAGAAGTTGAGCATTATATTATCAAGTGCAAATTCCACTGTACTTAAGATTCCATCCCTACCTCCTCTGGCTTTGCCATTCTTGAGATCATTGTTAGGCGTACCTTAACAAAAAAAAATACAAACACAAATTAATTTTTGAGGCATGTATAACCAAATACTATTCATTTATCCATCTTTCCAATGATAAGTTCCCTTGCTTTAAGTTTAACACAAAAAGATGTAACTCCATCAAATTTTAGGACAACATTTTCCCCTTTCAAACACCTTTTCAAAAAATCAAGGTTAAGAGTGTGATTGGAAGACATTTCAGTTTTACTTGATGCTACTAACAGGTGCTGTAACTCAATAGTATAAAAAACTTAAATATTGTGATACTACACTTCATCAAGACAAACACACCAGCAAATATAACACAGTAGAAAGAACAGTCAGCTCATATTAAGTACTTGTTCTAGCTGTGTCAAAAATCAATCCATTACTTTGCATTTGTCCAAAAAAGAAATCACTTTAAAGGTGCCCAAGTTTCTGGTGATGAAAGTGACAACCATTTTTAACAAACTTACTTTAGATAGCACGGATAGATACATTTGTCTCCTAGGTGGGACCGACTGTGATTGAGAAGTGCCAATCAAAAGAGGAGTGCTTGAAGGGAATGGGTTCTCACGATACAGATCAGATGCAAGAGCATTCCAGTACTCTAAACAAATCTTAAAGATTTCTGTTTCTTCAACTTCAGAGATGAGGACAAGATAATGAAGAGCCTACAAAAAGAAACTTAAAATTGGTTAACAATCCTTGACTAGTAAATTGGAATGTTCTTTTTCTCTCTTGTCAAGAAGGGAATAAAACTACCTCACTTACAAGATTATCATTCCAATCCAATAACAAAACCATTTTCTGTTTCATGCCTCAATTACCAAATGATACCTTAATGTTTAAGCTTTATACCTACCTCCAACAATGTAGTATGAAGTTCCTCCTACATGAATAAACAACAAAAAAGAGATAAAAATAATGTACAAATTTTAATTGATGAACAAGTTAAAATGAACTCAACAAATCATCCTGCTCTTAATGTGAGGGTGTTCATAGTTCCATTGGTCGAGCACTGCTGTGCTAATGCAGTGGCTAGTGATGGGTTTAAATCCCATTGAATCCCTTATTTTTTTCAATGAAAATGATAATAATAGTAACAATAATAATAATAATAATAATAAATTTCCAGGGTTCTCTTACGAGAATGCATAAGCGAATGCACAACTCAGACGCCCTTCGGCAACAATGAACTATGTTGTTTTCATATCGAGCAGTGAGTTCAGGTCGGAGCTGAAGAACTGATCTCCGTTGACGCAAAGTGAGTGAGTGACACATTTCCAGGGTTGTCACTAAGATTTCAAGTTGCAGGGTAAATACAACAAGTAAGCGGGGAATTAAACAGGTAGGAGTTTCTTTTGGTTCTATTTTTCTTTTATTTTCCTTTAAAAGTAGCTGGGGGCTGTGTTCATAGTAGCCGGGGGAAATCCCCGGGCCCCGCCTCTCAATAACAGCCCTGCATTTGCATATCGAAACCCATCAAAAAACCCTTGGGATACCCACTGGGTATCCACAGGCTAAAAGGAGTTATTTTGTTTCACAATTCTCCTCATCAGTGCCAAAGGAAATATACTACAAAGAACAGTGTGGAGAATCAGTGTCTATTTAAAAGGTTAATACCTTCTTTTCCACCAACTGACCATGCTCCTTTAGGAATGTACAGAGAAACAGACTCAGGTTCTGAATAAATTTCTGTTCATCATCCTTGCCATTTGCATAAGCATCTTTGATGTTAATAGTCAAGGGAAGCATCTAAAGTAAAGGATAATATAGACAAAAAGCATTTGTGTTTAATTGTCACATGAAAAAGTGCTCTGAAGATGTACCTTTGATTACTATACAACCCAATTATTATATTTCTTGTAAATTCTTTCAGTTGTCTGTTTACAGGAGAAATAAACATGTTGTTGTTGACCTGCAATGGTGATCTGTGGAGTGTGACCTGTATTAGAAACCTCTCCAATTCCCAGAGAGGACATTTCACAGTCATTAAAATAATTTATCAGATGATAAGATAAGTCAAACTAACCTGTTTTAACTGGGCCATTGTAAGTGTAAACAGCACCACAAACTGCTCATCATACTGGTTAGCACCAATGCCAGCTGTGTTTTGAAAATGCAAGTCCAATTTAGGGCAAATCTAACTAAAATTACATGTAAAGCAACTCTCATAATTATTTCAATCTTTTGCTCTTTAATTTAATGATGTGTTTCACATCTTCGTTTCCCCTAAATGTTGTTTCATAGTCCCTTTCATTTGCATTTGATAATGGTGATATATCATCGCCAAAACATCATGTTTTATTAGAGTTGCTTTTTATCCTTAAACTCTGGGTGACTTACCAATTTCGGTGAGACATTTTAAGGTCACATTCCTGAACATAGGTACATTAAGGAACTGAAGAGGAAAGAATTTTGTTTAGTTTAAATTCATTGAAATAAATCACACGATTTTAAAATCGGCAAAAATAAACTTAAATGTTAATGATTCTGTTACCTTGTAAACAAGTGTGCTTATAAGCTGGGTCTCAAATATGTAACCAAGAGGAATCCAGTTGAGAAAACGCAGAAGTGTCTGCAAAATAAGTAAATAAAATACATAAGGAATCAAGGAGATATATAACACTCTCCACAGTCCTTGAAAAAAATTGGAAATATTTTGACCACTCATGAATTAAAAAATGCTAAATCAGCATCAATTCCAAACACTTTCAAACTCAGCATGTTTTACTGAGTGGCTTATTTTTCAGTGTTTTAAGTGCAATGCCACTCTACAGGAACAAGAAAATTAATTGCAGTCAATTTAACTAATTCGTTCTTTAAACAAACGACTACCTACCTCCAAAGTTGCACCTATGAGAGTAACATTTGAAGAGTTCTCCTAAAAAAAGTGGACAAATACAGCAATATTAAATGAGAAGATTTACAAGTATTAGTCACACATGCAGCCACAAAATAAAATCAAGACTCCCCCTCTAACAAATAAATGAAAATTTACACAATTAAACCACAGACTGCTGCCAAATTTTGCCTGTTGACTTAACTCACCATAACAAACTGGCACAGAGTAAATATCTGTGAAAACTCACTGCACATACTGAAAAATGATAAATTGTTACAGTTATTACAACTTGTTCTACTAATTATTACAGTATGCAATAATTAGTGCATAAAAAAAATCATTCAATAAAAAGAATGCCACTATATTAAGATATTTTTATAACAGAGCTAGATAAATGGCTCTTTTTTTAATAAAAAAAAGCCCACGAAAATGATGGAACATTTCAGTTAAGCTGCAAAAAAATATGGCGATAAATCAACAATAAGAGACTAAAGTGATAAATAAAATTAATAAATAAACAATTGTGTTAAGACTGGTACTAAAAGGGAAAATTGTAACAACCATCACAAAAAGAACATGGTATGGCAAAAAAGTGCCCAATTTCCCGACAAGATTTGAAACAATGACAACTTAAACACTGAAAAGGCAATCTGTTCATTGCTGACAGCATAGATAGAGCAAAAATCAATGTTGTTCAAGTCCTGACAATTATATATATGTTGTAGTTAATTTTTTATTTCAGTTTTTTTTATTTTTCCATTGTTTTTGGGTATGGTAATGTATGCTAATGAATTTAAAACAAAGGAAAAACAAAAAAAAATTAACTGCAACATATAAAAAGGCAATTCAAAGCAAACTATTGTGATATGTCTAAGCATTCCAACCTGTCTTTCAAGTGTTTTGCTTTTGTTTGAGTCATCTGGCCACTGGAGAAATCAAAAACCTCTTCACTGGGGAAAAAAAATGAAGATCACTTTACACCCTTGATGTAAAAAATGAGGGGAGGGAGGGGTGGATTAAAATTTCGGATGTATGCCTGACAAGGATCATAAATGATGAAGACAATTTCGATTCGGAACAAACAACACAACACAAGTTCTTGTAAATTTTAATATCTGAGCCACAGCTTTATCACGACAGTTACCTGAGTAGCTTTAGAATCACCATGTTGTTTTGGCACAGAGACTCATTTGCTTTACTTGCACCCACTATGTCACCAACAAACGTTGGCCACTTCTTTGGCCACTCATGCTTCAAAATCTAGAAAAAGATGTATGATGCTCTTATTGCCTGACATTGGCAAAGATAAATGTTGTAGTTCAATTTTTTATCTCAGGTAATTTAGATTTTTCTTTTGTTTTTGGGTATCATAATGTATACTAATGAAGTTGAAACAAAGGAAAATAAAAATTACCTGAGATAAAAAATCAACCACAACATATACATGTATTGAAATGCTACAAGATGAAGGTCAACAAAATTAGACATATGCAAATATCTACCGTATAAAAGAAACGTAACGTTTCGATGGCTACATGTCATATTATCAAAAGCTAAGAAATTAACATTATTTGTGGATAAATCATGTTCGTTTCTTAGCTTTTGAGAATGATGACATGAAGCAAAAAAAAAACTTCAAGTTATTTCTTTTGGAAATACATTTTGAAACAACAGTAATTGTTATTTTTGTTTCAAACTGTATTTCCAAAACGATTTTTTTTAAAATGAACTTTTAAATAGTTTCAGAGTTTATTATTTATACAATAAAGTAAATCTTAGCAGTTAAAACTGAGTTAAGATGCACTTGGTCGTGAAACAGTTAAATCCACTGCCTAGTTTACCTTATACAGTTTACTGACTTAATTTATGTTTGAAAAAAAAAAAAAAAAAGCTGTGGTTCCAATTTTATTCTTGGTTAAAATTTTATTTTCCTTACTCTTTAGGTATTGCAATGTATAATAATGAGTTTGAAACAAAGGAAATTAAACTTAAATGAAGGATTAAATAATGCACCACAACATACAAATGCAGATGAAGCTTAACTTAATTAAATCAATCTGAGTGTGACATATGACGTTAATGCAAGCCTATATATACATAGAATGGACAAACAAAATGATGCTGATTATTGCAGTGCATTAACTCAAAACAGATAAGCTTCTCGCACAAGACTGTTAACAAACAAAAGAACATTAATACTTAAAATTATGTTGGAATATATGGACACTTGCCAAATCATACGCCAGAATTACGGAGCCAACCTACACCTCCCCTGACCCAGTTGGCACAATAACAAAGCTTGAACGTAGATGTTGTGTACGAGATTTTAATTTACCAAACAAGTTTCATCTCCGAAAACGTTCGACACGATTCAACCGAGCAATTTGCATAATTTCAAAAAAAAAAATCAAGTAAAAAATGAGCACCCATAGCTGAGAGCCAGTTCTAAAATTAGACGACGTTGTAAACAATCCGATACACCTGCGGCAACTCCCACTCGATGTACTTAGCCAACTAAACAACTAATACCTAGGATTTACACAAAATTGACTTTCAGGCAAAAATACCACACAATTTATGCCGAATAACATACACAGGGACCTTTCTAACACGATTTTTTCTAAATGCTTCCGAAAGCACCTCGCATTCCAAACAGAACTATTTTGGCGGGAATCTCCCTTTCAAATCGAAACTGACATCAAAACCATACCTCCACTAAAATCATGTTCAACTTGCCAATGTACGTCTTCTCTTTCTGTTCAGGAAATAAAATAAAGGCAACTTTAATTCACTAAAACCTCAAAATTGTCTAAAAGACGTTCGATCAGACAATGGTTAATAAGCACAAGAAACAATCAAACATTAATTTCCATGCAGAAATTACAAACAAAGCATTCACCTCTAACATATCAGCTTCAGAAGAAATTTTTATTATCAAACCAACAATGTACTTTTTTATTCCTGAGGAGAAATAATGCGGACATTTGAAATCGGCCACTTTTCCAAGATATGACTAGAAATAGCAAATTAATGCTAGCTCGTGCAGTAGTATGAGCAAGTTTCTGACCTTCGCACTGCTCTGCTGGGAGAATTTTCCATCGCGTCTTGATGACTGCTTCAAGTATTTGTAACGCAAAGTACTATAATAAAAAAAAAACACACGCACATACATATAGTTAAAAAATCTTAAAAAAAAACAACCACAAATTCCCAGTTCAGAGTACCTTGGTCTGTTGATTGTTTGAGTATTCGAGAATAGTATCTACTCGAGTCCAGGCGTCCGGGTGCTGCTTCAGTTGAGTCAAGATCTGGTCTGCCATTCGTTGCTGAAGAGGAAAAGAACCATTCTCAGGTAAGAACGGTCTCGAAAATAAACCTGTAGTTTCAATAACTATAAAAACAATCGAAAGAATTTGTCAACCTGAGGTCCATGGGCCATGTAAAAACATGACACTACGGAGTCTAGTAAAGTTATATCGAGTTTTTGCGAGAAGTCCAGCAGCTGCGTGGCGTGCTCTATGGTTGCCATTGCCGTAGGCATTGAAGAAAATACACAGATCGCGAAAAAATAAATATATTCTGGATATAAACTGAAGAAATTCACGAACAAAACTATACTCGACTTCAGTGAACACTGATAGCAAATTTTGAACGAACACCGCGGCCAGTTTGCACCGCTTTTCCCGGTTTAAACCAGTCATAACACCCGAGAAACCCGGATGTAACAGGTTTGGGTGCTCTTTCTGCCCCTTAGCTTTCGGTTTCTTTTCCCACGAAAACTTCTACTGCTAAATCTAACTAGATGACTTTTTTTTTTAAATTTCGGCCTCCTAAATCTCCAAATTACAAAATATTTTCCCTTTTGACCGCACGGTTGATGGGGACCGTAAAATAAAATAAGTTCAGGCGTCAAGAGGCGCGAGCACATATTGTTTTTGTAATCGGGGTTAAAAATAGTAAACCGTGCAGTCCAATGGCCCATTTCCGCTTTATGTGTAGTAAAATCCCATTCACGAACACTGCACGTGCATGACTCATGAATAAAATTTAGCAAATGACAATAACCTCATACCCAGGTCTCTAACAGCACTTTGCACAAAAGAACTTCCGGTGAGTTTTGTTCTCGTTGCGCCTCTTGTAACCAATTACTTTTATTTAGAAAAAATTATATTTGAAAAGTTCCTACAATTCTTATGATAATAATTTCCATTTTTTGCGTGTGTTTCATCATGTGTTATGGTTTCATTCATTGGAACTTTCCTGTTATTGATTCTACTTCCGTTTTAGGTGTGAAAGGCGCGCTTAGGTAGCTGGGAATGCTCGCTCTGGGAAGAACAAAGAATGGCGGATAAACCATGATACTTTTTCACGAGAAAAAGACCATAATATACCAAAAGAAGCGGGAAATACAACCAGCTGAGGGGTTTCAGTGAAAGGTATTTTCAAACAGTGTAGTTCCTCAGCAGAGTGGTAAAATAAGCGGAGCAGATTATAGCAAACTATAGCAAATGTTTGGACACGATGACTCGCAGAGTGAAGTCGTCGCTTTTAATTTTCGGTAGAAAAACAACGTAAGGAAATGTGAAAATGTTGATCGAAACCCGTCCTTTGCACGGTGGTACGTTCTTTTGTGCCTATGAATAACTAAATTTGTTTGTCTTATCTAATGGTTGTGATAAAAGCCAGATTATTGTGCTCCGAATCCATCGCATTGACTTTCAGTGACAGTGAATGTCAGTTGTAATGTGAGAAAACAAAGGGTAGGGCATTTGAAACTGGGGGCAGCTACAATATACAACGTGGAGGGATTACAGGATACCCGGCCCCCAAAATAGGCTGTTTTAGCCAAAGAAGAGGCCCTGCCAGGTCGCCCGTCTGAATTTTAAAACTTCTCGTGTCGGTGCTTATAAATGCTTGTCGCTTATTGTTGGCTTTGCCATCATTGTCGCAATTTGGCCGAGGGAGGTTCTCTTTGTTGCGATTTCATTTTACGCGCTGTTGCAACTTTTTGGGCCATGTTGCTTGTCGGAATTTACCCTGGCAGGGCCTCAGAGAATGGGAACGTCAGTTGACAATGGGAAAGCGCATGGAAAGGACTAAACCAGACTAAACCAGACTAAACACAACTTCTGGTGCCCAATTTGCTGCTCTGTCATTGGTCAACCCAAATATTTGATTTATGCGTGCCGTCCTCAACTGACATTCCCGTTTTTCTGCTAAATCAGCCTAATATCTTACTTGAAAAACTGCTCCCGTAGTTCCGCAGTCGTGTTCTATTATGCTGGGTCCACAGTCTCACAGCCTGGTGATCAGGACGTTACATGTTGATAGATCATTGATCATCGGAAAGCTAGCTGATAAGTCAATAGTGCTTGATTTTTGTCAATAATTGTTGATTCATTAGATAATGTTCTCAGGACAGGTAATGATTTTGAAAGACTTTTTGGAGAATATTTGTTGAGGATTTACGGCCTTTACACAAACTTTACATGAATGCCGTTTAAGGAAAAGGATTTGGATGTGCCAATTCTTCGAACACATGGATGCTACTCATTTTCAAATGAAAATAAAAAACTGTTCAAACAAATGTTGCAAAAGCTGAAGTAGACTTTTAAGAAAGTCCTTCATCTGATGTAATAATGGCACAAAATTTTTGGAACTGATGTTGCTAACTGATGTTGGAAATGTTGCTTCTGATCCTTTTTATCTGCCAATATATAAAAATCAAACTCTATCACCAATTTCAACAGAAATCGATAATCACACAAAATTTATGATTGACTGTTAATTGATTTCAGATATCTGTCGATTGATTAGTATCAAAATTATCGACATGCAACATCCTGGTTAGTAGACAAAGAATTAAATCCAAGTCAGTAAAACGGGTGTTCCCGCAGCTCTGACGCCTGCAGTTGATATCAGGATTTATTATGCAAATTGGACCGTGGGAGCAGTTTTTTTAAGTCAGATGTTTAGTGGGTCGGTTATTCTTCAAACTAGCCTACAGAGTTACATTATTGCTGCCCTGGCTTAGCTGTGAATGCAAACAAAGCCTGCATGCTGGTCATTCACTATTTTGAGATGAGACCTTATTATTATATTTTACTGCAAACAAGCTAAACAAGAGAGATCCCAACTGATGCCTTGGTAGGCAGTTAAAAGACACCCTGACTTCATTCTTTTTCAGTAACCATTGTTTGCTATGTGATGGACTTGTTGGAGGAACAGGAAACTGTAGGAAGTATCAGCTCAGATGCTTTTTCAGCTTCTTCAGAGATCAGCCTTTCAAAAGAAACAGATTCTCTCGTCGTGTGTCCATCAGATGATGGTGCAGATGCAGCCTCTGTTAAACAAGGTAATGTTTAAAATGTCTGATTCATATTTCTGGTTGGATAGCATGAAGAGGCACTTCATGATATTTCCACTTTATGTGGAGTAAAATCCCTATTCACGAACACTGCAAATGCGTGCCTCATAAATAAAATGTAGGAAATGAATATAATGTCATACCCAAGTCTCTAACAACACTTTGCACTAAAGAGCATCTGGTGAAGATCACAGACAGAGTAGATGTTGTAACAAATAACGTTACATAATTTATATGAAAAGATTTCAACACTTGAGTGATTTACCAGTAGATCCACATTTTGTGGCAAATTAAACAAACATCAGATTCAAGTTCACAGTTTCTAAAATTCAAAAGTGAGTTGATAGTTTTAATGGATGAATCAGTACTAGTCACAAAGTGTTTCCCAGCAAATGTATTGTATTTTTGTATTTTAGCATCAGAGGTGTGTAAGGATTGCTCTCCATCTGTAGAACAGTCACTTCCTAATGAAATCATGGCTGACAGTGCAGGCCATGTTGGAAACCAATGTGTTACAATAGTCACAGATGCCATCCACTGTGGCTCACAAGTGTTAGATGATCAAAGAATAAAGGATGCAGAGCCAGATGATGGAGGTATTTTACATTGCCATATGTGGGATATTAATTTGCCCTCAACTCAGTTTAATAGAAAAGAAAGCACCAACCTCAGTAAATTCTGTAACATATTGACCTTAGGACAGGGAGAGGTTTTGGGAGTCTAGTTTAGTCTAGTGCTAGGATAGCAAAATTCACCCTAACAAGGTCTGGTATAGGCTCAGGGTTTCGGGGTCACACAGCTTCCCAAACGTCCCTAAAGTATAGCTTACTGTGTTTTGTGGTGCACATTGTATTGACCTGTATTAGACAAGAGAGCGCAAATGAACGGTACTGCAATACCATGATGGATCTAACCATTAGCCAAAAGGATGAAAATCCGTATACCGTAGGACTAGATGATACCACAATAACGCATATTGTATTCATATTTACGAGACAGGTCTTAATGTTATTGAGTTTTTTTTTCAGGTTTGCTCTTTGTCCAAACTTCAAGTTGTCCTGAGGATGGTCAGCAAAATCACATGCTTCTGTTGTCCAGGTCTCGTGACACTACAAAGTAAGTCCTACTAGAAACTTGAAGGGATTGCTGTTGAGGGCAGTGTGCCCACCTATTTTGGTCCAACGAGAATAACAACTTAACTGCTCATAAAAGTAGAGTAAAGTAATCTCTCTAAGTTTTCTAGTTCTTCCACAATATTTATTAGTATTTCGCTATAATATACACATTTGCAACATTAAATTAAAATAATTTATAAGATGTTTATAGGTTTGTGATTTATTGCAATGGCTGATCCAAGCTTCCAGTCAAGTTGACTAATACAACAGTGGTTCAGTATTTTCCTGCAGCACTTACCATTAGCAAGAACTTGATCATGAAGAAGGTTCCACTATTAATCCAGTCTGTCCTGCCAGACCAGTCTATTGCTAAACAGTGCACTCAGTACCCCTATCCAAGATTACAATGATATTAATGTCAGCAACAGGTTTTTGCAGAGAAAGTGAACTTGTCATTTTTATTAAGTGAAGAACACACTTTGATTAGCCCTCAACAAAGATTTTGGTTTTTGTTCACAGTTTTTCATCAAATCTATGAAAGCTTTGATGGATTCCATTTAATACAGTGCAATCCAAAACCAAGATGTTTAATTTGCACCATAGGGGCTCAATTTAGAAAAGTATAAAACAATAATGTTGTAATAGGAAAAATTAATTTATTTATAATGCTGCATCATCCTAATGGAAATATATATTTTTATTCCCACTGACAGAAACCTTCCAAGGATGTTTGAATGTAAATATCCAGACTGTGGACGGACATTCAGCACTGCAGGCCACCTCAGATATCACACACGCACACACACCGGAGAAAAGCCATATTCGTGCTCCCATGAGGGCTGTGGAAGAAATTTTACCTCATCTGGCTATTTGCGCTATCACCAGTGTACACACAGCGGGAAGAGGACCTTCAAATGTCAGCATCCTGGCTGTGATCGCGTGTTTGCTTGGCCAGCACATATGAAGTACCACATGAAGACTCACACGGGGGACAGACCATATCACTGCTCATTTGAAGGCTGCAACAAGAGCTTTTATGTGCTACAGCGACTCAATGTTCACATGAGAGTACACACGGGTGAAAGACCTTATACCTGTAATGTGGAAAATTGTATGAAGTCATTCACTACACAAGGAAATTTGAAAAATCACATGAGAATACATACTGGTGAGTGTAGGGATAAAAAAAACCAATAAGCTTTATTTACCTGAAAATCAATATGTTTCAAATGTAGATCACCTACATACAGCGAAGAGAGGAGAGGTAGGTGGTATGAAGCTGTATAACTTACACTTTTACAATAAAGCACTTTTTGGCCAAACAGGCAGGACATACATTAGAGCGCAAGACATGATGTAACAGGGTTTTCTGCTCAAACCTAATCTCTCTCACTTTCCAGACCTCGTGATAGGGGCTAAGGGTGGGGTGCTCTTTAAAACATTTTCTTGGCAGTGGGGATTGGTTTTGTCCCATACATATCTCTGTTACTAGCCTGTGAAGACAGCCAACATTTTTCTACCCCACCACTGGCCTCCCATGCAATGACATCTGACGAACAAGCACAAGAACATTATTACTTGTATGGCATTTGCTGTTTGAGACCAAGGCTATGCAAGTAAAGTGGATGAGGTTTGGAAAGAAGTAAAATTTTGTAAAATATTTTGTTAGAAATCTGAGGTACAAGAGTTACAATATTGAGCAGAATAAAATGGAACAGCAAACCCACATCCCCTCAAAATCAAGGATTAAGCAACGCAAAAGCCAAAATGTGCTATTTTCCCATCCTTGATATGGGGGAGAGGAGGGTACCCCCTGAAAACAAGGATGAAGCCGTGCAAAAGCCAAAACGTCCCATTTTCCAATCCTTGATTAGGGGTCCGGGGGTCCTAAATTTTTCATCTATTTTGTCCAAGATTGTACCTCGGCATTGAACAGAAATGTTGTTTGTTAGGTGAGAGACCCTACTCCTGCCCTGTGGAGGGGTGTGGTAGAACCTTTACAGAACACTCAAGTTTACGGAAGCACAAACTCATACATACTGGTGAGAAGCCTTACGTTTGTGAAATCTGTGGAAAAACGTTTAGTCAGAGTGGAAGCAGAAATGCTCATCAGAAAAGGCACACAGACACCAGCAAAGATAAGAAGAGAAAAACACCAAGCAAGAGTCTTCCTGCTTCAGTGATTGTACAAGGAGATGATCAAGTTGAACATCAAGGAGATATAATGCCACAAATTGAGAACATTGATGAAACAGGTAGAGTGTGTGATACCGTCAGAGTATTTGAACTGTATTTTCTTTAGTGGTACCTACTGTACAGTCGAACCTCTCGGTACGGACACGTCTCTAATACGGACGCCTCTCTATTACGGATAGTTTCCAGTGTCCCAACAAAATTCTCATATATTTTCTTTTTTCTTATATGGACTCTCTCTAATACGGACAACGGACACTAAATCTCGGCGCCAGAGAGGAAATTTATATAAACTTATCCTCTTTATTACGGACACCGCGGTGATCACGTGAATTCCGAGTCCCGATCAGGTGAATCTGTATTAATCCCGTTGGTCTGGCTGATGGGCTATGCAAGGTGATAAAACAGCCCAGTCGCTGTATACCAAACAACGATTTGCGAAAGGTGTACAGAGGAACATAGCCGACTTTTTGAAGACTTCAATAACTACAGATGGCATAAAGATCTTTTATATTACATTTTGTTCTCTAGCTACTTTTCAGTGCACTTCCAAAATAGCGAAAGACGCTTTCAGAATTGTACTTACGTTACAACTTTTTACATGCAGCATTGCGCTGCAGCTCGTTTCGTTTTAAAACAGTAATTTGTCTGTAGCTGAGATGTACAATGTTGTATGCTACTGAAAGACAGTGTCTTTGTACTGTAAATTTATAACTTAAATGCAGTTTAAAGGCGAGTGTGAGCCTGGTTTTAGCTCCTGAACACTTAAAACTGTAAGTGAAGTCAAAAGTGACGTCATCATAGTGACCTCTTTTATACGGACACCTCTCTAATACGGACCCTTCGCTCTGTCCCTTCGGTGTCCGTTTTAGAGAGGTTCGACTGCACATTTATTGATGACAAAATTATCAGTTGAAACACTTTGCCTTTCCCTTAAGGGGCTTTCTGGCGTTTTCAAAAGGGAAACAATGAAGCTTTTCCTCATGTGAAATAGTGTCATATAGTAACAGTCGATCTGTGCAATCTTGTGCTCTTTGGACTGCGTGGTTTCTGGCAAAAGCGCCAATGAAGAAGCCCTGCCAGAGGGGGTGGGGGGGGGGGGGGGGGGTTTGTTTTTATTATAATAATATATTATTTTCTTTCGTTTTCTGTTGTTTGTGGTGGGATTTTTATAACAAAAAAGAAAATTAAATATTTTTTTTTTGACAGATTTTTGATTGAATTTTAATTATTTTTTTTTTGGGGTTTTGTTTGTTTTGGGGGTGGGGGGGGGGTGGGGGAGAGGGGGGGGGGGGGGGGGGGGGGGGGGGGGGGGGGGGGGGGGGGGGGGGGTCCCGTGTCGCCCGTCTGAATTTTAAAACGTCTCGTGTCGGTGTTTATAAATGCTTGTCGCTTATTGTCGGCTTTGCCGTCACTGTCGCAATTTGGCCAAGGGAGGCTGTCTCTTGTCGCGATTTTATTTTACGCGCTGTCGCTACTTTTTGGGCCATTTCGCTTGTCGGAATTTACCCTGGCAGGGCCTCAATGAACCGTACATTCTTAATAAAAGGGTCAATATTTGCACAATGGTGGCTTTCAGAGGTGGCAAATATTATTTTGTCTTTCTTAAATTGTCATTAAAGACAATCATTTTCCTGTTAAAGTAGGCCTGACCTCGCTCTCTGTTCTGTGGAAGGGTGCACTAACAAATTATTTAAATATTTCTTCCTAGGGGAAGAAGATGAGCAGACAGTTTCTTCACAAGCGCTGGTGTACTCCCAGGCTGACCATACCATTGTCTCTCAGGCTACTGCAGATCAAATGGTGTTAGCTCAACCAATAGTAGCCAAGGAGGTCTCCATAGAAACCACACCAGTACATACTATGTCACTTCTGGTACACGCAACAGACGAGGCAATGACAAACCAAGAGAACCTCGCTCAGGCAACGGCTGATGTAGTGTCACTCGCAGAAACTGTGGTGGCACAACAGGCAGTTATCCATACCATGTTGGACGGAGCGGCCATCATACCGACAAGCAGCCAATCAGAGCTCTCTGTTGTAGATCACGTGTTACATCCATCAAATGTTGAGCAGATGATGCAGAGTGTCGTTAGTCAACATATTCTCAGTGGCCACATTCAGCTTCCTATGACCGAGGAGGACCTGGAGCCGGCGACCCAAGAAGAGGGTGGGGCAGGTGTACCTCATTTGACAATAGACTTATCGGGGTTTATCCAACAAACTGAGGAGCAAACAGCGCAAGATAGCGAGGAAGATGAAGAAACATAACATTATTTTTCTATTTAAGTCTTGTCCTTCTGGGTTGCTCGCGAGGCGATGTAAATGAACTTTCAAAGACACTATTCACTACTATTAGTAAAACGACTTCTTTAATAGTTTTTGTAAAAACCAATCTCTTAGGCTGACCGTCTTGCTAACATCAAGATGTGTACACTGGAAGTCACTAAATAAATTGAACAGTATTACTCTGGCTGAAAAAAAGGAATAAATATTTCCCCAGATATTCTACCCGTGGTCGTTCAAACTACCAACTAAAGGCAATGAATTCCAGAATTACTAAACTGTGTTAACTTCACAAGGTTAAAACTTCTTTAAGGTGATTTCCTGGTTTTACACTGCGCATCTCTTACTGCGCATAACAAGATGGCCTCCGTAAAAAAGAGCATGTGAAGTAACATTATTAAAATGAAGTTGACCGAAGAGAAACGCTATTGCAATTTTTGCTTGCGGTTGTTTTTTGCCGAGGTGAGACTCAATGTGGTGGGAATGTGCATAACGTAAGCAGTACGCGTGTTGCTGAGTTCGACTTCCCCACGGAGAACCTCGATAGTGGATGTTTAATTTGTGCTTATTCACTTTGATTTTCATTTAAACGCTTTATTTATCACATTGTGTCCTAAATGTGATATCTCGATGTAAATTCTGTAAAAACGATTTTTTAATACTTTCTTCCCCCTTTCGCATACATGCTATTTTGAAACTCGCCCCAGTCCTCTCTCAAAAATCAAGGAAAATGCATTTGGTGCGCACTTTCTGCAGCTCTACCGCAAAAACGAGTACGGTGACCCCCATTTTTTATTTCATGATTTTAATAAGGACAGTGCTTCCTTTCAGTGAGAAAAAAATTGGCACAAATCTATGTTCAGTTTTTCGGCAATTTTACTAAATTGTACGGATTGAGCTA